AAATGTAGATGACTATATAAGCTGAGGTTGTATCTCAACTGTATACCATCAACAACAAACTAACAAAGCAACTTCTCAAACACACTTAACTTAGTCTTAAACACACAATGACAATCTTCTACAACCAACCAAGCAACTTTGAATTCCCAATTGAATTCTTCATTGAGGAGGTTGCACCAAGAAAACACGTTAATACAGCACCTTCGACGTCTAAACCACGCCTTGATTTGTTAGAATATGAAAATTCATATGAAGCAAGATTGAACCTTGCAGGATACAAGAAGGAGGAATTGGATATATCAATACATGACCATAAAATAACTGTGAAGGCTACTCATCCAGCTGAAGAAGACAAAGATAACGGATTCAGCTACTTGATCAATGAGAGTCGGTCATCATCGATCGCTAGCCGGACATGGAAACTCCCAGAGCATGTCACAGAAGACAATATCCATGCTTCCTACACTGATGGATTACTCACTCTGAGATATTCAAGACACGCACCTGAATCTGAACCAAAGAGGATCAATATCAATTAATTTGTATAAACAGATAATTAATTTATTCTAAATATATGTTTCATAACGTACTTTTATTATTTCACAATGCTGCAGTATTACACATGCGTCGCTACAAGGTTTCCAACATTCTGCATGAGGGACGTAAAAGATCCATCCCAGCGGAAGACAATTTGTCACTTGACGATCATGATAAAAGTAGTAAAAGTGGGTTTGTAAGCACCATTAGTGTCTGACTAATGTTTATATCATCAGGCGCTTCTCAAGCCATCACCAAATCTAGAAGGAAAGTCAATCGAAGATACAACATGGGTATGTGGATATTGTAAATGGCGCACATCGCTCGAAGAATTCTACTGTAGCAAGTGGGTGCATTTTAAATGACCACTACACACCTAACACCACCCAGTGAAAATTGCTATAATAGCTGGTCTTATTGTATGTCATAAGCTACCTTGAAGTATACCCAATTTGCGTTAAATATATCAATGTATGTAACAAATAAGATTGTCAGTTGCTATGATTAAAAGATGGTTAAATAATAGAAAATGTAAATGCTATGTGTTCTAGAAAATAGTTGAAAGTGCTTCTTCCGGTTTTGCGAGTGCTTTCGCGAGTTGCTCTGTTGTTTTCTGACGTGGTGCAAATGTGAAGCCTGTAAGAGTTAGTAAAATGAGGAGCGCATTAGACAATTACATACCTGCAAAGAGACCCCTCTCGACTTTGTTGTTCTTGTCCTGCATTGCTTCGATTTTCATTTGTTTTTCCTTAACTTCAGCGTATTTGACTGACGCAAGTTAAAAAAAATAACAGTTATAAGGAGATTACCCACCCATATCCTCAGGATCATCGAAAGCATCAAAGTATCCAGCATCTTCTTCGGAATCCAAAGCTGGAACGAAGGGCGCGTGAGTATCGCGTAGTTTGTCCCATGGGATATCACTCAAGAAAGGATGCCTTTTTACACCGTCTAGAGTGGCAATACGACTCTCGAGAGGTGCAATGAAACTCGTTATTGCGTCCCAAGCTGTATCTGTGAGGTTAAATATCAAGTCTTCTGGTTTATCATAGATAGGTCTTCTGAGAACCTTGGAAATGTGTAAGTAAAATAAAAGATGCAGTAATATAAACCAACCTTCTGCCAGTTACGCAAGTTAGTCCATGTTTCATCTGATGTTGCTCCAGAAAATGGAGGGAAACCAGCCAAGAATTCAAACAAGATGCAACCCAGTGACCAATAATCAACTGCAAATGAGTACGGTTTTCCTCTGATTACTTCAGCAGCCAAGTAGTCAGGACTGCCTACAATACTATCAGCCCATCTAGCTTGATTGAGTTTCATTGACTTGAAAATTGATCTCCGTTCAATTGTACTTCTGTAAATAATGTCATTTTCTTTAACTTCATCGAGTTTATGCTTAAGTGAATCCAATCTGGCAGGGTTGAGTGCACCTGTCGCCAAACCGAAGTCTGTCAATTTGACGTGTCCGGTGCTATCAACAAGGAAGTTTTCTGGTTTCAGATCACGGTGAATATAACCTAGCTTGTGAAGAGTATCAACACCCATAAACATTTCCGCGATATAGAACTTGGCGTGTTCCTCTTTCAAAACACCTGAGTTGTTAAGAAGAGTACGGAAATCACCACCAGGGACGAATTCCATAGCAAGGAAGACATTATCGATATCTTGGAACGCGTAGAGTAATCTAACAAGCCAAGGTGATTTTGCTGTTGTGAGAATATCACGCTCAATAAGGATATGCTTTACTTCATCCATCTTCTGGAGTGTTTTTTTACGCATTTGCTTTAATGCACATATTTCACCTGTGTCTGATTTGCGTGCTAAGTAAACTTCACCGTATCCACCTTGACCAACTTGACAGATAATATGGAAATGGTTAAACTTGATCTTTGTACGACGTTTGCGGCTAATAGAGGTATTAGATAGGATAGAATGGGGATTAATCCACTCACAGCAAAGCTCTTTCTCTTCCACAATAAGATTTCCAGTCTTTCTGTGCTGCTTCTGGTGATTTCTGAGGAATGTGAGCTAAATCAACGACATACACGTTCCACGAACAGTACTATCTTGTAATTCGTATACTTTATGCTCTAAACGCTGCTTTCTATTGTGTATGTATCCCAACAAGTCGAAGTAATAATCGTAGAAATCTACGTGTGTGAGATAAGCCAAACGCGTGAAAATCAACGTACAAAGTTGTGCGACTGTCGCTTTACGTTGTACTTCAGGTTTAGATAAAACTTCTCTATCCCTTGGCGGTAAAGTTGTCATATTTCACTATTCGAGATGAACGCGCAGGATGAGGAAGTCGCGTCTATCATTCTAACAACGATGACGACGCCGCAAAAGAAATTAATAGGTAGAACAATATCTGCGTGAGTTATATTTTATACTTTTTATTTATTCTTCATTTGCTTATAACACTATAGTGAGGGTATAGTAGATGATCACCAGCGAGTGCTGAAATTGGAAAGAGCGAGACAGCGTATGGCAGGATTGCAGCTCGCTTTAGAAGCACACTCCAGTGATGTTAAAGAACGTATAATAAAGCGTAAAGCAGAGCACGCGAAGTCACTCAACGAGGAGAAGGAAAATCAAAGTCGGATAAAGGAGAATATCGAAAATTTAAAGAAGGAAGAGTTCGAAGTTGTGAAGGATATTGAACGTGAAAGACAGGAAGTACAGGAGATGAAGGACCAGATCAGCAATTATATGAGAGAAATGCGTTCACATTCTACCAACCGGGATGGTATGATTGCTGAGATTGAGGAGTATAGGGAGAGAATCAACAAGCATAAAGCTATGATAGAAGCCGAGAAGAAGACCTTAGACGGTCAAGCTGCAAGAAACGCGCCTGAATTGGCCTTCTTTGAGCAGAAGTTAGGCTTAAAGCTTAGAAGCGATAAGCGTGGGTTTGTTTTTACCATTGTGCATCCGTTCATATCTTTCTAGCTGACTTTATTATACTAAATTTCTCACAAATAGACGATCGTGAACCAGACCGTCAATTCACATTGGAACTTGACTTGAGTGAAGCGGATTATAGGGGTAAGCGACCACATTTGATCAGAACATAATCAGTAACACACCTTACCAGTCGAGTCATGTTCGCCGCGTCCAGAGGAGCTAGACAAATTCGTTAGAGATCTCAACAATTCACGTGGCTTCTACACATTCATAAAACGTCTCAGAAGTGCGTTCAGGGGGGTCGTTGCGAAGGAAAAGTCAAGTTCAAGTTAGATTAATTGGTATTTTCAAATTAAGATAACTAGATTGTATAATTAAAAAGCTTGTTGTATCTGTTACTTTTCTTCTTATAAATAATATATGTGCAATGAAAATCCAACAAAAAGTGAAAATTGAGTGATAAAACAATACAGAAGGTTTAAGTGATGCAATCTAGAATCTTTGCTTGAGTCTTGCGCCGACGACTTTAAGGTGGTTGTAAACTTTTCCTGGGGGACTACCTAAGATAAGACTACATATGGAATCTTTACAGAGTTTGCAGTTATTGAATGCACCTATAGAGAATTAGACAACACATCTAACAACTTCTATACCACCCACCAAGGATATGAATGTGTGTATCAGCCAAAACGATTCTCGTACGTGTTGCGTTTTCGAGAGCAAACTTAGTTTTACCGTTCTGACCAGCAATTCTACCAATAGCACGTGAAAGATGATCACCGTGGAGAGTTTTAACATCTTTGATCTCAAAGCTATCAATGTAAAGATCATCAAGTCTCATGAGCGCTATAGCGTCTTCTACTGCGAAACCGAGGGCATAAGCTTTGACGAAATCGGCACCTTTTTGAAGGTGACCAGCGTCTTTTGTGTGCTTAGAAGAACGCAATTCAACAGCTCTCTTCTGTGGGTTCATCCTGACCTGTAATTTCAACATTTCTACGAGTGGACCATATATGTTGACCCAGTCTTTTTTCAATGGGGACATTCTATGACCTGGGATAAGTACACCTTGGACGTATGTTAGTAAATACGAAACCTGAGATATAGCCCACTCACGTCTCGTTTGGCCTTTCAAATCTGGGCCAGCGGTGGCTGTCTTCTTCGCAGGAGCAAAAACTGGTACATCATCCTGATCCATTGTATCATTGGAAGTGGACACCATAGGTGTCGTTGTATCTACGACAATATCCTCACTCATGTAAATTTTATATGGTGGTTGATAACGGAGGGGCATTTTATCAGTCTATCAGGGGAGAGACCTGGAAATAAAAATTTATTAATTATTCATTACATAGATGTAGATTAGGTTACTTGTGATATCTAAAAACATCTAGCATACTAGATACACTTTTGGCTGTAGGATATGCTCTTGGTATGAACATATAGACAATGGCAGACACACATACTCGGATGTATATATGCCATATATCTGTATATCTATTTATGTATAACCAGAACTACCATTGTCTTTTACTTTCTATCTTTTCACGTCCATCACGCCGAAAATAAAAAAATGAAGAGATGTTAGACATAAAAATAAAGCCAAAGCAAGGAAATATCTACAAAGATTTCCCAGTCGAGGGTTACCTAGGTATGTCCACTTGCAGGGTCGTCGGCTTTGCATATACGGAGATTCTGGATAAAAAGCCGCTAAAAGTAAAAGAAATAAACGTTAAACTAAAATGCATAGAGAGTGCATACAAAAAGTCAACTGTTTTATTTGAGACAACGGATTGTTTGATGTCTTTCGATGATTACGTAGAGCTCGGTGAGATGGAGAAGGAATTTATGTTGACAATACCCTCCCATAGTAGTCTACCCAGCTCGATACGTCTACATAACTATCAAATATTATGGAAGTTGGAGGTCAATTTATACCATGAGAATATAAAATACATCGGGAACTTAAAAACCAAGTCAATATGTTTAAATTTATTTAGATTCTCACATTTAAGCAGGAATTTGAGTAGACATGAAGAAAATATCAAAAATTTAGAATTCAAAACATTAATAGACTCCTTTAAACTGTTGTCCCTTGACAACCTCAACGTTAACATCAATTTGAGACTACTTTCTGATGACATCATAATAAAGAAGCTATACGTTAGCCTAGATAGAAAAGTATCCTTTAGACTACTAAAAAGTTCATTCTTCACTTCAAATAATTACTCAACCAGATTAATAGAACACTCAGTCACGCCTCACCTTATACCATCAAAGCGTGAAAATTACCAGTTTACCATTTTAATACCATCATCAAAATCAAAAGGTAGTTGGAGCATAGGCGAGAGTTTAATAACAAACTTAATAGACATTCAATTCTTTATAACGACGACGGTCTTAATAAAAAATGCACGCGGTTCAACTAAAAAAGTTGAAATTGATTCAAAAGAGATTTTATTAATATCTATAACTAACAAAGACCTAAATAGAGCCATACGTTGTAACACCTATAAATTTTAATTAGCATTTATAAAAACTAGAGAGCAACCATATTTAGTCAGAAATAGCCTCTTTTTTCCATCAAAGAGATTCAGACAATGTAGATAAGTTTTAGATTGGTAACATCACTCTAAATTGGCTGCTCCGGAGTATTTCAACTCACACTTGGTGGTTTGGTTGAAAGAAGAAGACGTAAAAAGTTTTAGTTTTTATAGTGTAAATATAAAATCTTTTCTCATAGTCTTACAGAGAGTGACACGTTAATTATCTTCCGTCACGTGAGCAAGTCCTTTCTTTGTGTTTGTGTAAACTCCACTATACATACGTACGACTAGGGATGAATTATAGTGACTGCGATGTAGAAAATAGAATAAAACAACTAAAATAACACGTTACGATGAGCTTATAACTTTCAAATATCCACTCTTCTTCCCTTCACTCCTCTTAAGAATATACCGCCATCAATGTCGATAGCTGCAACGACTGTACCCCCACAGTTAATTGAAGCAATAAAATGCGCATCGCCTACGGAAAACAATAACATTCAACTTCGCCAGGAGGCTTTAACCTTCCTCGAGCAAGTAAAGAACAACGCTTCAGAAACTTGGAAGTATTGCTTAGGCTTATTCTTAACAAATACTGTCGGTACAGAAGCTAGAATTTGGGTTTTGAGTGTTGTGGATGTTCTTATTTCTAACCACTTCCATACACTCACAAATGATGACATTTTTGCTATACAAGAAGCCCTATTCGAGTACGTTAGCAGGGAATACGTACAAGGCGGTCCAGAAGCTGATCTTAGTTTCTTGAGAAATAGATTAGCACATACACTCACACTCTTCACTATACAAACTTACGACAAAACTCACCCAAATATCATTATAGACTTCTTATCATTAATTAAACAAGGAAATTCACTCAATCAACGTACTACACCTTTAGTTTTGCACATACTTGATGAAATAAATCTTGAATTATCAGATTCCATCATGCGAGCTGCACGAGATTGGTCGTCAGAGAGACATATTCGTGATGGCCACATTAGAGACGCAATTAGATCAAAGGATGCACCTACAATTATAGAAAACTTGTTAAATATAGTAAGAGAACTGACTGTCATGTACGCGAATGGTGGAAGTGATTTATGGTCCTTGAAAGCTATCGAAGAATCACTAGCGCTCTCTATCAACGTCTTTGCTGGCTGGTCACATTGGGTTGATATTAGCTTGTCCTTCACACCACAGAGTCTAGAATTATTCTATCAATCTTTGCAGCATCCATCTACCCAAGTTAAAGTTGCAACTAACGGTTACTTCTGCAAGATCCTACAAAAAGGTATTCAAGATGTTACCGCCAAGTTGGAAGTCATTAGAATTGTTAATGTATCAGAAGTTATTGGACAAATCGAGCAAGCTTCTAGAGATGATACATCTGATGACAATATTCTTTTCAGAGAATCATGTGCAAAATTAGTAAATGTAGCTGGTTTGGAGATTCTCAAATTATGTGATGAAGTGGGTTACAAGTTTTTGAAAGGAATCTATCTAACCCAATAACAGCCTACTCAAGCAATGATAATGCAAAATCGTTCAGGTGCTAACCTCGGTACACCGGAGACTAGATCGCAGGCGCTTGTCTATCTCGCTCAGCTTCAACCTGTGTTTTTAAGATACCTCGCTGATCCATCAAACAGTCCTTCATTAGCTGTTCACAGCTTCTTGTCAACTCTCATTTCTTTCTATAAGAAGAAGAAGAAGTCTGATGCTATGGCGTTCTCGTCAATGCCAATTAGAGAATTCTTCAGCCAATTGCTACCTATCGTAATGACGAAAATGCAATGGAATGATGAAGTTGAATGGGGCTTCGGCGGTTTAGGTGAGGACGCAGATGATGAGCGTCATGAACTATACGAAATCCGTAGAGTTTTAAGATCTACTTTCGATTCAGTTTGTCAATTGGATCAAGAACTTTGGATATCAACCGTAGTCTCATTGATCAACCAGACTTTGACACAATGTACAGCAACCGGTCCTGAATCTGTACCATGGTATCAAGCAGAGTTGGTATTATACATTGTTTTCTTGTTTGCAGAAGCAACTCAATCAGGTAACTCCGTTCAAGCATTTGTACAAATCACAGAAGAAGAAAGGCAATCAGCCAAGAAAGATGCCGTTAATTTCAAAATAAAATATGAAGAAAAACCTTACACACCATTGGGTCAACTCGTACAAACTGTAATCGATTCAGGTATTGCTAATCACCCACATCCAGCGGTAAATCTACAGTATTTCGAAATGATTGTTAGATATGTTGATATTCTTTACGCGAGGAAAGAACTCGTTGAACCTATTTTATCTGCATTCGTTGGTCAAAGAGGTATTCACAACTCAGCATTGAACGTAAAAGCTAGAAACTTCTATTTATTCCAGAGATTTACATTATTGGCTAGAAAATATATTCCAATGAACTTGATACCAAAGGTGTTGGAAAGTATCACGGATTTGCTAGCCATATCTGTTGAGGTTATCCCAGCTGAACAACCAGATGAAGATGTGTTGACAAAATCTGTCAATACTATGGGTTTATTCCAATACCAACTTAATCTGTATGAGGCTATTGGTAGCATAGTGGCTAAATTGTCTGAAGTTCCATCTGATCAGATTGCCTATTTGAATCAACTAATTCAACCACTTTTGGCATCAATACAGCAATCATTACAACAATCTAACCAAATCGAGTCCGTTTTGAATGTCCATCATACTATTCTTGCTATTGGTCACATCGCCAAGGGTCTTCCTGAACCTACCTCAGTGCAACACGTAACAAGTATAGATCAACCACCACCTAACTACAGTGAACCATTCGTTCAATCAACCCAAGCCATGTTTGTGGTTTTAGATCAAATGTCACAGTTCAAGGTTATAAGAGACGCATCTAGATTTACATTCGCACAGATCGTAAGCAGTACGGGTGTAGCAATTCTCAACCATGTTCCAACATTCGTCAATGGTTTATTAGGTAGATTAGAGATGAATGAATTAAGCGATTTCCTCGTTTTCTTGAATATGCTTGTTCATAAGTTACGTTCAACAATTTTCTCAATTTTGAACTCAATTATACAACCAATTCTTGATAGAGTATTTACATTTTTGTCCGTTCAAGTTGATGGTACAGATGATGAATTAAATAAGGCAGAAATGGAGAGAAGTTATTTAAACTTCATTGGTACCATTCTTTCTGCTGGACTCCAAGGCGTTTTAATATCTGATGAAAATAGAGATAGATTTATGCAAATTCTTGAATCAATTTGTCAATTCGCACAGGGTTCCTCACCTCCAACTCAAAGAATTGCCTTTAATGATATATCAAAAGTTGTTTTCTGTTATGGTACACTTGAGCAAGTGCAAAATGACTTAAAAGTTCAATCAACTCAAAATATTATTCAAATAAATCCAACTCCAATACCATTAGCAGGATTTGAGGAATTCATTTATCAACAATTTATCAAATTAGCTTTCGAAGTTCCTGCAAAGTCAACGTTTAACTTGAAGGATGGTCAAACAAATGTTGTAAGTTGTTTTCTCCTCTAAAACCGTTATCTCATAACGTATCAGGTATTAGGTGAAATTGCGCTCCTACTTAGACAAACTTACTTAAGTAGAGGTGAGGAGTTGTTGAACTTCCTCAGAACTGTCTATCTTCCTTCAATTGGTTGCCCAGATAATATCTCATTCGAGTTGACAAAGCATATTTCAACAGATGAGCCAAAAATTTTCAAGAAGGCTTTTACAGAGTTCATAAAAGCTTCAAAATCAGCATAGATGATGTCTATTAATAATATATTGTATGCATTCGTTAGAGATTTCCAAAAAAAGAGAAATAAAAGAAATAAAATTGTCCTTGTCTGATTGTCCTATTGTTAAAAATTCGGATTAAAGTCCAGCTTTCTATTAATGCAATATTGCAGATGGTTGTATATATGAACAACTCAGCGCGTCTCTGTTTATTTATTTCTTCGTTAGGTTAGATTTTGTAAATTTTATACCCGATACTCACAACCAGGCAGAGAATGATTCATTAGTTTGTTGTTGCTGTTGATGGTATTGCTGTTGTTGATTATGTTGCTGAAAAAAGTTATTCCAGTCACTGCTTGATGTATTCTCTTGTGGTATTTGTTGATTTGAGTGGTTACCATTTTCATATAGTGGTATACCCGGATAAGCGTCAAATTCTGTACCAGGAGTACTTGAATTGGAATATAATGGGCAATTCCAATATCTAAGGAATGTAAAGTCAGAATGACGTATTAGTAATTCTCAATCCACCTACGCTGAATCAAGACCCGGATCTGAATCAAATGAAGCGACAGTCCCCCAATCTTCCAATGCCACACCTTGTTGTTGTTGCTGTTGTTGCTGCTGAGTAGCTGCTGCCGCTACACCTGCGAGATAACTTGGATCAGTCACGTCCGGTGGAGCAGAATGTGACGGTTGGTGTACGGCTTTAGGCTTACGTCCGCGCTTCTTTAAGTTGGCGGTAGTGACACCTGGCAAGGGTTTACCACCATTGTTGTGCACTTCGCATCCACGTTGATGCCTCAGGAGAATATCTGAACGTGTGTAGCTCCGACCACAAGAACACAAATAAGGGTGAAGATCGCCAGACCTGTGGGAATTCCGTTTATGCCTCATCATATTCTCTGGTCTACTGAACCTCCCGTGGCATATCTCGCATTTGTACATTATCTGATAATTTCTGGTTATTCACTAAATTCGCTTATACTCGTCATACTCACTCTCTTCCAGGCCCGTGATTGTGTGTAAATAGGCGCACTTAGGAGCGTATAAAAGTCGATTATGTTCCTTAGAAAAATAAAATGAGTGACATAGCCAAATAAAATGATAAAGAAAAGTACCTAGATAAAAATGGTTATCATACACTTTCCTTCTCTAAAACAACATATGTCTTGCTCTCTTCTCACAGTCTATATAGTCAGCTATCCGTACCTCTGATGACGCTGATCTGGAGTGATAAATCATCGCACGCGTCATAACGTTTCTAATTGTGTTTATTGGTATTGAATTATTTTTATAATTAGATTTTTTTACCCTATATTTACGAAATTACGCAACAACAGCTACCGTGCCGGGCGAGATGAATATATTAAAAGGGTTATGCGCTTTGACACACCCTAAAAATTATTGATGGGTTTTAATTAAGGGATTAAAAATGTTTAAATTGTATAAGTCATGTGTAAAAGCATTCCTTTTAGTATTTGTACCTGCCGGTGCCTCGCCAGTTCCTTTCGGGCATATCGTAATTACAATTTTTAACCACTTTGAGGCTGTGCAGATGCCTTGTTTTGTGATATTAAAGAAATGGACAGCATATAGCCTATATAGTACGGCAGTAGCTAGTCATTACGCGATGACGAAAATTCGGCAAATGGTCATTTCAACATCATCGGCTATTTCGGCAAACGTGGGCGGGCAACATCTTAAAAAGTACTTGAGGACTTTTAGAAATTCAAAAAATGTAATGATACATAGCTCCTTGATAGAGGAAATATATACTTGAGTTGTTCAAATGGCAGTTTGGCATGCCGGCTTATGCATAACAGCTGCAGGAAAGGCTAGAATTGTGTATTCACAATCTCTGCATACATACTATATTAGATGATAATGTGTCTAATACATATAACGATATTGGTAAAAATGCTTACAAACATATCATTGTCCAATTGCAGTCCTCATACTACAAGAAGTATGGTCTGAGGCAGCTAAGCTTTTAATCGTCTAAGGATAAATCTCGATTTCATCATCATCATCAATCCGCCTACCGAGACATCCGGCAAGTTCATTGATGACCAAAGCTTTATAAAGTCATAACGCAGTGCATTAATGCTAGCCTTGAAGAAACATCTTCTTCGTGTCAAAATCATTAGAGGCACACGTGTAGGCTTTCTCATTGTTCGTTTGCTTTAATACAATAGGACGATCTTAATTGAAGATCGCGCCTTTCTGATATTTCATACAGTTGGCTTAATCTCGCCAATGGCAGGTTCATGCCTATGCCCGCCCAGAATTCCATTTACCGTGATCGAGAATCTGCAGGCGTGTCCTCAACAACGAAACGAGATTAATCTTAATGATATGAATACATGCGAAAGCTTACTTATACGTCTTCTACAATGCCAAAGTTTATGACTGTAAACCCCCGGAATATTTGAGACAATAGTGACGCTAGTTAGACAGATCGTCAAGGGCTCCTCTCTCACATGCTTTTCATTTGTATAGCCTAGCTTTCTCCCTCAGTTAGTCAATAACAATTCTCTCCACTCGACCGAACTCATCTGCAGGAACACATGCAACTCAAGCCAAATCCCTAGATTGTGCATGATAAATTAAGGGGTCCTTATGGAACATCAATTATACCCCTCTTATTCTCGTTGGGGCGTTCATGCAGAAAAAAACTTAAACTTGAGCTTTGCTTGGATGTTGCGATTATAATCGGGTGTTTGCTATTCTATATACCCTCAATGCTTACACTCAGAAATCGTTTTGTCAATCACTCAGAGAGTGAGGAAGAGGGGGACATCCTTGTGGGTTATCGAGTTATCAGATAAAACAAACAAACTGACTGAGGCGTTATAGCATTACGAATGGCAGTGTCCCCTTTGCGCTAACTGGATTGCGTTCCCAAGTAATATATGCGACGAGTGGGTACTCAATTAACATATAAGATTTACTCACAGAACTTAGGTGCACATATAGACGACAAGCGAAGCCATCATGTCATTAAATTACCTATTTATTCAAATGGATAGCGGTTCTCCTGATTACTACTAAAGCCCGCCATGAATTTATATTGGTTGCCCATACCGCGTACGTCGAGGAGACGTTTAGCTGATTCTGCAATTAGTAATTTCCGTTCTTTCGACATAGCATTAGCAAGGAGAGTATCCAACCGTGGTGCTACACCCATCTTAATGAGGAAATCACGCTGGGTCATTACATTCGATCCAACTACGTTGGCTGAGTTGTGTGATAGAGATTCTCGCAAGACGCCAAAATCTACATCAGATGTGATATCGCACTCACCAGGTGCACTCAAAACATCAACCTGTTTGTGGTTTCTGAATCCACGAAGAGTATCACCCGTCCAGCCGTCTTGACCATAATCGACGATGAGTGCGGCCCCACCTGGTGTACCTTCCAACAGACTTCCTATTGCGTTGGCAATATAGTAACCTTCTACATTGAGTTCTAACCGCTGGCCTATCTCTTTACCCTCCTCAGAGAAGATGTGGGGTGCTATCAATGGCAAGAATGAACTCATTGGGGTTTGCTGTTTACTGACAACGTATTTGAAACCAGTTTCAGCGTCATTCCATTCAGCTGGCTGTTTTTCTGCTTCGCTCTCATTTTCACTATCACGTACACGAGGATTTGTCAAATCGACTAGTACTTCACGGAAGCCGACATCTGTTTTCTGAGAGTGTTTTGAGCATCCCATACATCGCAAATGAGAAAACGTACCTGGAAAACGTGAATTGGTAGAGCGTCAAAGAACTCATGTGCCACTATAAATGTGAGACTTGTGTCATCTTAACATTGTTAGATATGAAGTAATTTGAACATAGAACGCTACCTTTTTCGATATGCTGTATTCTATCATAAAATTGGATATCCTTGTCGTAACTCTCTAGCGTGCTTTTTTGTGTTTCTCTAAGGGTAGGCGATGTTTCGACCAGATGAACACCGTCGAGGCTGTTCCAAGCGGAGGGGAAGGATTTCCATGTACGTAAAATATCGCTCATGAGGGTACCGTTTCCAGGTCCTAATTCGACAAACCTGACCTTCTTCGGTACTTCTTTTCCTTCGTGTGATAAACTGTGCTTGATTGAATGGTATTGGTGAAGATACCAGACGGCTATTAACTATAACGCTGTTAATGGGATCATTAAGGGCACAACATACCCACCTCGCCAAAAACCTGCGAAATTTCAGGTGAGGTGATGAAGTCACCTTGTTTGCTGATCGGATCCTTATCTTTACGACTGTAATAGCCTTCTGTAGGGTGATATGTACATACTGACATATACCTTGATACTGGTATAGGACCAGTTGCTTTTATTGAATCTGCCAGTATACGTTTAAGTGATGTAGCGTCTTCTCTGAGCGGTATTGAATTGTGAATTGACCGTATAACTATTCTAGCGGTATTCAGATGCTTTAGAATACCATCCTTTTGTCTAAAAGCGCCTCGTAACATGGACGTGGTTGTTAAACAAACTCATCCAAGATCGCGACCAGAAAATGGAAGTAAAATCAGACGCTAAGAAATACCAATCACTCAGTTCCTCATTGATAAAAGGTTCTTCATCTATAAACACTGCAGAGAGTGATGATCGCACACCAGAGGAATATTTAGAGGCGTTCGACGATAGTTTAAACAACAGAGTGGATACAGAGGTAGCTCAGCTTAGTGACGGATTATCTGAAATCATCGGTCTCGCTGAGATAGCCAAAAAAGATAATTATAAGATTAGCAAAGAGGCATTTCAGATTAGCTGTCGTTCTGAGTCGATGATACGTTCAGCGAACAGCTTATTAGGCATAACCCATGCACTTAAAATGGTAAACTTCCTCGGTGATGACCAGCATCGTCTGGATGTTTCCAGTGCACGCGCTGGCGTACTTAGTGAAGAGAGAAGACAGGCGATTAGCGAATTAGAAGCTGCGATGGAACAATATATGCAAAGTGACAGTAAATAAATTAATTAGTATCCATTTCGTCGTCCTCTCGGGTATCCTGGACCTTATCAGCTTCATTATCCTGGTCGAGTTCAATTGGATCGTCTTTTCTGTCATCTTTCTCTTCTTCTTTGTTCTCAGCATCTTCCCAAACTTTATCGAGCTTATTGAGCTTGAGTTGGATACCCCGGGCAAACTAGATATATAAGCAATTTGTATAGCCAAATATGATATACTCACATCTACGAACTTATCAAGGTCACTATCTAAATCTTCTAAACTGTTCTTTGTTGCGTTATTTTCGCTATTCACTGCAGATCTTATATCTTGGAGTTCTTTACGGCGATCGTTCAATTCCCGGCGCGTGTTAAGCTCATGTCTAAGCCTATTAAGCATTAATGTATGCTCGTCATTATCCTTCGTACTCTCTTCATCCCTCTGTATGCTGTTATATTCCTCCAAAGATATCAAAGGTAATTTGTCATACGTAGTCTTGAAATTCCTACACCTCTCTATCTCCTGCTCTAAATGTCTTCTCTCGTATAGCAAATTCTGCACTTTAGCATGTACGTTATCTGACAACTGAGCTTGATGTGCAGCATTTTGCTTGGACTGGCGTATAAGTGCAGAGTTGTCCCTATTTAAAGCTTTCAAATGTGATAGCAAAGCTACTTTTTGTACTTTTGATATCTCCGCTTGACTTTCTAGCGCTTCTTGAAGTAATTCCATGATGAGTGTTGCAGCGATAGCAGCTACGATACGTTCAGCCTTTAATCCGAAGCTGCTGAAACCTTCTATTAGAGTCGATGGTAGGGAAGTATTATTAGATAGTCGATATACTTAACACTCAGCTAGATATCCGCTCTATAGACTTCAGTGCACTTAAACGTAAAGGAATCACAGGAATAGTTATAGATAGAGATAACTGCTTAACACTCCCAAGACAGGATTACGTTATAGAAGAAATACAGTCCAGCTGGGATGACTGCAAAAGCGTATTTGGTAATCGTTGTGTCATTTTGTCGAACTCTGCCGGTACATCTAAAGACCCGGGACTTATACAAGTGAGATTACTTCATCCTCTTATCACAAGTCTAATACAATACAGGCTAATGTTGTTTCACGGAATACAGGTGTAGATGTTCTTGAACACAGTGATCCTAAACCTTCCTCAAGACTCAAGGCACCATTGGAGGCTAGATTTGGTGCACTCAACAACGTGGCATTTATCGGCGATAGACTGCTAACAGACGTCTATATGGCTAATAATTTCGGTGGTGTTTCAATCCATACCGAGCAACTATGGGGGAACGACAGTAAAGGCGAGGCATTTGGGCGATGGCTTGAAAACTGGTTAGCAAAAGGGGTGGTAGCTGATAATAGTGGTTATCTTGATTGTATTAGAGTTACACTTATGGATAAATAATCTATTGCTTTTGTTTCTTGTCAGTGTGTTTGTCTTGCTCTTCTAACATATCGTCCAATCTGGCTAGATTAGCAGCGCCGGTGGTTGACAACTCAACGCCATCTTCAAACATGGCATCTTCACCGTCGTCATTATCATTATCATCGGTAGGGAACTTATTTTGATGCAAATTAGCGCAATAGCTGAGCTGATCATATATTTCTTGCAATTGTGATGTTTCTGGTGGATGTATATGCATATCTTTACTCTCAAAATCATCTACATTCTCCGTACGTTCGTCAATCTGGCAAAAGATTGAGTTTGTTGATATACTGACAGCGTGGAGCATGATTGAAGGGTAGTCAAGGGAGATACCCTTCTGCAGGCTATCCGAATAAATGCAGAGCTCCTTATCTGTCACGTATAGGCTATATCTCTCGTTGCCATCCAAATCGCAATCTCCAGCGACGGTGCAGCCATCAACGCGTAGTCTTAATATCGTAGGCAACTCTGAGAAGCTACCGGGGGTTTTGCTTATGAGATCATTGAAATCTTGTAGTTTTATAGCCTTCACTGGTTTATCTATTACCTTCATCGACGACGAAATGGAAGAAATAGATATTGAAGTGAGTGCTTGAAAAAGACAATAAAAATGTATTTAACGCTCTATTAAGTGCTTGACTACACGTCCATTCAGTAATTCCTCTTACATCTCTTACAATCTCCCCCATAATATCAATGACACGCCAAATCTTCTCAGTTTGAGTAATTTATTGGATGAGATAGCAATCTCTACAGCTGCAGGAGTCTCTGTTTATTCGCTATCTACTCTCCGCTCGCAACTCGCTCAATCTCAATCCCATCAGCTTCTCTCTCCACCAGAGCCTATACAGACGATAAACGTACAATCAGACCAGATAAAATACCACAATGACAGGCTTCTTGTAGTAAATAGCAACAATCTAGAAATCTACGTCAATTTCACTTTAGTAGACACGATAGCATTACCTTCGAAGCCAACTACCATATCGCCAAACCCTGCAGGTGGATACATTGCTATACTTACAACCGACCATGGTTTGCATTTATACGACGAGAATTCTAAAAGCACCGCATGTCTCAATAACAATACTTTAGCTGCAAGCTGGTCTGCCAAAGGGAAGCAGCTAGCTTTAGCGTTGGATTCCAATGAAATCATCACTATTAATACATCCAATCAGGTCAAATTGTCTATACCACCACCACCTGGGTCTTTCGAATTGACAAGCAATCACGTACCGAGCTCACTCAAATGGATTGAAAATAACTTATTCTTGATTACTTTCTCATTAAATAAAGAAGCTGCTAATGAGGGCAGAGACAGCGACGAAGATGCCTACAATCACGAGGATAAGGCTTTCTACGTCCACAATGGCAACTATATAGAAGCAATGGATGCTGCTCCACCATTTGGCGTTATGTCTCGCCTTCCATATCGCTACTACGTTTGGCTTAGGGACTGGGCCCCATTTAGAAACATTCTCTTCGTTGCTTCAGGTCCTTCATCAGATATTGGCTGTGTTGTTACTCCAGACGCATCCTCAGCGAATAAAAATGAAGTATTTGGGGAGGGAGAGACTGTCGCAACAGCAGCCATGCTTCCAGAGACATCGAGGCCGGCATTGCCAATGTCAGACGAACAAGAGGAGACATTCCCAGTTGGTCTAGATCTAGATCTTGGTGAAAAAGATCCTCTCAAACCTGAACCTGGTTCTGCGGCTGACACACCCGATGGTCCACCAGCCCCGGCTATATGGACGCTTAACTCTGAAGGTAAACTGTTCGCATGGTGGCTTATTAACTCATATGGGGCTTACGAGCATATGAGAGCACCAAATGATACCCAAGAGCAATCAATGGCAGAAGATAAACAAACGGCTGCATTCACCACAATGGCAGAAGCGGAAGCGGCAGCCAAGCCACCTGTTGCGCCTTCTGGTGGATTCGTTGGTAATGAACCAAAAAAGCCAACAGAATTTGCAAATGTTTCTGCAAATGCCTTTTCGGCAAAGCCGTCATCAACCTCCTTCCCATCGTCATCAGGATTCGGCCAATCAAGTGGTTTTGGACAGAGCAGTGCGTTCGGTCAAAGTAGTGCTTTCGGTCCAACTAGTGCATTTGGACAAAGTTCACAAACTGGCGGTGGTTTTGGTGCATTCGCAAACAAACCTAATGCATTAGGATCTCCGCAGACTCAGAATAAAGACGAGAAGAAAGATGAGAAACCTAGTGCATTCGGAAAACCTACTGCGTTCGGACAGGCGAGTGGCTTTGGGCAACCTAGCGCATTTGGACAGACGAGCGCGTTTGGAGCCCCAAAGAAAGACAACGAGGGTACGTCAACCACCTCACCGAGCACAACTGGTGGATTTGGCGCCTTCGCCGCTAAACCGGCTTCAGCATTTGGAACAACGAGTGCATTTGGTACCCCTAAGAAGGAGAATGAGACCACATCAGCGAGTACACCTACTAGTGGTGGATTCGGTGCATTCGCTTCCAAGCCTAGTGTATTTGGTTCAGGTCAGAAACAAGAAGACAAGAAAGAGAGTGTGAATGCCTTCGGTGCATTTTCAGGCACTGGAACGAGTGCATTCGGCCAGAGTGCCTTTGGACAAAGCGCTTTCGGTCAATCAAGTGCATTTGGACAGAGTCCTTTCGGAAGTACGACACCTAAGGCTGATGAGAAAAAAGAAAGCACGACACCAACAGCAAGTGCGTTTGCTTCTAAGCCAACCGCAGGTGCTTTCTGTGGGTAATATACTTTAAATCTATTACGCTAACTTTTGCCCAGCTTTCGGTCAAAATTCACCAACTAAATTAGGTAGTGGTACAACTGGCGCAGGGTTCGGCTTCGGTGGTGTATCATCTGGATCTAACAGCTTTGGTTTGCGTAATCCTCCACAAGATGCTCCTAAAAAGGACGAAAAGAAGGATGCAGAAGTCAGCGACCTTCTCTCTGGATTCGGTAGTGGTGCTAAAATTGACGTTGGCTGTATGAAGGATAACAGTGAGAAGCAAGATGATGCTGAATCTGACGGTGACAATGTTGACGATACTTTCGCATACGTTAAGGAAAAAGAGCGTGATGAGGAAGAGCGCGAGAAGCAACAAAAGGAGCGCGAATTGGAAGATGTCAGAAAGCAAGAAGAGCAGAAGAAGCTCGCCGAAGAGGAAGCAAAGAGAAAGCAGAAAGAAGAAGAGGTAAAGAAGAAGGAAGAAGAAGCAAAGAAGAAGGAAGAGGAAGAGATCAAGAAGAAGGAAGAACTTGCCGCTGTCGCTGCTCAAGAAGAAGAGAAGCAGAAAAAGCAAGAAGAAGCCGAGCAGAAGAAGCACGAGGATACGACAAAGCCAGAAGAAAAGCAAGAAACTCCAAATATCTTCGCCTCTGCACTCGCCAAAGGAAACAACGGCCAACAGACCTGTTCAACCTGTTCATTGCAATCACCAAGCGATGCTACTAAATGCACAGTCTGTGAGACGCCATTCAAGAAACCTGAAGAAGCACCAAAGCAAAACGCACCACCAAGCCAGGGAAAGAGCGATACGCCTAACGTCTTTGCAAAAGTTCTCGCCAAATCCAAAGAAGGCAAGCAACAATGTCCTGGATGTACACTCGACCAGCCAGTCGATGCTACTAAGTGTGGTGTGTGTGATTACGCACTTAAGAAGGATACAGAGAAACCAGAAGCACCTACGATGCCAACTGCTCCACCTGCAGCTCCATCTGGTTCAGGATTCACTTTCGGCGGTGGTTCATTTGGCTCGTCAATTCAGAAACCATCCGGTGGCTTCACATTTGGTGCTTCTTCAGGTGCTGATAAGAAAGATGACACCGTAAAGGCTCCTTCTACAGGTGGATTTAACTTCGGTGGTGCTTCATTTGGCACGCCGACTGCTGATAAAAAAGAAGAGAAGAAGGATGATACCGTTAAGGCACCAAGTGGCTTTAACTTTGGTGGAAGTTCATTTGGTGCTAAACCAGCTACTGAAGAACCAAAGAAAGATGATACTGTCAAAGCTCCAAGTGGATTTAGTTTTGGGGGTGCTAACGCAGACGCAAAAGACGACAAAAAAAAAGAACCTAAGAACGCATTCTCATTTGCTAAACCAACCGAAAACAAAGCACAAAATGCATTCGCATTCGGTGGATTTAGGAAACCAGAAAATGACTCTCCTAATACTAAGAATGCATTTGGATTCGGTAGTGGTACTTTGCCTCCTGGTAATCAAACATCTACATTTGGCTCCCCTAGTGGGTTCTCTTTCGGTAATCAACCTGTGCCTTCTCAAGAACTAGTAAGTTCGACTTCGTAGTAGTATCTTATAGTCTGATCAATTCACAGGAAACAAAGAAAGATGATGATCGCACAAAGAGCTTCTTTGGGTTTGCGTCTGAATCTCCAAGTAGAAGAGTATCACAGGAACACCAGCCAGCTGCAGACGTAGAAGAAGATAGCGGAGAAGAGGAACACGATGATTCACAAGAGACTGGCGAGGAAGATGAAGAGGAAACCGGTGAAAGTGAAGACTTTGAACAAGTAGATGACACTATCGAAGAAGAAGATGAAGAAGATGATGATGAGGAAGAAGAGGAAGAGGAAGAGGAAGAGGATGCTGAGGAAGACCAAGCGGAAGACGAGCAAGAAAATGACGAATCGACCACACCTCCGGCCTCTCCTGAGAAAACCCAACCATCATCATCCCTTAACTTCACAAGTTCAGCTTTCAATAAACCAGGACAGCAATCACCTTTCGCATTCAAACCACGTGAAAGCTCACCATTGGCATTATCGTCAATTGATAACGCAGCATCTCCTGATAAGATTGTAAGTAATCGTTCTGCTCATCTCTTTGACTGATTATTTGATAAGAAGAATACATTTGGAGGTTTCGGTCAACAACCATCCTCGAATATAACGACAGCAAGTGGTTCACCATCTATGACAATGGCTCAAAATGCTCTCAAACCTAACTTATTCGATGCACCACAGAATCCAACATTTGCTGGCTTTAATCCAGCAACATCACCTCAGCAACCATCTGGTGGTATGATGTTTAATAGTAAAGCTTTCAATGAAGCCTTCTCAAAGCAATCACCTACATCTTCTCCAGGACCATTAGCCACTCCAGTTAAGAAGGTTCATAATGATAACGAATCATATTCGATTCAAACGCCAAACAAACCACCAAAGTTATCATTGTTGAACGTTGAAGTACCTAAGAATAAACTGGAAGGTACATCTGGAATGTCTGCAGAGTTCCTCAAGATGTATTTGATGGTTGAGCAAGAGATTGACATGGTAAGTTTGCTCTTTTTTCTTGAATCCCAATTCTAAGATAGAACAGTTGAAGCAAAATGTTAAGAGTTGTGTAGACTATCATGAGAAAATCTCGAAGAAGCGTCAATCAGTTGATGACTATGATATTATGGCTCTCTATGACAAAACTCAATGGTCATTGGGTGATTTAGACTTAATCAAGAAGCTCAGTGTTGAGTTAGAAGCGAACACAATTGATTTGAAAGATTCATCGTTAGCACAAAAACGCAAAGCTGTCGAATTACAAAGTCTTTTGTTGAAAGGTACGTAATAGTTTCATAAAATCCATTTTCAATCTAACATAAATACAGCTGAAACTAAGAAAGAAGAAATATCAAGATTCATCAGAGCAAGAAATGATCCAGAATTTGCACGTATAGTCAAAGTTAGGCAATTAGGACCAGAGCATAGCGAGAATCAACAAAAGTTGCGCAAATCAATGCAAGCTTTAAATGATGGTATTATGAGTGTAGAAGATCAACTTAACACGATCAAAACTAAATTGATGCAACAGAAGACAGGTGGAAAGTCATTCAAAGTACCTTCAATTGATAGTATAAATAGAACTATTCGTACGCTCTCTATAGCTATTAACGAGAAGAAGAGCAATCTTGATGAGTTGATAAAACGTACAGAGAAATTGACCATCAATAATAGCAACAAAGGCGGTAGGAAATCAAGTACATCTTTGAATAGAAGTGAAAGTATATCAGCCACTCTACCAGAGCCTGATAGGAATGTTATCGATAAGGCATTATCTTTAGAAGCACGTAGGGCGAAATTGGCAGCAACGCTTAAGGCCCGACAACCGAAAGCATCACTTGATGATACTGAGAAGTATCAATTTAGACGTAATGAACCACTCTCGCTTATAGACGTACCAAGCGCTGAAGCCATTCGTAAAAAAAGGGCGGAAAAGGAGAAAACGAAATCAACGTCAACATCAACACAACCAACAAATGAGAAGGTAGATGTTAGTGACATATTCTCACCAGGTTCAAGGGACACAGAATCTCATAGTCGTCATTCACGCCATAAAAGTGAAGGCTCAAGTGGTAGACAGCGTGCTGTACAATTGCCAAAGCATAATTCACCAGTAATAGCATCTGATTTCTTCGCAAGAAAGTAAAAGTAGAATGTATTAAATTATATTAAGAATCATAAATTAAGATTTAACATAAAAGTCGTACTGTGTGATCATCCAAACGAAAGAAGCGGCTGTTGTGGGTTGTGAGGAAAAATGTCTTAGATTTATAACAAAAGGATGACTCACTTCCAACTATCAGAGGGCTAATTATACCGGCGCTAAGCTTTGATGTCCTATAGTAGAGCAATTCTGATATATAGTGGGCTATCACGATTGCGTATGTCCAAATAGCGATATCGTAAACGCTGACTTGATGAGTATGTGTCTATAGATGATAAATCAGCACCCACACTTTGTTGTTGATGTTGTGTGCTGCATAGAATCTTACAATCGCAGAAGTGAATGTCCATACACCAAACGTCCGTGCTTGGAGTGGATTGACTGGAGAGAAGATAAGAGAGGTATTGAAGTAGAGTGAAGAAAACACCCACCAAGCTGTGGCTTATGGTTGTAGATTCTAGCTGTGAGTGAAGTTGTCAAGCAGTTCTGTATACTATTGAAAATTGCGAGGGCAGAAACGAATAACATCCATTTTGGCAATAAACCAGGACCGTTTGGAATAACTTTCAATTATTAATTTAAATTTAATCACTCGAATATACTCACTGTTCATCGTTGATTCAGCACAACCACGTCTGGGAATGGAAATACCGGAATATTACAATATAAAGAATCCAACTGATGTACCAAATGGTACGCTAAATGGTAATCAAGACCTTCTTACTATGTTTGGTCTCTCAGAGACCTACGATAACTACGTGAAACCTTATCTCAAACCAACGATACAAGACGCTAACGGCGAGCTCAAGAAGAACAAAATGGAGTCTACGTTCAAGCAATTTGTACAGGACTTACCAGGACGTAATAGTATCAGTAGGAAAGATACTAATTTACCAAAGATCAGAGACTTGATACTCGATCCTGAATTTCAGCCACCTACGATCAAATCAGATAGTATAGACAACACTACTATCTTGGAAGCATTTGGTAGATTACCTCCGGGTAGTATACCCAACGTGTGTCACAAGTTATCATAGAAACATCCCTAATAATCCCATAGTTTGATACCTCTATATTCACTGGACGTGATGATGACGATGAAAGACGCAAGAAAAAGAAGAAAAAGAGAAGACGCGAGGATGAAGAAGAGATAGTACCGAATGGTGCCACAAATGGCGAAAAGAAGGCGAGAATAGACGATAGAGCACTCACAGTACCTGTACACTCCAACATAAACTCTCCCAGTATTGGTAATATAAGAGGAACATCAAGCTAATGTATTAAAAACTGTAAACAAAGGATGGTATCCGTGGCAAGGAATTATGAAATGACGCAACCTAGATTATAAATAAGCAACACAACACCATTGTATTATAAAACTCACAGCTATTCTGCTTCTTGGCAGTTTTGTAGAACATCTTAGATTGAGCAGATAATGCATTTGAACGCTCGACGAGGTTGTCCAACTTCTCGCCTCTCTCTAATACACTCTCTATCGTCTTGTGCATGACGACCTTTGTTTCATCGAGTTCTTGTTGTACTCTCATGATAGTGTCTGCTTGTTTTGGATCTTGATACTTCATAATAAGAGTGTTGAGTTCAGGGAGTACGACAGGGGATTGTGTGGTATTATTGCCTTTTCTGATACCATCCACCCATTCACTGTAAGTAGCTGTGGTTCTAACTGCACCTGGGACTGCGTCTAATACCTTCTGAAGTAACGAGAAGCTAGATGGTGCGTAAGAAAGTAAAGAACGGTGCAGACATCATCACATACGCTGGTCTAACTGGATATTGCTCTGTTACTATAGCCACCGCTGTATCGATTATTAGCTTGTGACCAGACCCAGTGATAGAACCCACCTGTGTAATTTCCTTGTCTATATACGTGTGCAGTATAGTTGTTCTCCTGTACAGACTGTCTCTGTCCATTTTCCGTTCTCTCAGCTACCGTCTTAGCCATAAACACCAAGAACTCTCTGACAGAGCTACGCTGGTAGAAACTGAAGCTACCGAGATCGTCACACTGTTGAATGTTGATAGCTGGCTTCTCAGCGCTATCAAATGCTCCTAAATAGTATATCTTATGAGTTTGATCAGCCATATCTTGGTGGATTAACTTAAAGGAGTAACTTGATATTCATACAGGAATATATTACAATTCGTCATATAGGTTTCTTATTAGAGTATACCTGCAGTTACAACGTCGACGCTGCGTTCGGTTGGTTTGAAGATCGATTGTCGGTAATATTTGAGTTCATCGATACTAGCTTGTACGTCGTCTAATGCGCTATAAGGGTGTTAGTATAGTTTAGAACGCTATGATTTACATACCGATGCTTAGACGTTTTCTTAGACTTCAATGGCAGTGTAGGATACCACCGCGCTGCAATTTCTTTGAATGATGAAACATCAACCACCCTGTATCCCAAATGTGACGCTATTCGTGACCATCCTTCTTTATGAGCATCCATTTCTATAAGAGAACACGTCAATAAATCGAATATAAGAAAGTTATCAAATACGTCACCTACCTAAGAAACGAAGGTCCATGTGAACGGTATTACCAGCAATGACAGAGATGCGTGGGTCGGGTATCCATCGCTTTATGTATTCATAAGCGACTTTGCTAACTGTTTGATGGCTGAATGGGCTAGTAAGCACCTGCTTTGTCAAGCCAGATAAACCGTGTGTGCTAATACACCATTCGTTCATACTATTACGCGTAAATAAAGAAGTTGTTACGCGTTTTATACTCTAAAACTTACTTATCGAGTACAGTTTTCGGTCTCTTAACTATCAAGGAAATACCATCGTCAACCTTGTTGAGTTCACCATCTGTGATCTTATAAGGGTATTAGCTGGGGTATATTTCACTAATAAAACTCAACTATGATAGCAATTTCAAGGATATGATCATTATTCATGTCTAAACCCGTCATTTCTAAATCAACCCAAACTAGTAGATGATTAGAGGGTGAAGGGATATAGAACCTTAGGTCTCACCTAATGGTTTATCTTCTGATGACAAGTTTGAACTTCTGCTACGATTGACCGGCATTTTTATCTCATTGTGCTGTGCTGTGATCAGTCTAGATGGCAGACTATCGTAATATACGCACGGCTGATTTAAACAACGGTTCAGAAGATACTGCGAATTTCATTTTTTAGTTTTATTCCTACACTCCTGACGGTAGAGATCAAAGACAGTAACTTGTACACTAGCGTTCATCTGCTATTATTAATATGAAGATAGAAGAGCTCGCTCAGAAGAGAGCGATAAGCCAACGAGATTTTAGGCAGGCTAAATTTGAATATATACCTTCAGCGGACGGCGTAGATAGCAATTTAATCATATATCTACATGGATTGGGAGACAATATCAGCCAGTTTATCAACCTATCGAAGAAGCTACACCTCCCACAGACCGCTTCTTTAGTACTTGAAGGTCCGGTACCGGTACCGTTCTTTGATGAAGCTAGGATGTGGTACCAGAGTTTTGATATGCTTGGCAATTTAATTCAGAACCCTGATCCTAGAGTAGCTTTGAACTTGTTGAATGATTTAATACAGACGCTTACTAGTAAATTTGGCTGGGATCATCGGAATATCCACCTATTTGGCTTTGCTCAGGGTGGCTCCGTCGCTGTCGAATACGCTAGAAGTTCGAATGTAAGGCTAGGATCGGTAGTTAATGTTTTAGGACCATTATTGTCATACGCAACAGGTAATTCTAAATCTGAAACTCCCATTTGCATTTTCACTCGACCGTCGAGAAACGTACTCGACGGATCGAACTTCAATAAAGCTTTTATTGAAGTTAAGATATTTGAAGGTGATAAACCAGGCGATGAGATGCCAAAAGATCACGGTGAATGGTCGGGCATACTCAAATTTTGGTCAGATGTGCTCGTAAGCACACCAATAAGCGATCAATCTGGACAAGTTTACAAAATAATTGGCTAGTTTTACAGTATATAGTTTTCATCAATGTTGGGTCTCTATGTTTCTAATGTCAATTGTTGTGATATTTTTTTCAACCTAATACATTTATTTTATCCTTTTTACGCTTCTTCTTTTCTTTGTCACCTTTCTGGAATGAACGCCAACCAGATATTCTATTATCACGGTTTGCTGGAATGCGTTAGTGATGTTTTAGAGGTTGAAAGAGACATACATTCCCACTCCTTTTTCTCTTCAGCTTTACGCTTCTTGCTGTCTATCTCTTCATCCTTTTTACGTGCTTCTGCACCCTCATTGGCGAGTTGTGTTTTGATAGCCCTGTGTTCGTGTTAAATGACGACATAGGGAGGTCTATAGACCTACCTTCGCCTCCGTAATTCATCCTCGATCATTAATTGCTTCATCTTCTCCTTTACTTGTAGCTTAAATGGTGGATGTAAGGCCTTAATTGAAGGGTGATCGTCGTGTACACCCAATGGCAACTTTAAGTCCTTAATGAGAAACATTCTAGCATCTGAAACGACGCAATCAACTTTGTACCTCTTTTCTGGTGTACTCAGTTCAGATTCTGCCTTTTTCAGAAGGTCGAATGCTTCAACTGCTCGTTCATGCTTTACTTTATCAGGGTGTATTACTAGTTTGTAGATTAAAAGGCTATAACAGGAGTAGATAAAGCAACTCACGTAAAGATTTCTTACGATAGATAGCTTTTATCGATTTCTCATCTATACCGTAATCGATGTCAAGTACATCAAAAGGGTTGAGCTTGAATGAGCGCAAAATACGTTCTATTTCTATTTCCTGGTTTATACGCTGCGCTTCCCTAGAGACTTCTCTATCAATATCTTCCGTAGACATTCCAGCGCAGATGGACGTTGTTCTCTAACAGTCATGTCAAGCTCTATAGGGCTTTTGAAAAATGATCTGAATGTTTTAGCAAACGATACAAAGCGTAAATACCCGAACGTTAAGCAGGTTTGTTAGACTTAGACGCACATACACTCTTATTTATCTTTCCATATAGGCGGTAGATAAGGCCTTGGAGATCCTACAATCATCTGAAGTCGACGAAGAGAGGTCTCACTTACTAGTTAAACCAATCGTCCTAGCTTGTCAAACCAGCTCATCATCTATTATCACACTTTCACTTTCTTCGCTATCGAGGTTGATCAATTTGAAGTTAGTTTATCAGGTGCGTTACTTTACATAGTGTTGCTATCTTCTTAACAACAACCAGCCCGTCGTTAGTACAGTGATAGCTATCATCAGGCAACTCGTATCGAATGGTTTCGAAATACAACTCAAAATTCTGCAGGTTCGTAGCTTTTCCTTAGTATTTCATCCAATCTAATACCTCTAAGATACTCCTTTCTTTGTTCAGTACGATATCTGACTTACACGCTGATGAGATCTCTGAATGCCTCATCATATGTTTCAAATTACAGGATTCAAAAACAATGGTTGTTTCTAGTACTGCATCAGCAACTGTAATGCAATTAATCCTCAACGTTTTTGAAAGATTGAACGACGAGGATAAGTTAGATAAGAGCACCCTAGACAGTCGACCATCATTATTCGTAGATTTGGAGGATGGTACTAGCTTACCTGTAGCACCTAATGCTTTCACAGCTCATATGCTCTTTGCAGACACAATTACCTTGTTAGAAGCAAAGAATGAGCAACCATTACGTTTCATTAAGATTGGGCATTTACCAACTGAGTCTTCATTAGAACTCATAGAAAGCTGTTTGAAAAATCACGTTGATTTGTTTAAATCGCACCCTTCTCTTTTACATCTAGTGAAAAAGCAATTATATCCAATCATACAATCAATGATTAATGATCGTTACATGAACTTCGGAATTGCTACTAGGGTGTTCCAAATTACAAGGATTATCTTAGCTGGTTTTGAGAATGAGATGAAGGATGAGTGCAAAGAGCTCTGGAAAACAATTACAGATATACTCGAATCAGTACATTACAAAGTATGGATGAAATGCTTATCATTGGAAATCACACAATCACTATTTAATAACAACAAGTTTGTGTTTCTATTTTATCAAAACCATGGAAAGGAAATCTTTATTAATCTTCTCACAGCTATTGCACGTTTCGTTGGTGAAAAGGCACACGTTATGGGACATAATAATGACATATCAGGTTTGGGAACGAGATATATACCAAAAGAAACTACAACATTAGATGCATCTTCATATTCATACGTCGGTGAGGTGGCCGCTATGATGGCTACAAACACAACAAATCAAGCGAATAACCTCCCACAACGTCAATACAAGCTGAATGCGGATGAAAGAAGTAGAAAGCTTCGCGTAGTCGACCAAAGAGATAAGCATGATGCACCAACGATCAATGATAGCTATTCTTTACATGTTGCACTTCTCATTATTTTAGAAGTATGCAATGTATTTAAGTCAATACAAGATAATGATGAGCTGATAATTGGAATGATTAACGAATCTTGGCCACCACTTATCGCTAGTTTGAGTCAATATCTGAACGGTGAGATTGACGATGAATTATTCGTGAAATGTATAAAAAGTGCTGAAAATATGGCTGTCGTTAGCGGTACACTTCAATTAATGGCACCTCGTGATGCATTTTTAGGTATGATTTACGGTCTCGCTTGTCCAACTTTAGCGGTAACAGCGGTAATGAAATGGAATGAAAGAAAAAGTGATGTCGGAAGTATGAGTCCTTCATTAGAATCAATACCTTCGACATACTCATACCCTCCGCCAAGATTATCAAATAGAAATCACATTTGTCTTGGTGTACTTATTAATCTAACAGCAGTTTTATCAAACACGCTGGAAAATTCATGGTTTGATGTCCTTGAAACATTACAAAATGCTCATTATGTACTTGGTTCACATTTAGACTACGAAATGAAGCAAAAACAATTTATACCATCAGCTGAACAAGGAACAACAACAGCTGTTGCTGATTACTTTGGTAATAATATAGCACAAAACTCTTCCGATGCTAGAGTTTTATATGAAGGTATTGAAGAGATATTCAAACATAGTGTCGATTTCAATAAAGACTCTTTGGAGATGTTCGTACACGCCCTATGTAGACTAAGTGTAGGCGATGGTGTAACATCGAACTTCAAATCACCTACATCAAGTAGACGTACATCAATGGAGGCATTCTCGAGGAAATCGTCAGCCACGTACGTACGTCAAAATGAATCGGCATTTGCGATATCAAAAATAGATGTTGTTGGTCAATTAAATGTCGAACGGTTAATTAGTAATCAAGCTGTAAGTTTATTTCGGTTATGACATCATTTGATGATAACAGAACTATTTCGTAGAAAGGATGGTATACGATTATTGATAACTTAAGGGTCGTAATTGGAGGAGACATATTAGAATCAGATAGTTTTCTGAGGGTCGAAGCATCGGAAGTTTTAAATAAAATACTCATAAGTGGCTTGAGTGCTGCGCAAGGTTGCAAGGAGGAGGAAGTTGACAAAGTTGCAATACAATCGAGTGTTTTAAACACTTTACAGTATCTCTCTAGCTTGGATATAGAAAGCGGAAGCCACACTGTTAACAATCTATTAAAAACTATCAGAGAGTCAGCTTTAGATACGCTTCATAAGTGTTTAGAGAACGTTGGTGATAGCTTGGTGGTTGAATGGGATGGTGTTTTTAAAATCTTAACTGATTCTACTCAAAATAAACCAGTCAATGAAGTAAAGAAGGCGTTTGAAGTCGTGAACCTAATCTGCAATGACTTCTTGGATGAGTTGAGTGTTGTCGAAGTTGAGAAATGTGTAAAAGTTTTGTCATTATTTGCAAAATCAAATGTATAAGATATGAATTTAAATGATATTCATCGTGATCATAAAAGCATCCGCATTTGGGTTGAAAGTGAAACTTTAGATTTATTTGAAGGGAAGACTTGAATTTCTAATATAGTATACTAGTAAATATTAATTAGTCGAGTGATCGTCGTTTTCCATTTTAGGTGACAGTCCCCAAACCCTTACTGAGATCTTTGAAGTGAACCACCAAAAAAAACCAAAAACAAGAAAATAAACGCGTTAATTCTATTAAATTAGTTAAACGGTTTATAAATAAAGTCTTAAATTATGGCTTCTCGCGTTAGTAACCGAGACTGTCGCGTTTTTTGCAAATAATCTGACAGCTAACTACAGCTACAAATCAATAACTCACGCAGGTTAAATGCAACACGTACAAAGACTGCAGATGAGAATAATTTAAGTCAGCAACTTAGATCTAAGCAGGCGGGTATGCCTCTCCGTACGGCCAAATCATCAAACTCTCTATCCGTAAATAGTAACAAGAGATCAGCATTTGGTGATTTATCAAATCAGGAGAAGGTTAGAATTCATTTTATTCTCGAAACTATTCTAATCCGTCATTTTTTAGAGACCTACAAACAGTAAAACAACTAATACGAAGAGAGCTAGCAGCTTCAGTGAAGTTAGCAGCATCCCACAAACTAAACTACGTATAGTACAACCAACATCTAAACTACAAGTTTATAATGAAGATGATCAAATGAGTGATGATGAAGTTGACGATGGTCCACCCGATATTGACCTCACAGATGAAGAGGATGAAGTCGTTTCACCTGAAGAAGCCGAGGAAGTGCTAGGTGATGATGATGAGCAGGATATAATGGAAGAGGACCAAATTGAAGATGAAGATTGGGTGACCAAACATGTAGAGGTACCTAGCTTAATCGAGGAGGTCAATCGGGTACAATCAAACTATAAGGAGGATTTCGATTTCTGGGATACGACAATGGTTGCTGAATACGCACCTGAGATCTTCAGTTACATGTGTGAGCAAGAAATTGAGACAATGGCTAATCCAAATTATATGGAATTCCAATCAGAAATTGAATGGTCAATGCGTTCAACTCTAATTGATTGGTTACTTCAAGTTCATTTGAGATATCATATGTTACCTGAAACACTCTGGATTGCCATCAACATTATTGATAGATTCCTTTCAGTTAGAGTAGTTAGCTTAGTTAAATTACAACTCGTTGGTGTTACCGCAATGTTCATCGCTGCGAAATATGAGGAAATTCTCGCACCATCAGTCGATGAATTTGTTTATATGACTGAAAATGGTTACACTAGAGAAGAAATATTGAAAGGAGAGAGAATCATTTTACAAACTCTTAATTTCTCTATCAGCTCTTACTCTTCACCATACACATGGGTTCGTAGAATAAGCAAAGCAGATAATTATGATATTCAAACGCGGACATTATCCAAGTTTATTATGGAAGTTGCATTACTCGACAATCGTTTCATTAGAGCTAGACCTTCACTTATAGCTGCTGTTGGTATGTATGCCTCTAGAGTTATGTTAGGTGGTGATTGGAATGAAGATTTCGTTTATTATTCAGGCTTTTCAGAGTCTCAATTAGAAACCCCAATGGACTTCATAATTGAAAAGCTCATTCAACCAGATTTCGATCAACAATTCTGTTATAAAAAGTACAGTAACAGAAAGTTCCTCAAAGCTTCAATCTTTGCTCGTGATTGGGCACTTAGGAGTAGTTAGCGTTCACTAACCACAGAATTTTATCTATTTCGACATTTTCAGAAATTATGTTAGATACAAGCAAAGATATTTTATAGTTGCCAGCTTCGAGAGCTCAATATTTTGAATTCTTCAACTGTTTATTGATAATTTGTAAGACTGTGATAATATACATTCATTAAGAATAAATAATTTTATTAGTATTTGACAAAGAATGTTGCAATTATTGATGCTATGAAAGTACCGCCAATGACAAACATGAAAGCGGAATTTGGTGATTGAGCGTATATGAAACCATAAAGGGCTGGACCAATTATTTGCGCACCAGCTGATTGAACACTTGAGAATGCACCTAATACAGCACCATTGGATTCTGATTCTTTGGGCGCGAGAAGTAATGCCAGACTAGAGATGGCAGAGGGTGAAGCACCACCACCAAATGCTGACATAGCAGTGAAGGCAGAAAAAGTTGTGACACTTCCACTAAATGCCAAACCAGCGTAAGCTATTGCGTCGATAGCCAAACAAAAGCGCAATAAGACCAAATCAAATTTGATCTCAGCTTGGTTAACAGATTTAGTTAGTATTTCATCGTTTATAGTATCTTCATCCTCATCCTCGTAGATGGTTGTTGTCGGTAACTCGATCGCTGGTTTCATGAATCTCCTGAGTGTTTCAAGTGACAATGGAATTATCAAAAGCAAAGCCAATGCTCGTACAGTACCAACGTAAGTAATAAATGAACCAAGTTGATTAACATCCCAATCAAATTTGAATTTCGTGTAGAGAAACTTGATCTGCACTGAACCGATCGCCAGAACAATTGGAACGTAAGCTAATGTTATTGCTAATAAGTTTACATTCTTAATTACATCGTTATCGTCTCTCTGTGGTGCGATAATACTAAACGGTTTCTTTATATTGTCGACAATTGAAGGCATCTTGCGTATTGTTTGAGCAGCTGATTGACGTTCTGGTAGGCTAGTATCCAAATCTGATTTCCGCTCTAATGATTCCGGTATAATGAGAGAGATAATAAGCATTATTATGGATAATACCGAAGCGGCTATGAATGCATTTTCGAAATGTTCTGTGTACTTTGTAATAAAAGTCGCGAGAGCTGGGCCTGCAGCCACACCGAGGAAAAGAATACCCATTAGTTGAGAAAATACATGAGCTCTACTGCCATTATCTGTACAGTCACTTGCGTAAGCATGACTTAAAGCCATAACTGTGCTCTGACTACCTGATAAACCCTCTATAGCAGCGCTGATATAGAGCAAATACATCTGGTTTGGATCCAAACGCGTGGATACATATGCATTTATACCATTTACGATAAAGTAACCGGCGCTTGTTAGGGTAATGATTGGAAGTCTGCCTATTTTGTCACTAAATGCAGACCAGTATGAAGTTGTCAAACACGCCAAAACACCGGTAATTAAACTCAATATGATTGTGAGATGAGCTACCTCATTCTTAAAGTTTGGTATAGCATCGCAGTTTGCGTTACTGTCCAGAGTGTAGGATTGACATATAATCTTAGAGCGTACTTCGAGGTTAGGGGCGAAAGTCATACCGACAGCCATAGCATAGAGACCATAACAGGGCCATAAGCTGGTAATATATCAGCTGGGTAGCTATCTTATGCTGGTATCCTTACTAATACACCTGAGACGCTCTTGATTTCGTCTCTTGAACTAGTGGGATAGCAGAATTTAAATTTGCTATTCCTGTTGAAGGGTCTTCTACTCTGAGAGGACCATTTGGAAACGGATTATTTGTCGACATCGCCGTCGACTGATAACGTTCGTTCTTGACTGAAGATGTCATCCGAGACTGTGCCGCTTTTAGGAAAAGATCGTGAAAAGAATACGGGATTTTATAGCCTTATACCGCTCATTTTCGCTTTCTCATTCTCCCAGCAAGAAATCTTACCTTCAGCTGTGGACACCATAAAACGTATTAGCTGTTACGTCAATGGGGCTGATGACTGCAACGACGAGGCAGTACAGAAATTATCTGCGTCTATTGTGGCTGCATATGGCTCTATTAACAGCATAATGGTGGTAATATCGATCATCATAACGACTTCAATGTTGGACAAAATCGGAATAAAGAAAGTCCTATACGCTATTCTTATACAAGCTATTATTGCCTCAATTACTCTCCCTTTGGCTGTGCATTCAAGTCCAGTGGTTAGTGTAATATTGATGATATCATTCGCTGTTACCTCTGCTTTTGGTGGTCAAACTGCATTCGGTTTTGCGGTGGCTACACTAGTCAGTAATATAACACATGTCAGCGATCGTACTACAAAACTGTCTTACGTGGAAGGTACTGCTTTCTTTGGTTTGACGATCGCTTCGGCATTTGGAGGGTACCTGCCTGCGATTACAGGTAACTTCTTATCTCCATACTATTTCTCATTCTTTATTTATTCACTTTGCTTGGTATATCTCCATTATTTCATTTCGGATTCCCCTCACAATGGCGATCTCGAACTTCAAGATGTCGAACAGGTCAAGCAGACTTTCACAACAGCTTTAAAGGATTTCTTTAAACCACTCTCAATTATCCTTGGTAGAGGTCGCAGTAAAATGAATCCTGGTCCTCTTTTACTTTGTCTGAGTGTCTTCATCCTGCAAAGCGGTTCGGCCTTTACTGACAAGACACTAATACAATACCTCAGTGAGAGATTTGGATTTGACACGAGTAGGGTGCGTAATAAGTAACCTCGAGTCACTTTACTTATCGAAAATACAGACTGGATTCTATTTGTCTTTACTGACAGGATTCAAGGCTGTCTTCTTGCTCATAGTTTTCCCAGCGGCTTTGCCATACCTCAAAAGGAAGTATGAAGAGTGGGCAATTCACAAGAAATATGTCGAGAATGGCAACGAAAACCCTCGTCAAGAGGAAGAAGAGGTGATCGAACACGTCGAAGAGCCAGCTAGTTTCTTTGAAGTGATAGTGGTTAGATTCTCATTTACTATAGAGGCTTTCATTACACTCGGAATTGGTTTGGCTACGAATGCGCCAACCGTGGCTGTTATGATATGTTTTCTCTCAGTCGGAAGTGGATCTCTGCCTGCTTTGAAGGCACTCATGATAGCCTTCTCACCAAGCAAGCGTGATAGAGCAGCCACCTTGGGTGCGCTCTATATGGTTGATGCTGTAGGTCAGGTATTATCACCTATAGCACTTGGTGGAATTTTCGCAGCTAGTGTGTCCAAGCATCCAGGATTAGTATTCGCTGTTTCAGCTATACTCATTGGTCTATCAACTGTTCCAACATACTTCATGAAAGACAAGGATATAAATCGGTAGTAATACATCTGCTAATATGAAGGTCTTGCGTTGAATAAAAAAGTTTTGTAAATCAAATTCTTGACATAATAATTTCTTTCATCTTTCTGTAAGATTGCTAGTGGTTTTTGTAATTTTTGTACTTTGCCTTGAATACGATGGTGTCCAATGAGTAGAACAGGTGCATCCTAGAAGGAATATTAAACACGTATAAAAACACGCGTAATTTGCTCACAGGATTACTCAAATCTAAATTACCAACTCCTATACTCTCAGCGCTAGTCTCAACCTCAATTGAACCTTGTAAATCTAGCAAAATTCTTTCCTTTGAGTCAGAACTTCTATCATCTTTAATTAACAATTTCATTCAAATGAAAGTAAACCCTTGTTTTGCTTCTGCTTTTTCTTCTTTTGCTGTTTAGATGATGACGGTTCAGACGAGCTGTCGACCAGGAGTGTTTTACGCTTTTTTGTTTTGTTATTACCGAAGTTTACGCCATCTTGCTTTACTTTCTTTGGAGTATCCTGCTGGGTTGGTGAACCTGGTGGTGGTGTACTCGACTTCGCTGAATAGTGTGTTATTATCATTGTATTATAGAGTAAAATAAACATACGCTTGTCAACTAAGTCTTCTAGATTGTCTATTTGAGCACCGTCTTTGAGTAATGCCTTGATAGGATCCTTTTCATCTTCCTCTTCCTGATTTTCTACTACTTCTGAGCGTTTCTGGCGTGATCTTCCAAATTCATCTAGTTCCTCTTCTTCTTCTTCTTCACCGTCTACGTTTTCTCCCTTCATTCGCCTTATGAATGACGGTACTTGGGCTTTGTATTCAAGTGACTGAGCTTCTTTATACTTCATCGTATGGACACAAGGAGTGATCAGATGGCTATCTAACTATATTGATGCCATATCCATAGCTATTCTATGCGTATGATTAAATTATGTAATCTATCTTTGCTTTGTAAGTAGCTCTGATGTCATTTCACAGTTCCACGGAGAAGTCTTCCGTTTGCGATAAAAATGGCGCAATGCAGCGGTATAAGCATCCGTCTTAATAATACGATACAACTACTTTGATATATAAGGATTACACTCCTTGAACTTTAAAGATCAACTAGTACAATGACAAAGGTTTTTATCACAGGAGCAACAGGATATATTGGCGGCAGTATCTTATCCAGATACTTAGAACACTATCCGGATTTCACTTTTAGAGCACTCGTTAGATCTGCAGAGAAGGCAGACAAACTGAACGAAATCAAGAACGTAGAGGCTGTAATCGGTGACAATAACAGTGACGCAGTCATACAAGAGGAAGCCAAGAATGCTGATATCGTAGTACATACATCTATGTCTGCTGACGATCTTCCATCAACTAAGTCAATTGTCAATGGTATTCTTAAGGGCAAGGGCAGGAATGCGATATACATCCATGTATCTGGTACAGGTGCTCTCGTTGACGATGCTCGTGGTGCTCACGATCAAATTGCCTCATATGATGACGCAGACAGCACACATATCAATACACTGCCTGCTTCGAATATTCACAGAGACGTTGATACATACTTACTTGAACAGAGCGACAAAATTCAATTGCACTTGGTCTACCCAAGCACCATCTGGGGGCAAAATTATGGACATCAACTCGCAAAACGTGGTATTAGCAACCCAATCTCTATGCAAATACCAGATCTTACGAAAGCTGCAATTGCACTTAAGCAGGCCAAGACAGTCGGTGCTGGTAAAAACATCTGGCCAAATGTTAACATAGAGGAACGTGGGTTTCCTTTCTAGCCTTTTGGTGAAATTTCTAATCTCTCACTAGTTGTCGACTTATTTGTTCTTGTCTTAGATAACGCGCTAGCTGGTAAGATCACATCTGACAAGAATGGATCATACTTCTTCGGTGCCACAGATCATTATTACTTTAAAGATGCTGTTAAAATAATTGCAGAAAGCCTTTCCAAGCATGGTTTATCAAAGAATACAGTTGAACCATTCACTGATGAGGAAGCCAAGAAGTATGTTGGTGGATTTTATCTTGGATCAAACGGTCGCGCAACAGCATCACGCGGTAAAAGCATTGGTTGGTCACCAACAAAGGGCACGAAAGAATTCTTCCAAGACATTCCAAGCTTGGTCGATGATTTAGTCAAGATTAGTAAATAAATAATGATATTGTACAATGTATGTCTAATGAATTAATGATCACTACGACGACTGTCTTGCATAGGTAACCAAAAATCTAATTCAGATCCTGCTGCTGTAGCCATCATGATCATTTTTGGATTAAATGAAACAACTTTACTTGGCTCTTTATTGTGATTATCTGTGCTGACTATCGGTGAAAGATTCCTCGCCTCGTGATCTTTTTGCTCAGTAAAAGGCGGTATTTCCCATACGAATATTTTACCATTCTTTGAACCACCAACAACGTAATTACTGTCTGGTGTCCAACTCAACATATCCCTGTGTAGCTGGCTACTTGAGAAGGTTTCATGTCCCGTCAAACGGTAGTAAATTTGACCGGTGAATGAGTTCAATATGTAGTGATAGTAGCTATTTGTACCAACTAACATATAATTACCATCTGTAGAGAACTTGATACAGGTTGGATGAGGGTAGATCGATCTTCCAGGTACTTTTGGATCTTTGTCTTGCAAAACGAACGTCATGAAAGGCGCTTTATCGAATTCTTTGGTGTCGTATAGCAAAATGGAAGATTCTTTGTAGAGTGAGACCGCAAATATCAACCCAGTTGGATCCCAAGCTGCTGTTGAATTCCCTTGAATATTGAGAAGACCCTGGTATGTGTTAGGTTAAAACGTATAGTTGCAAAGGCTTACCATACACTGTGGGCTACGTATATCCCACAATCTAACGGTGTCATCACTGGATGCTGATAAGAACTGGTCGCTGACAGGACTCATTTCGAGTGAATTAACTTTACCATTATGGCCTCTAAAGTATTGCAGATAAGTGTTATCATGTAGAGAATGGTATTTAATCGAGTTATCGACCTTTGTTGAAGCGTAAAGAATAGTAGAACTTGCGTGAGTGAAACAAGGTAAATCTATGCCGTATTTCTCACTTTTAAAGTGTTTTTGATGTCTAGTTGTTATGTCAGAAGGCCTGTTCGCTCTAGAGACTATAAACGCACTTTCCGAGTCTAGCGTCGAATATATGGAAACCGTCATCAGATGCTGCTGTAACGCAAGTTGAACCTGTATCATCGAATGCTATACTAGTGAATTGTTTATCTTCTTGACAGTAGCCAGTAAATGCTTTCGAAGGCTTGAACGATTTCTGGGTGATTGTTAGAAATTAGAAGCTATAGCGATCTATATACCAACCATAATGTCCGCATTAAGCGATATTTTGGACATTTTGTCTCTATAGTAGTTGGTAGTTCGAGATAAAGATATAGTGATCCTTCAACTCCTACCATCACCATTATTATTAGAAAATGAACAGCTACAGTCAGATGGGCTACAGCCAATCACCCTCACAGCAGCCAACTCAACAGCCAGCCTCTGTTCAGAATATCTACACACAAGCCCAAGCTCAGCAGACAGCCCAGAATGTAAACTCAAGCCAATTAGGACAGACGAAGAAGCGTCAGTCAGATCTAGAGGAAGCATTGAAGCAGTACAAGTTGGTATATCTACTTTTATCGATTTATCTAACAATTCATTAGGAAAAAGAGACCAACTGATAGATCACTACCACCGTCAATCCAAGGAATAGATTCAGTTAGAGAGCAGTCAAAAATGTACGATGATCTACTCAGATTCGAGAAGAGGCTCGATATGATTTCCGCTCATAAGAGGTCCCAAATACATGACAGCCTTCAGCGTCCAGCCAAAACAACCAGACAACTCCGTGTTTTCATCTCAAACACCGCGTCTGGTCAACCTTGGCAACAACAACAAGATGGTGTTGTCAATTTCGAAACCGGAACTGGTATACCTGCCTGGACACTCAAGATTGAGGGTAGATTGTTAGACGGTAATACAACAAAAGCCAACCGCGGACCACCTAGGAAGTTCTCCTCTTTGTTGAAGTCTATGATTGTCGAGTTCGATCGTGATAGCTCACTTTACCCTGAATCTTCAATCGTTGAATGGCATAGACAACCCGCTGAACCTGAAAAAGATGGTTTTGAAATAAAGAGAAGAGGTGATCAATCATTGAAAGCTAGGATTATTATACATTTGGATCATATACCAGAAAAATATGGTATTAGTGAACCACTTTCTCAACTCTTGGGTATCAAAGAAGATTCAAGAGCTGGTATTATCACTCACATGTGGGCATACGTCAAGCAAAACAATCTCCTTGACAAGGAGGATAGAAGGATCATCAAAGCTGATGATAATTTAAAGAGCGTAAGTCTGATCTAGTTAAGCTTTTTATGCTAAAGGAACTCAGATATTCGGTTGTGATTCTATATATTACCATCAACTACCTGAAGTCGTACAAAAGTTTTTGTTGCCTGTTGACCCAGTTGTTTTAGAGTACAATATTATGTGAGTAGTGAAAAAGACCCAAATATGTCATTCTAATAGAAAACATAGGGTCGACAAAGAGCAAACCTTCGCAGAACATGCTTATGACATTGAGGTTGACGTTGAGGACCCAATTAAGCAGAAGATGAACAACACTATTTCAACTTACATGCCAAATCATGAATTATCACAAAAAATCAGTCAATTAGATGAAGAAATTAGCCAATCAGCTGTAGCTGTTAGAAACGCAGTAATAAAGAGAGACTTCTTAGATGAGTTTAGCAAAGATTCAGCTGCGTTTATCAAGAACTGGATCAATAGTCAATCTAGAGATCTCGATTTGATACTCGGTACTGAACACGCGAATGTGCCATTAGAGGAAATGCGTAGAGCAGATTTCTATCGTCGTGATTGGGTACAAGAGGGTGAGTATTGCTTCCATCGAACGACAGCGACTGACGGAAAAACCAGCAATAATCGTCGCAGAGTCGAAATTGTACGCCGAGAAGAAGAGCAAATTGAGTCAAGTAAACCCAGTAAACTAATAGCTACATGTAATCTTTTGTATTTATTCATCATTTCAGAATCCAAGAAATCTTACGATTGAAGTTGAAAACGGGATAAAAAGCTGTAAAAGAAGATAAAAACATAATAATAGAAAGTATTAATAATAAATAAAAGTATAATTTATATTTTCATCAAATGTGTTTTTGCTCGACGCTGGTTGGCTCACGACAGCGATTATGTTCCGTTTAAGTTCATTGAGGAATAGCTTAAGAGCGCCATCGTTAGCTAGTAGATGCTTTAATACAACGGCTACTAAGCTCCAATCACCTACAGTCGGTACTTCTTCTGCCACTGTAGAGGATATGCACGATTTGAGTGCAGAAGAGATACTTAGAGACAGCGGCGATAGAAAGGACGCTGATTTACGTCACTTTACAGGTGAATATACACTTTAACTGTTATTCTAACACTTACACCAACTTATAGTAAACTTTGGGTGTGTAGTATCCATACAACAGTTACCAGTCTAATAGAACCACAGTCCACAGCATCCAGCGGCTCACGGTGTATTGCGTCTCATTCTAGAACTCAACGGTGAAGAAATCCTTAGAGCAGACCCTCACATTGGTCTTCTCCACCGTGGTACTGAGAAGCTCATGGAGTACAAGAACTACGTACAAGCATTGCCATACATGGACCGTCTTGATTACTCATCAGCTAGTGCGTTTTTTATTACACCCAACGCCAGCACTGACAAAAACAGTGACTAACGAACTTTCTTACACTAGAGCAGTAGAGAAATTACTCAACATTGAAGTACCAGAGCGCGCACAGTGGATTCGTACTTTGTTCTCTGAAATTACTAGAATTTTGAACCACATTATGGCCGTTCTCTCACACGCGATGGATGTTGGTGCACTTACACCTTTCTTGTACGGTTTCGAAGAGAGAGAGAAACTCATGGAATTCTACGAAAGAGTTTCAGGTGCACGTTTACACGCTGCATACATAAGACCAGGTGGTGTTGCATTCGATCTTCCACACGGTTTATTGGAGGATATACACAAATGGGCAACTCAATTCAGCTCTAGAATTGATGAAATTGAAGAAATCGTTACCGGTAACAGAATTTGGAAGGAACGTACGATCGGCGTTGGTAGAGTAACTGCTGATGAAGCTCTCGATTACGCTTTCTCTGGTCCAATGTTGAGAGGTTCAGGTATACCTTGGGATTTAAGAAAAACTCAACCTTATGACAAGTACTCTGAGGTTGACTTTGACGTACCAGTTGGTGAAAATGGTGATTGCTACGATCGTTACATTTGTCGTGTTCAAGAAATGAGAGAAGCAGTTAGAATTATTGGTCAATGTTGCAACAAGATGCCTCCAGGTCCATACAAAATTGATGATCACAAGATTGTTCCACCACCAAGAGCTTCAATGAAGGAGTCCATGGAGAGTCTTATTCACCACTTTAAGATCTTCTCTGAAGGTTTCTCCGTACCACAAGGTGAAACTTACACCGCAATTGAAGCTCCAAAAGGTGAAATGGCTGTTCATTTAATTAGTGATGGTTCCAACCGCCCATACAAATGTAAAATTCGTGCACCTGGTTTCGCTCATTTGGCAGGTGCTGACTTCATTTCCCGTCATCATTTCTTGCCGGACATGGTGTAAGTTTACTTCATTAGTAAAAACAGTAAAATATTGACAAACTACTTTAGCGCTATTATCGGAACCATGGATCTGGTTTTCGGTGAAGTTGATCGTTAGCTGTGCTTTTTCTTTCTTTTTTGTACCCCTCTTAATATGAATTTTTGAGACATCTCTATGTTCGAACTTGTTTATCTGTTAATAGTCAATTATCATGATAGAGGAGTGTGATTCCATTGCTACTGCTTTGTGATACGATCTAATCATATCTTCATTTTTTTAGATATTTTTAAAGCGAATGTGATCGGCATAGATAACACACTGACACTTCTAAAACACTATATTTTAACTAATCCGCTGTATAATCATGTATATTCAGATATGTTCATGGTATGAGTCGTTCGCTACTTTGTTCTTAAGTCCGGGGAATGTAACATACTAGCGGCGGGATGGAGCAACATCCGAGATTAAAACTAAACTGTTGTGCTAATTTTTTTAATCTATTGTTAATGAAAACATCAATTGATTGCCGGATTGCGTATCTCTTAAGTACGTATACTGTGGTTTGTTTGCAAGTGGCTACAGGATCACACTTGTCCAGATGTTCATATTGTAAGATATAAACAATACATTAGAGACTCTTTTCCATCACACTATCCTTCTTTTTCTGTGACTGTGTATTTTCTCTCATATTTCTAACATTCTTCGACCAGGAAATGCACCGAAAAATGTGCTGACTAGGCAAAAAGAGATCTCGTGATGATTAAAATAGAGTTGAAGTTACTTAATAAACGCTATAGTTGACATATGCAGCTTATATTGTCTATATGCATGTGAAACGGAACCTCTCAGCTGTCAAGAGACCAGGGCTGGATTCTGTTTTAGTACAAAACAACACAAAGGTCAGCTGAGGAACGGTCTTGAAACCCGGGTAGGACTTTTTTAGACAAGTTGTGATCTACATAGCGCGCACTCTTTGTACATCCCCCAACCAGTCTGTCTTGTCCCCCATCTGATATAATCACAAACTGGTGACTTCGCGCTTTCAGAAAATCAATCAAGAAGATATATTAAATTCTGAGTTGGCATTACTTCCTTCAATAATTACATACATATTTCAAGAGAATAATATTTTCGTTGTCTTGATGTCCTTTGTACCTTCGAAGGTGAGTTTCATGAAATAGACAAAGTATATCTATCTAACAAACAGACTAGCCGATAAAGATTCCAAGTTGGACAAGTGATCGTCGACAATGGCGTTGTAGCAATACACAATGCTTGTGTTGGGTACCAGTAGAATTCCGCAACTGTCCTCATTGCAGCTATCCTAGACCTTCTGGTCCGTAGATGTCTCTCGATAGTCAGGTATCTAGTTTGGTAGCCTATACACTACCCTTTGTCCTCTTACAGATCAAGCATTGGTGAACATATACACTTCACCCACAAAGAAAATAATCTAGTGTCTTCTAGTATATTGCATCAGCTTATATATACCATAAAAATGCATTTGTATTTCTTATTTGCATCTTAATTCTATCATTGAACTTGCCGCTGTCTTATCTCTTAGGTTCTGACGTCGACGAGATTTCTAGAGTTGCTGATATGATAGAAATAATATTTGAATATATTAGCAATCAACTGTTTGCTTACTAATTTAGATCTTTCTGTTCTGTTCTGGAAAAGTGTGGAAGGTGAATCTACGAGAAGTCTCTAGGAATTGTAGACAGATATATAAGCTGAGGTAGCGTCTCATTTGTCGACCATCAACAACCAAACTAGCAAATCTACTTCTCAAACGCACTTAAACCACTAATCTTAAGCATACAAAGCATACAATGACAATCTTCTACAACCAACCAAGCAACTTTGAATTCCCAATTGAATTCTTTATTGAGGAAGCTGCACCAAGAAAACACACTAACGCAACACCTTCAACATCTAAACCTCGCCTTGATTTGTTAGAATACGAGAATTCATATGAAGCAAGACTAAACCTTGCAGGATACAAGAAAGAAGAGCTGGATATATCAATACACGATCATAAGATTACTGTCAAGGCTAGTCATCCAGCTGAAGAAAACAAAGACAACAAATTTAACTACTTGATCAATGAGAGTAGATCTTCACCAGAAGCTAGTCGGACATGGAAAATTCCAGAGCACGTCACAAAAGACAACATACATGCTGCTTACACCGACGGATTACTCACTCTGAGATATTCAAGACATGCCCCTGAATCTGAGCCAAAGAAAATCAACATAAATTAATTTGCTATTGAGTTAACCAATAGAAATATTTCAAGGACATTTGCAATTAAGTTATACATACTGTTTCTCTTGAATTTTCACGAGCGTCGAGTGTTACCATTTGAGAGTTGCCTGCTTTAATTACTTATTCTCATCTTTGTGCGTCTAATAAAACGTTTGGATGATTTTTGATTACCTTATTGTAATAAGTGAATACTTGCTAAAGTTCTCAGCGAGCAAGCAAATGACACTGTTTCTCGTGAACAAACAAAAACGAAATTTTTGTTAACCTTAGTAGGTACCTCTTGTGACATTCCAAAAGTAAATAAATAATATATAAAACTAATAGGAAATATTACAACATCTATATTTAATGCTTTTATTGATATACTCTTAATGCAAATGCGAATTCAATTTCAATGAGTTTTATGAGACACTCAAAACTCATCAAGCTGGGTCGGATCATATTGTTGCTGATTGTTAGTCTTCTCATTTGACTCCTTAGCCGCATTCCTCTTTGGTCTATTCTCGGCTATAGGTTTTTCGAAATCCTCCTTAGCAAATCTGTACATAATATCGGAACTTTCATAGTTTTCGTCACTTTTCATTGCATTCCTTGTATCACTACTGCTATTTGTGAGTGCTTGAAGGATCCTCTTGCGTTCATTTCTAGCTTCAGGATCATCATACATTATTCTCAGCGATTCGTTCTGTTGTCCATTTGTCTGAGTACTGTTTACTTGTGACAGGATGCTAGGCGGTGGGGATGGTGACGATAATGGTGACGAAGTTGCCTTAGAAGGTGCAGCAGTTACTTCTTTACGATTATCAACTTGCTCTTCTAAAGGTATAGGTGCTGGTGTTACACTATTATTGGCTGAATCACTGGTCGATGTGCGCTTCAGGCGTGGTCGCTTTTTCGTTTTGCTGTTATTTGGATATATTTTCTCACCTTCCTGTTTCAATAACTGAACTATACTATCATGAAGTAATTCTCCATTACTACTATTCTCTTTCTTTATTTTGAAAGGATTAGTTGAGAGTGTTTTCCGTAGTGGAATATTAGCAGTAGGTGAAGATTGCAATTGCGATAATCGTTTTGGAGAAGATTGCGATGACGGTAGCATAATAGAAGGTGGCTGTACTGTTGTTTCACTTTGAGAGTCAAAGAAATTGGTCTCATTTTGTTTATACTTCTCTGGTGTCCAGATATACTGTTCAATTGGAGAAATCCGTCCTGTTGAGATCGTCTGCCAGACCCATTGGACATCAACGACAGGTGTTTGCCATTCCAATGCTCTTTCGAGCCTTTTACCACGCGGTGGCATTACCGATATTAGGTGGGTTATACCACGCGGATAGCTGCTTTTAGTTGTTATACCTATTTCATGAGTTATCGATTAGACTATCACGCTATAACTCACCTAATAATCTAAAAAATCGCATAATTTGGGTCCGGTCACACTCATCTAAACCGCTAAACGTGATACACAAAGAAGCCGCAAATTCAGCTAAAATGGGTGTTATAAAGCGACGCAAATAGCGAAGACAACTTACGTGAAATAGTTGGCATTTCGAATGGTCTGAAAAGCGGACTACTATTATATGGAATGATTTTGGATTCATACATACACCTTTCAACCCAGCATTCAGTTATTGTGAGTGAGGGTATTTCTGTTGTATATGTATTACCACTAAGAGATCGTCAGACATACTTTAATTGTAAAAGATTCCTACCTGTTGAATGGAACTATAGTCACATCTGCCAAATTAACCGAATTAGTTACACTAGCGCCATACTTTTCCAACTCTAAGTCTAGCCTATGTGATTTTGACTTTTCGAAACCTCTATGTGAGAATGTGTAATTGTTAAACACCTTACCCTGATCAGCAGATGAAGCAGGTTGGATGTTGTTGTTGGCAAATGAGTTGGTTGCAGGAAGTATTGTTTGTGTAGGCATATTGAATGCGTTTGAGGTGTTGTTGAATGATTCATCTTTAAAGAAACTATTTGAAGTATCTATATGTGTTGATCTCTCTCTAACTGGTGATTTGGTAGTCTGCGAAAGTATGCCTTCAACCAGAGAAGATTTTGCTACTTTATGCTTCTTCAAAACAGCCTTCTCTAGATCTTCGTTACCCGGTTGTTCAACGAAACTTCTCTTTTTGTTGATAACTGGTTGTTGTACTTCGGTCTCTTGGGGTAGAATACCAGGACGCTTAGCTTGTGATGCTCTATACTTGGAAATATCAGGGCGTTCTTTCTCCGTTGAGAACTCCTCCTCTGGTAGACGGCCGTTGACGGCGAGGCAAGCATTTATCCACTCTGTCCAGACTATCTTGATCTTATTTTCATTGTTCATATTGTAATTTCTCGCCCATTTAACCTTCTGTGATGTAGTGTTCTCAGTGACTAAATGTGTACACTGTTTGTGTAAATCTCTCGATATGTTCGCACCATTTGCGATGAGTGACCTCTCAATTTCTTTTCTAATTGGACCAGCTTCGACACCAGACATTGAGATTATAAGATTGGTAAACGGTAAAAGTGTGTACTTCTGAATGAGTGCTTCTACATCTACATTCTCACCGTCGATCCATTCTAAGTAGGATTGTTCAATAAAGGCTGGTAACAATACTGTTGCACCTAATTGAATCGCACAATTATACTTTGGACTGCCAAACTCTATAGCTATGAGATGTGTAACGTTATCTGTGAAATTGGATTCATAAGTAGCACCCATTTCCATAGCTTTCTTGTATAATTCGTGCCTATTAAGTATACCTGTAGAGCAGAATACAAAACCGTCTAATGGCTTCTCTGATGTCGTTTTCAGGTGTATATCATCAGCTTCATCGTAGAATTCCTCATGTTGCTCATTAATGCCAGATGAAGCAACTTTTGGTCGTGGTTTTAGTTTAACATTGGGTATTTTACGCGTTAAATGACCCCTCCTGTGTGACATGGTATATATAAAGAGAGAAGACGCGTATTTTTCATAAGATATAAACAAAATACATTACAGTAATACAGGGGTATTAAAATCGTTATCGTCGTTACATTTCTTAAAATCCATTGCCATCAAAGCTACCACGGAGGATACGCTCACCCATTGGTGAAACTGATCTCTTCTGGTCTGATTTTCTCCTTCCAGGTGCTAGTTTAGGTGATACTGAAGTAGCTGGTTGCTCTGGCTGTTCTACGGACATTAATGGTTGCTTAGCCGGGATAGTGTTTAAACCACCCGGAGTTTCGTTTGGTTGTGAGGAAGGTGGCTGGTTTGTGCCCTGAATGCAGGATAAGATGATGCGCTACATACTAGTATAATACCTACTTTAAAAGAGAACCGCCTGAATAAACTGGTTATTCCACTATTTCCTGAAGCACCCGGTGGTGAAGGCTGTCCACTAAGCTCGAAGCTACCTGAAGGTCTCCTAGGCGGCTGGATAGACAACGTCTGCGGTTGTGTAGGAGAAACGCTCGTTTCTTTGAATGGCTGTGAACTGAATGGCGAAGTTGATGGTAAAGCTGCTTTTACGGAGCTAGGCTTGTGGTTTAATGAGCTTGTTGTACTCTCGCTGCTGCTGCGTTGTCTGTGTGGAATATTTATTGATTCGCTCATGGTGGTGTGACGTAAACTGAGGACAGTTACCGCCAGAGGGTCTTCTTCCTTGGAGAGTTGCCATTATCAGCTGAAAATAAAAAATGTCAAAAATAGTCAAAAAGGTAGTCACCGATATTACAGGGAAATATGTTTTTAGTAAAGTTATAACCGGACCACGAAACCCACTATATCAGGAGTTTACAGACGACGAAGGGCATGTTCAATCGAAGAAGAGAGAAGTTCCGGTTGGGCTGAGTAAAAAAGATCAAGCTGTGCTGAAGAAAATCAGAAAGAGAGCCTATTACCTCGATAAGGGTTTTACTATTTGTGGATTCAGATTTGGATATACCTTTATATTTGGTGTGTATTTCTTATATTAGTTGTAGCCACCCACTAATACCCATTTAGGTCTCATTCCCGGCTTTGGTGATGTCTTGGTGAGCAAATCGCAGTTGATTACGTCATATGAATTCTGACATAATAGGACGCTCTTCTCAATTACTTTTTAGTACTTAGATTAGCTGAGAAAAATCTAGATTTACCATCGGGTATTATAAACCATGCATGGTTCAACAACTTAGCGTCTTTAGGTTTCGGATTAGTCCCTCTAGCCGGTAAGTGTCTGGTATGTTGTAGACGAATATTAACAAGCTCAGGTGACCTTGTTCTGGCTGCTTGGAAAGCCAACTCTCGTAATGCACAAATGTTCGAAGAATACTGTGAGAATAAAGCAAGACATTGGAAAAAGCTAACTTTATACAGTGATAAAACGCGCGGAGTTCTATATCAACCTTCCAGAAGAATCTAAAGAGCTAGCTGCACAGTTAGATATCCAAGGTGACGTATTATACGACCAAGAGAATGCTGAATTCCCGAAAAAACTTTTCAAAGCAGCCAAAGGGATCAAAGCAGGACACGGTCTGAAGAAGTCTGAAGGTGTCAAACTCAGGGAAGAAATCAAACAGAAGTTATCTAATGTCTAATTATTATTATTTTATATACCAGTTGCTTATTTTATTTGTTTCTTCTTGACGGACTGTCAATATGCTGCGTAGAATAACAGCGAATATACCCAAAAGTACACCTAGAATATGCTCTAATAGTAAAATAATACCAAATATATCATATAAACCTATTTTGGCCCCTAAAGTTAGGTTCTTGTCGCATAGTCATGTGAGATTAGACAATCCATTCAACCAGCAACCATCCCCAGGTCCACAAGTTACTGGTGTTGGAGAATATGACGGTGATAAATCTAAGAAAAAGAGTGACGATAAGCAAACGCTTGTTGACGTTCTATCAAGCAATCCAGCTTTCGCGGCTGTGGTATCAACATTACTCGGTTTATCTGTAATTTTTGCATGTGGAGGTGCCTATATGATTTGGTACAAATGGAGTGTCCTAAACAAAATAGAAGATGCGTTCGCACCAGGTTATGATCCAGCTACAGAGCTGGCGAGAATGTCAGACGAAACTGGGAACTCAGACGATGAAATACACATCAACAGACCAGAACAACCAGTTATTAAAGACATTATAAATGGAAATAAACCAGGTAAATACTATCTACTCCTTGGCCAAAAAGGTACAGGTAAAGCAACAATGATTTTGGACGCTATGTATGAATGCAATAGCGACAGAATAGCTTACTGTGAAACGCATCCAGATTTGGAAGTCTTCAGATTACGTATAGGCAAAGCGCTTAATTACGAATTCTTGGAAGACTTCTATGGTGCGCTCTTCCAACGTCGTGAACCTAGAGATGCAGGCCCGTTACTTGATATTGAAAGAGCCATGTCGAAGTTAGAGAAAGTTGCAATGAGAATACGTCAAAAGAAGGGTAAACCAATTGTATTTGTGTTTAACAACCTCCACTTACTCAATAATGATGAAACTGGCGTTGCTGTCATTCATCAATTACAGCAAAGAGCTGAAGCATGGGCTGAATGTGGTATTGCAACTTTTGTATTCACAAGTGATGACTACTGGGTATTAGATAAGCTCAAGAAAAACGCAAATAGAATGAAAATATTATCAGTTAATGATTTAGGGCATGATGACAGTATTCGAGCTATGAAGAGATTGAGAAAGACACTTTACAATTACAACATTGATGATCCACTCGTAAGAGATCTTCCTGACCAGGGTGAAGGTGTCTATGAAGAAGTTTACAGGTTGATTGGCGGTAGAATGTCGCATATTGCACATGTTTCACGCGAATTTGATATGCTTGCTGCTGCACAAAAGCTCGTAGCCGTAGAGAAGGCATGGTTACAATCTCAAATTGGTTTGATTCCAGACCACGATGATGATGTTATGGGTCAGTAAAAACTAGTTCGTTAATCTCAATATTCTTACAATTTATAGATGAACAAAAGTGGTCTAGTTGCAGTTGGTGCTTGTTAAAATACCTCGCTAGACAGAAGACACCAGGAAACGAAGAGGAAGATGACGAGGAAGATCTCCCTGATCCTATTGATCCTGCAGCATCTCCACATGTTAGTTACTACAAAGCTAGACAACTCATGACAAGAACAGACTTCCTTGAGCCTCTCGACAGACTTAACATCGTCAGTATGGATGTTAATCATAATGTTAGAATGGACTCGCATGTTTTGTTAACTGCTGCAAGAGAAGTAGTCAGTCGAGAAGGTTTCGACCAGGATCTTGAAACGACAATGGACAGAGTTTCAGACGTGAGTGACGACTATAAATCTACCACTTTAACTAATACGATATCAGATTGAATGGCTTGGAAGAACCCGCAGACTTGTCGTTACCAAGTCTGTATAGACAGGCATACACATGGACATTGTTATGATTTTTTAATCGCTCTGCAGAATTAAATGAAATAATAGATATCGTTATTATTTAAAACAGACTTTAGAAACTCTTGAAGTAGTTGCAAACCAACTTTTGAGCATCCCTCATAGCGCGTGCAGTGAATGGGTCATTTTCATCACCGCGAACACTGAAACCATGGGTGGTACCTAGGTAAGTGTGCCATGATGATGGTATCCTTGCGTCCCCTTCGAGATTAGCCTTTTTGGCTGTGATTGCTCTAGCACTCTGTTGCTTCTCGTCTGTGAAAATGTGATCGTGTTCCGCACAGATGAAAAGACCTGGCTTTGTGAGACCCTCAAAGTCTTCGTCTTCAGTTAATGAAGGGTGAGCGAAGAAGACAGCATCAGCAGCACCACCTTCGTGACCAAGGGAGAGTGCAGCTGGTGCACCCCAGCAGTAACCACCGGCAACCAAACATCTTACTTTGCTAGTAGATTTGATAGCTCTAGCGACACGATCAGCAACTTCCTTTTGTTGGCGTGGATGATGCTTTCCGAGGAATTGGCCTAAATCAAATGTCTTGCTTTGTTCTTCGTTGTGTGGTGCATGGTCACCATCGAAGAAGTCAGGAAGGTAGACTCTAACACCAGCTTCTTCAGCGTATGTATCAGCAAGTACTCTGTTGTTAACGAATTGCCATCCGAATACATCACTAATCATCAAGACTGCAATATCACCTTGAGCATGGCTTGGTGATGCAATGTAAGTCTTTAAATCACCGATAGTTGATTCGATACCCTTTGGTGTACCTTTTGAGAATGATCCAACAAGTTTACAACAATCACCCATTTTCACGTGAAAGTTCAGATTCAAGGACAATATTATTAAGCTAGAGTGATTTATGAGATAATTTTAGAAATTGACCGGAGACCGAGAAAAGATTGGAGATACTCTCCTGAAATGGGCGAACCGGTAACTAATGTACAGATCCTTAAAAATATATGTCCCTCAATTTTGTTGTTACTTAATCGTTACGTAATGAGTACCCGGAATCAACTCGTCCAGTTTAATAAAATGACAATAAACCTATGTTGGAATCGAATGTAGGAAAGAGGTGATGAATGCACAGCTCAGTTATTTGTTAGGTGAGGATGTAGCAATCAGGAGGAACATGAACATGCTAAAAATATGACAATGATAATAATGAAGATAATGAAGACTATACAAGGTTGTAACAGGATCATCCTAGACATGAACATACTTTCAAAGTAATATCATGCAATGATGTCTGATGTCGACAAGAAGTTTACATTTTCAAATCCAACATTAGAAAATGATGTTTCTAAGAAGGTGGGTAAGAAATAATATGACTAATCAATCACTTCTGAGGAAGCACATGCCATTATTTCTGTTTTGTAGTGAGGCTTTAACAAATGTCAAACGCAATCTCCGAAATAATAACTTACTGGATATGTTTATTGATACTGTTGTCTTTCCTTATTCTACTGTCCATGCAGTAACCAAATTTAGCAAACTTTTTGGCTGGCTTTACGTTGACATAACATGATATGAGGTAACATAGAGAGTACTTTCGATTAGGTAAAGAGTTATTTCATTTATCGTTGGACTAGTCATTGATATATACGTTATACTTTTATACAATATAGAAAGGAATGCGTCGCATCTGCTACTTTCTAGAATCAAGCGAAATGCCTATAGTCAAGCACTACGCATTACGAAAGCCCCTGAAGAAATTGCTAGCGAGTGCTTGAGCATCGCCCATAGCACGTGCAATGAATGGATCTCTTTCGTCACCACGAACAGCGAAATGGTGCTCTGTACCTAAGAAAGTGTGCCAAGTTGAGTATATTCTCTCATTGTTTGCCTTCTTGGATGTGATTTCTCTAGCTTTCTTCTCTTTATCTGGTGTGAAGATAGAATCTTTCTCTGCACATATGAATAAACCAGGTTTAGCGAGTAACTCAAAATCTTCATCAGCTGTCATTGTTGGGTGTGCAAATGCAACACCATCTGCAACACCATCCTTGCGTCCCATGTAGAGAACAGATGGAGCACCCCAACAGAATCCAATAGTGATTATACGCTGAGCTTTTGCAGATGCTTTGATCGCCTTTACAACTTGTTCAACCTCATCACGTTGTTCACGTGGTGGATGCTTGCTTGCAAATTCGCCGAGATTGCTAACAAATATGAGTGGATATCATAACAAACGTGGTTTGACTCACAAATCCTTCAATTTGTCCAAATCAAATGGTGCATGATCTCCATTGAAGAAATCTGGAACGTAGACGCGTACACCAGCCTGCTTAGCATACCCATCTGCCAAGACGCGTGTGTTTGTCAATTTCCATCCCTGCATTATCTTGCGTCAGCGATTGCTTATCAACGAGATAGGCCGATATGAATGTTGGCCACATATCAGCCTAAGGATAATACCCACAAATACATCTGGAACAACTACGACAACTACATCGTTTTGTGAGTGATCAGGCGATGTAATGTATACTTTATGGTCTGCAATGGTTGATTCAATGCCTTTTGGCGTCTTTGTGGAGAAGCTTCCAATAGTTTTGCAGCAGTTCATCATATTGAATTGTTTATCGTTGGTTGTAAACAAGTTAGTTAGTTTGATTAAATATCCATACATATCCATATCGTCATGTGTTTGAGATCGTAGCCGAACGGCTTTAGTCCGACGTTTCTGGGCGTCTGTATCTTGTTGATATATCTATGTAATTATTCCTTAGTAGCTGCAATTAGAGGCAGTACCATTACCGATGTCCAATTGTGTGACGAAGGGAAGCTATGCAATATAGGAGATATTAGCAAATTATAATGTTATATGAGCATAAATGTAGTAGTTTTCCTTTCAGAGTTAACTGATAGATAGGTGTGACATGTAGTATACACCAAACAAACCATTAGAGAAGTATTTGATATAAACCCTGTGTATAGATTATTATTATACAAATATGCTAGCTTTTCAACCCTTCACTTTCAATATTCGCTCAAGAGAGAAGACAACTACTTGATAGCTAACAACCATGGCCGAGGAAGGCCAGACAGTGCAGAATGCAGGAGAGCCAACAATTGAAGATCTTCTACAAAAGACGCTTATTTTAGTATCACAACAGGACTATGAATTGGCGTTGAAATTCTCTGAGCGTATACTCGAAGTACAAGAGAATAACCCGGACGGTCTACAATTCAGATCACTTTGTAACTTAGAACTGGGAAATCCTGAAGCAGCATATGAAGATTTCTATAGATTAGCACACTGTGGTGAATTAGAGAGAGAAGTCGATGCGAAGCTCTATTTAGGACAAATGGCAGATGGTGGAAAAGACTCCCTGGAGTGCTTCACAAATGCATTTGAAAGTATAAGTCAGCTTATGCAACAACAACAAAACGAAACTGGCGAAATCGCCGTTGAGTTGAAGAGAAAGGCTACTGCTACTTTAGTCAGTTTGGCTGAACTTTACATGACTGATTTATGGTGAGTCAACCATTCTAGTTTATAGAATCTTTGTTTCTTACGACTCTCAGCTTTGAACCTGAAGCACAAGAAGCCAGTTTGGGTTACCTCAACCAGGCACTCTCTATAGATAACACTGATTGCGATGTACACACAAATCTAGCTTCACATAGCATCTCTTCACAACAGGAACCACTTCAATGTCTTCAACACGCTATCAATTCTTACAATTGCTGGAAGGATTTGCAGATTTCAGACAATTTATTCCCTTCAACGGATTCTATGCGTTCATTATCAAAGGTATTCGTTGAACTTGGATCATTAGGGGAAGCCCTTGAAATCACAAAGACAGCGCTCGCTGTTGACGATCAAGATCCTGAAACATGGTATATCGCTGGATGGATTTTATTCCTCGAAGGCGAAGGTCAAATAACTCCATTAGAAGGTAGCAATCATGCTACACCTAGACCAAAAGAGATCGCCTGGCCTGAATCAAAATTCGCATTAGAGAGTTGCGCAAAGGTGAGTATATGAGTGCACTTATATACTCTACTAATGATATACAGATATATGAACAAATAGAGTACGATGACCAACCACTCCTTGAACATGTCAAGGAATTGATCAGCATATTAAACAACTCCTCCATCGAAGCTAAGACATTCGACGACGCAGAGGACGATAATGAGGAGGGTGACGGTGATGAGTGGCTCAGTGATGACGAGCAAGGTGATATGCAAATAGATAACTAATTTAATGATTGTACTTTTCTCAATGGATTTATTTTCTGAATGATGTTAAGAAATGCATGGTATATCATAAAATATTTCTAGTTTTCAACCTTTTCGGTTACTTTTTCAACTGTTTCAACTTTACCGAAACCACCTGTGCTACCGAATCCGCCTGCACCGCGTACAGTTTCGTCGAGTTCTTCGACTTCTTCAACTGGGAAGCTTTCGATCTTTTCTAAGATGAGTTGAGCAACTCTATCACCTTCGTTGACTTATATTTTGTTAGATTGTTGTGTTATTTTCACTACTAATACTCACTTTCAAAGTCATTCTTGGATAAGTTGAACAATAAAACAAAAACGCGTCCACGGTAGTCAGCGTCAATGACACCAGCACCGGTGTGAATGTGATGCTTTGCAGCTAGTTTTCTAGTCAACTATGATTCTCTATTGTGTAAAAATATACACACCTAATCCACTACGTGGTGCAACGCGTCCATATGTACCAGCAGGTACTGAGATGGAAATACCAAGATCAATGAGTGCCTTATCACCAGCTGCGATTGTCTTCTTCTCAACAGAGAACAAATCGTATCCAGCTGAGAATGCACTTCCACGAGCTGGGAGTTGTGCTTGTGGGACTAACTTTTTAACGAGGAGTGAAGTAACTTGTGATGCTTTAGTCATTTTCGTTTCTTTTTCTACTGTAGTATCTGGATTCGTTGATTCGATGTCGCGTTTTGTCATCGAAAGAAAGAAGGCACGACGCGTGACATGACGCGAGAATTTAGTGTGAAAAATAATGTATTTCATTAAGTTAAAATACGCGTACAAGAATATTTATCGTAGAACGTTATAGTTTAGAAAACTGAAATAAGTAAGCGTCTTCTTTTAATATAACTCCATTACTCACTGTAAGGGAAGATGCAGTAAGGAACTTTCTCAATGTAGGCGTTCCAGTCATCACCATACCTTAGGTACTACGTCAGAGAACAAATTATTACTATTCGCGAGAACTTACTTCTCTCTACAGTGTGAATCATCGCGAAGTGCTCTGTGAATGAGCAAGACAGTGAAGTAAGCAGGGTAGAAGTAAGTCAATGGTGTACATCCACCAGTTGGCAAACTCCATGCTACAGCCATTATCAAATCGCCTATGATAATCCATTAAATAGGTCTCTCGTAACACACATCACTCACCAAGGTAGTTTGGATGTCTGAGAGTACCCCACCATCCAGAAGTCAAGAGCTTAGTGCCTCTCTTTGTCTGCATGTATTGGAGATCTTTGAGAGTATTAGATAGTCGAGTTAAGCAGAAAAGTTAGCCTACTCTTTGGATTCTTGCCGTTTCTGAAATCGTTCTTTTCTGCGTTTGAGACACGGAAAATGTAGTAACCAAGTAGCTGTAATAAGACGACAGCGAAAACGCCAAGTGGGCCCAAAACGTTTGGATGGTAAGCCAAGAATCTTGCTTGAAGGGAGTACACGAAAGGTACCCAAGTGAGATCACCAAATGCTAGAGTTGTCTTAGATCCACCCATGTAATCAAAGTGACCAACTCACCTAACATGAAACCGAAACCATCGTGGACGATGTCCATTTGAGTGAGGATAATTGGCTATTTCGCGTGAGCAATAAACATAAAACCACAGTACACCCGAACCTCATTGTATAATGCGTCAAAGACGTACCAGCCGTGGAAACCAACTACGAGAATCATTGAGTCAGTCAAACGGCCGAATGTCGCGTATTGTCTGCAAGCGAGAGAAATATCAAGGAGCCACCAAAGTGCCAAACCTGGTCTAAGTTCATCTGTGTGTTGTTAAGCACGATATCAACAATATGATCAACACCCACTGAAAGTCTTGATATCAAATGAACCAATTGAAGGGTTGAGTTCTCTACCGATGAAGAACTGAGGGCTGTCAGAATAGATTCATGTAAAAATGCATACCCCACATCATGTACAAAGCTGCCGGTGTTACCACCGAGAGCAAGTAATTTGCCGGAAGTGAATGACATAGCGTAGCAGAAGACAGATTGAGCGACTGACATGATAAGTGAGGCAGTAAGAATTGGTATCCATTTATCAGCAAGGTAAGTGAATCCTTCAGGACCAGCGCGAACGATTTGTCCGATAGCGATACCAGTAGCCATAAGCAATGTAGCGAAAGCTAACGGGTGTTATTAGAAATAAACGACTAAGAAAACACCTGCCATTCATTTTATAGAGCTTGTAAGTACCATCACGGAGCTGTGTACCGCGTACCCATTGTGCAGGTATGATAGCCCATGCAACGACAGTGAAAGTGTACCAAGCAAGGTATACGCCGAAAGCTTCCAAATCAAAGAGTGATTTCCAGAAGTCGCATTCTAAAAGCCTCTCAAATGCCGGTTTCTGTAAAAGTTGGCATGTATCATCATCATACGAGTTTGGACATGCGAAGTAAAGCAGGTAGGTTATAGCAGGCGTGAGTAACGTTATAGCACCCGTACCGAGTGGGCCGAAGAAGCTATACTGTGTTGTCTTAGGATTGATTTCTTCTCCTTTACTAACTTTCGTCATGGTCAGCTAGAGAAGATCAAATATATGCAATGGTACAACATAAAGTTTGTTAAAATTCTGTGATATTTAGAAAGAATAAATTAGCGTAAAGAGTGTGTGTATATGTCTATCGGTGTGAAAGCCAGTTGTTGTCTTCTCGTATCAAGGTGAACCATAGCTTCTCCTTAGCTCCTTCTCTCTGAGCAGTAGATTTCCAATGTTCCATATGAGCGTTTTTTGAGTTCTGCCTCAACATGTGCGCATTCTATCGCCATCTCCCAATCAGTGTCATCGAGGATAGTGCTAAGAGGGTTGTTAGAGGAAACACTTCTATAAGACCTTCTTACACTAGGTCATCATCATCCTTGAACTTAATCGCCAGTCTGGGGGGTTCGATATGCGGGAACTTCGAATGTACGCTATCTCTGAACTATGGAGAGTATGAGAGCTGCTCTTAAAAACAAACGCAACTCACTTTTTCATACGGTGTTTCTTTGGCTGATATAATCATACCCCTAACATCTTTATTCAAAAATATCTTCAAGAATGTTAAAACCACCATCTACACCATTTGAAATACCACTCACCTTTATTCTTATATTAAAATTGGGTACACTGCATTTTAGTTCTTGTGTAGGTGGCGTCAGTTGTCCATCAGTATCAGAATGCGTTCTCTTCATCGTGCCCGGTCCAGTGCTAACAAAGGATCCAGGGAGCGGTGCTGAAATCGGACCAACTGGTGAAACAGCCATAGGTGTGCCATGCTCAGAAGTAGATGGCCACTGTTTTGGTATCGAACTTGAGCTGCGTTTTGAGCTGATAAGATTATTTGACTTTGTTCTTAAAGTGCTAAATGAACGATTTATAAATGCTGGTCTAAGTTGTTTCTTGCCACTATTAAGCTTTTCATCAATTGCCTGCCTAAAGCTCTTCTCGCTATCTTCCGAAGAAGCTGAAGTCGACGGTGTTGGTAAAGGTGAGTTAGATTTATGCAATGGAAGTGTCAAAATAGGTGGTGGACGCTTCGTATGGAGTGCAGAGCTCAAATCGTAATCGTTAACCTTCCCCTAGAATTACGTTGTTAGAGGATGTCGCGTGATATAGCATGATTGTTCTTACGTTCAACATGTTGTTTTCAAGCTCCGCACTTGATTGATCGAATTGTCTACGCGTAAAGTACATTTCAGTTTTAGTTGAAGTTTGTTTCTGATTTTGGAAATTGTTATTAATCTCAAAGTCTAGAACAGTTTGTCAGTTTTTAGTTCAAAATACCAAACGCGCCTGAAGACGAAATGGCACTAAACTGAATGCGCCGCATTGCATCACTTACCTTTATCGTCAACATCTGATTTGTCCTCGGATATAATATCTTCATTTATAACAGCAGATTTTGGGTATGCGCTCGTTGTGAGGTTAGCTCTTGATGACGTCCTTGAACGTAAGATAGGAATGGTTGCAGCATCAGATTTAATGGGTGGTGTAGTATTTGATCTACCAAGCAATACGCTCGGTCTATTACTACCATCTTGAGCTGTCTTTGGTCTTTTTTGGTTATTATCGAGTAATTTGAAACCAGCAAAATCGGTCTGTATTAAGGATCGCAAATTATTGAAAAGCATAATATGAATGCAAGAAGAATGGGAGGCATATGGTTAGTCGATGTCATTAGGCGAGAAATGTGTTGATAGACTTACGGAGAGGTCGTATGAGTGTGACGTACTTATCAATTGACTACGTCCTAAGTAATCCTTATAGTTTGTTTAGATGATTTAACTATCCGGATAATGAATTTACCTTGACCCCCAAATTCTTTATTTTCACCTCCGGTGGTTGAAATAGCATTCCGACAGGCACAGCGAACAGAGAAGCGGACTGCAAGATGTTAGGAATGAGATCGAAAGTGTCTATTACGGCGCACTCTACCAGAATTATTTAAGACTGATTCGATGATGACATGCTCTGGTTTTTCTGATTTATCGAGTGCCAAGCGAAGTCTATTAAAGCCGAGTTGAGTGCGTCCAGCGCTGATGAGGCATACACCAAGATTAAACTGCACCTCAGAAATGTGTAAGCTGTAATCCAAGCCGATTTGTGCGTAGTCGCTAAATGATGCCGTCAGTACCTTAGTTATATAGCGGACAGCTAGCTACATTGAAATGTTACCGCGCAAGCATTCTATGCAGATTTCGAAACTATGTATAGCGGCGTTCATACAGTTTTGCTTCTGTAGACAGTTAGTTCTTGCCCTTCGTGAGTAGGTGACATACAAAGCTAGAAACACCAGCTTGGAAGTGTGCAATTGCGAGATAAGGATCTAATTCGCTGGATCTTAGGAAGCACTTGAGAGCTTCTTTGTCAATTGCTAATCCGTCGTATATCATAGCAATGTTCTATGTTTGATAAGAAAGGGTATTTATACGATGGTGGACTCACGAACTGGATTTTTGAGGTATGAGCGATAGTCTAGTAGCAAGTTAGATATGGAGCTTCTAGCAGAAGATACAGACTTTAAAACTATTGACTGCTTGAGCTACATCTTCGCGGTCGTAGGCTTCCAGAGCTTGAGACCAGATAGTAAGCTCATCCTGGGTTACTCTGTTAGGGCTGTCTATTATAGGCCCAGCGACTCACTTTCAAACTCATCGTCGTCGTTGATTAAAATGTGACGATAGTCTCCCCCGTCTAGACTTGAGCTAGGAACAAGGGGTATGTCCTCAAAATTGGCGAGAATCTCGCTAATACGTCACAAACAAAGTCATTCACATTTATTTTCTCTATATTTATGAAACTGTACTTGATAAACAGAAAGTTAAAAAGTCAAATCAAAATTTCTACGGCCAGCGTATTTCTTAACAATCTTCGCACCAGATGTCAAGCTTTCCGTCACTACGTCCATTTCCATGTAGTCTTGCAGTATCAATTGCTAACTCCAAATCTGAGTGATCTTGGATTGTAATCTTTATACCATCCTCATCCTTGAATCTGACTCTAAAACTACCAGGTCTTTTCTCAAATTTCCGTAAAATGTGATGTATGAATGCTTCGAAAGATGTCTCATTCCCAACAAGCATTCCACGTACGTCTTCTCCGTAATGTATTTTGAAGCGCACTTTCAATGATGGCGCATTCTCACTCTTGTTTAATGATTTGCTCTCTGGTGATCGTGGTGGTGCAGCTGCAGGCGTTGGTGGCGTCTGTGCAGGTGGTGGCGTAGGTGCTGTTCTTACAACCTCTGGTTGCTTTCTTTCGAGCATTCTCTCAGCATTCAATGAACTTGCATTTACGGGTGACATTCCAGTTGTACCCTTCTCGAGCATCCTTTCAGCATTTAATGAGCTAGCCTCAACTGGAGACATTCCTTTGATCATAGTTGAACCAACTCCATCATCGTTCTCCTCATTGCCTTCTTCTATACCCATCTTCTTCATGCTATTAGAGATATCAATAGCACCTTGCTTTTGTTGCTCCTGCATCATTCCATATGTACCACGTCTACGTAATGCTGAAGCTTGACGAGTGAGTGTAGGCTTCTCTTGAATTTTTAGTGGCGCTGTTGGTTTGAATGGTCCACCATTAGCTGCATTACCACCATTTAATGCTGTGAGTGCATCAACTGGTGATCCACCGCTATCATCAGTTGACTTGTTAGATAAATTACCAAAGGAATTATCTGAAACAGATGATGGAACAGATGTACCGTTTTGTGTATCATACATCGTATCAGTTCTTTCATCGAATTTTATTGAGAAGTCCTTGTCAGGCAAAACTGAAGGTGTTGAAGGCGTGATTGTCAATGCGACATTGTTATCAACAGCTTTTGGTGTTTGCTCTGAATGCATAAGGTCATCACCGATTTGAAGAGCAGGAAGTTGTGGTGGTCTGTGTGATTGAGTTTGTGAAAATAATGATTGTGGACTTGAATTGTCAGAACGCGGCCAGCCAGCAGGCACGTTTGAGAGTGTATCGATCGCAGATGGTTTTCCCTTGCGATTATCATGATTTATGCCACTTGATTGAGTGGTCGAATTTGAACGACCGGAAATCTTACTAAAGAGTGTATTGCTCCTGTTTGGAGCCTCAGCTGGTGCATGTTCAGTGTAAGCTAATGAATAATCATCGCCCTCATTAAATGAACGTGATCTGCGTCTCTCTAAAGGAGGCACATCCGGTTGTGGTTCATTTCTCTTGAACTTGTTGTGAACATGCTTAAGTGATGTCTTGCGAGTTGGGAATCTAGCTCTACTTGGCGCGAGCTGTGGTTGCGATGATGAATGATGCAATTGTGGTGGTGGTTGTGATGTGTGCGCAAGTGAAGGTGAAGGTGAGCGCGAGTCGTCGGTCGTAGGTGGTGTTGGAGATGGCTGAGTAGTAGACACGTCCTTGAGTTCACCCATGCGTTCAGATGGGAGTTGAACATCAGTCAATGTAACACCTTTACCTCGAGCAGGGTCTGCCAGAGGTTGGAATGTCGCTTGCGTTGGTACATCTTGCTCTGACTTTGAACGCTTCTCCGCAAGAGTAGAAGAACCTAGTGTACGCGCTCTAGAGAGCATAGCGGCGTTCTTTGGTCCCAATGCAGCTTCATCTGGAGTCAATCCAGTTTTTGTACGCATTTCCTCTGTTGGTGCCTTCCTACGCTCGGTCTTTTGTCTAGAAAGACCGGAGAAGAAACCGCCTTTCTCGGTAACTGGTGTGGACGTGCCAGAAGATACGGGGGTTGTTTCATTGCTACTTTGTTTGCGACTACCAGCAGTCGGACGACGAAGCAGCTTCGGTTGCCAGTGGGTTGGGTTACGTTTGAGGGTACCACCACCGCCAGGCAACCTACGACTGAGTGGAACATCTTCCGATTGTTCGCTGGTGTTTTGGTTAAGTGGTATATCTGGACTGGTACCGTCATCGTCGGTATAGAGTACCTTTGCTTGACCGATAAAGTCCTTCTTCTCGAGGTTCTTTATCTGTGATTCAGAAGGTCTGAAGACGATTCCTGGCTGGACGGAGTATGGCATGTAGCCCTGTAAGCGGTCAGTTTAGGCCGGTGTTCCTTAAGGGAAATGCGTACCTTGGCTTCATCCCTCATACAATCGTCTATAACACTGTTTTGATCGGTGGAAGCGCCATTCCTAGCTATCTGTAGTTGATTGACACCATCCTCTGGGCGACCTGAGTAATAGTAGGTCAATGCGATATTAAAGTCGATGTTTGTGTTCTCGAGTTTGTAAGCGAGACCAAGCTGTGCATAGTCACTTGCATAGTTTAGTAATAAATTCCAAAGCTGGATAAGACCTACATGAAGCTGTTTCCTCTGAGCTGCTTCTGGCTGGCTTCGTAGTCCGAACGAGCATGCTCGTAGCGTCCACGCATAAAGTTGCAGACGCCTGATTGGTAGTGTGCGATCGCAAAGTATGGATCTATACGTAATGCGCTGTTGAACAACTCAGTTGCACCCTTCTGATCACCTAAACTTGCGTGTATGACCGCTCTGTTGACTGTCGAGAGTTCAGATAGTCATAAACGGATAGCAGAGGACTTACATTCGATCTTTGAAGATTGTCCACGACTTTGCATCGTCTGTAGAACGTCAGCGGTGTACTCTAGTATTAGCGTGCTACAAACAGAGAATTGGCGCAAGGCATGGATGTAATCGCTGGCATCGTACTTCTCCAGGGCTTCTACCCAGCTCTGTAGCTCAATCTAGGCGTACTAATCAGTATACTCTCTAGTTTCTTTGCTATACACCCACTTTCATCTGATGCTGATGATAATCAAGATAGAAGAAGCTCTACCGCTTAGTCTTATACGATCAACAAACAAAAAAATTCTAGAACATTTATGATTCTAAGGTCTGCTTATAGACAAACAAAACAAGCGAGGTCTTTTGCTACAGAAGCTCTGTCTTCTTACGACGTCTGTGTTATTGGGGGTGGCCACGCAGGCTCAGAAGCTGCTGCAGCCAGCGCACGGACAGGCGCTAGAACTGTACTCCTCACTCACAATCCAGACACTATTGGCGTTATGTCCTGCAATCCCAGTTTGGGTGCGTTCGTGGATCATCTTGCATTTTGATCTGACATACTATCAGGAGGGATAGGAAAGGGTACGCTCGTACGTGAAGTAGACGCACTAGATGGCATCATGGGTAAAATTGGCGGTCTGTCTCTTTCTCCTCTTCAAACTACTCCTAACTAGCTGTTCAGACGTCTCTGGTTGCATGTACAAGATGCTAAACAGATCGAAAGGCCCAGCTGTTTATGTTCGTTTGATTGATCCTATCTTACACCTCTAACCTTTATTACAGGGCCCACGTGCTCAAATAGACCGCGAATTGTACAAATCAAACATTCAGAACACACTCAAGAACACAAAGTGTCTAGATATACAGGCCGGATCAGTACACGACCTTATCTTTTCTCATGAAAACCTCACTAAATCAGGCGCATGGGGTGAAGTTCGTGGTGTACGCCTCGACAATGGGCAAGTTATACCATGTAAACAAGTCGTTTTGTGCACTGGTACATTTTTAGACGGTGAAATACATATTGGAATGAAATCTATCAAAGCAGGTCGTAAAGGTGATCCTGCAAGCCCTCGTGCAGGTCTCTCAGAATCTCTCAGACAGGCTGGTTTTGCGTTGGGAAGACTCAAAACAGGTACTCCCGCACGACTCAAAAGAGAAACAATCAATTTTAGCAACATGATTGAACAGGAAGGTGACACAAGCCCAGAACCATTCAGTTTCCTAAATAAATCTGTTCATCTTGAGAAAGATCAGATAAAGTGTTACCAGACACACACCACACCTGTCACTCATGATATTATCAGGCAGAATTTACACAAAACATTCCACATAAGGGAGACGATCAAAGGACCACGTTATTGTCCATCAATTGAAGCGAAGATTATTAGATTCCACACAAGAGACTCTCACAACATTTGGCTTGAGCCGGAGGGATTCGATAGTGATGTAATTTATCCAAATGGCATATCAACCACCCTCCCAGAAGAAGACCAAGAAAAAATGATACGGTCAATACCAGGTTTAGAGAAAGCGGAAATGATCATGCCTGGATATGGTGTTGAATATGATCACATTGACGCCCGTGAATTGAGTGCAACACTTGAAACAAAGCGTATACCTGGATTATATCTAGCTGGACAGATAAACGGTACAACAGGCTATGAAGAAGCTGGTGCACAAGGTATTTTAGCCGGTCTGAATGCTGGATTGGCAGCTCAAAATAAGTCACCCTTGGTATTGACACGTGCGGATGGATACATTGGCGTGATGGTAGATGATCTCATAACTAGAGGTGCTCAAGAACCTTACAGAATGTTCACCGCAAGATCGGAATACAGGTTGACCCTCAGAGCTGACAACGCAGACACAAGGTTAACTCAAAAGGGCTATGACGTTGGCGCAGTTTCTGAATCACGTTATACTGTTTTCGATTCAAACAAAAGGGAAATGAACAAGGCTACTGAAATCTTGGAAAGTTTGAGGATGTCTCCCGAAAAATGGAGAGATAGAGGTATACTTGTGAATTTGGACGGCAAGTCAAGAAGCGCATACGATATGCTTACATTTAAGAAAGTCGGTACGCAAATTAGACCGACGGTCGATGATATGATACAACATTTGCCTGAATTGGCTAATATTGATCCACGTATGCGTGAGCGTGTAACTGTCGAAGGTGGGCGTTGGTGTTATTTTACTACAATTCATACTGACATCTCCTTAAGCTATGTATAAGCCTCACCTTAAACGCCAAAATGCAGACTTAAGAGCATTCATGTCGGAGGAGACACTCTCGCTTGATCCAAATCTAGATTATGATTCTGTTCCTACATTATCAAATGAAGTACGCGAGAGGTTGAAGATGGTGCAACCATTGTCTATTGTGAGTTTTCATCATTTTTGAGATTTATGACTAATAGGCTTTTAAGGGTGCCGCCAAACGTATAGAAGGGATAACACCATCAGCAATAATCACATTATTAAGACGCACCAATAGAAACAATAGACAATTGTAGAATTAGTATACTCGTCAATAATTAATACATTTCGCATTGCATACAATCCAATCCTTTTATTAGGAGAAGTGATAATTTTCACATAACACGACTCAGTTTCCATATTTTCGAACATACATAATGACGTGGTTATACGACAATTTAGCAACGTTGATATGCTAGAATATGCGCTTAGACTATTTAGTGCATACCCGACCGCGTTCCTCTTTGAAGCCAAACTAAAACATTCCAAAGGGGGCTGAATGGCATATTCAAATTGAATTCATTCAATTAAATTATCTTCTTGTCTCTTTCAACTAAGTAGCTAATAATGTAAGTGAATTTAGACAAGATAGGCGTATCTTATATTCCCCTCGTAGATGCGTCTCAGTGTAGCTCTCGGCATTATTGCAGTATTAGCAGCACAAGTAACTGCTCAAGCCGGTCCATTGGATGCTCTGGGAAAGTTAGCTGGTGGCCTGATTCCAGGTGGTGATTCATCATCATCACCAGCTGCCCAACCAAGCCCAACTTCATCAGCTACCCCTACCCAGTCACCAACTTCCAAGCCAAGCTCCAGCACTACCCCTACACCATCACCATCTTCTTCAACTGAAGAAGCCCAATCTGAAGAACCAGTTGCTGAGAGACAAGAGTCATCCGACGTAGAGCCAGTCAAGGAAGATGATGAGCAAGAGACAACTGAGGAAGATGTACAACCAGCTGAAGAGCAAGTCGACCAACAACAAGATGAGCAACCAGTTGACGAACAAACACAACAAGTTGAACAATCAGCTGATGAACAAGCACAACCAGCTGAGGAGCCTCAAATTGACGAACAACCAGCAGCTGGAGAGCAACAAGACGAGCAATCAGTGGAGGAGCAACAGCAACAAGATGAGCAACCTGCTGAAGAACCACAAGACGAGCAACAAGCTGAGGAACAACAACAAGACGAGCAACCAGCGGAGGAGCAACAGCAACAAGACGAGCAGCCTGCTGAAGAGCAACAGCAACAAGATGAACAATCTGCTGAAGAACCACAAGCTGAGGAGCAACAACAAGACGAGCAAGCAACTGAAGAACAGCCAGCAAAGAGAGGAACTTCAAACTTCATGCGTGGATACAAGAGACTTACACGTTCACTTAAGAGATCTGCACCAGGATCCAGAAAGATCAACTAAAGGAACTGAAACCATGCTAAAGAATTAACGTTTAATGAATTTTGTACGGGCTTGAGCTATGAATGATATTACATAATGTCTTAATGTTTACAACTTTAGTTGTTTGTTATCAATTGGTGTTTTACATTCTAATAGATTACCAACTGTTGAAAAAGCACAAAAGCTGAACAATCTCAGGTAATGAGGTTGAACATACAAAATCGACTAATGGTAAGTCACAGATGTGTCTCATCAAACGAATGCACTGTAATACATACGCAACCTATCAGCAAGGACATCGTAATATTGATGCTGATGATCAATCGTAGACAGGCTAGTGCTGACGTAGCCAATCAATCAAAAGCAGTGTATCGCTGATGCAGCTAATGATAATATTTTAAACAAAAACCCTCATCATATATAATTAATTCAATTCATATTTCGTTGAACAACAACACAACCAGATGAAGCAGAACAGCAAGAAATAAGCGAACAGTTGATGAACAAGCACAGCTGAACGGCCAGCTATATCTGTTTGACTTGTGAATCGAACTGCTTAATGTCTATTAGTCTTTGAGCCTATAATTCTTGAAATTTGTATATTCTTGTTAATGTTCTCACAATATAATGAAATTTTTCATATCAATGGTTATGAGTATTATTAATACATGCAAAATGAATTTACTGCGGATTCGCAAAATATCACCTTTAGTATTTACTGATGTAGTAATGCATTCCTCAAATGTTTAGTGCGATCTTCATTCTTGAACTATGAACTAAAGTGTAAGGAAGATTAAGATCTAAACAGACTGTTTAGCTACAACTTACAACTTTACATTATCCTCTGAAATGCAATTAAAGCAACTCGCATTATTGACTTTAACAACAGCCGTACTCGCTCAAGGACCTCAAGGCGGCGGTACTGATATTTTGAAAGGCTTGGACAACCAACTTGAGATCCCAGAAGGTTCACTTAAGAATCAAACATTGAGCGAACCTCCAGCATGGGCTACCAGCAAAGCCCAAAAGGCTACTTCAACTAGCACCTCGGCCACCGGCGCACGTCCAGTCGAGACTGGACTTCCTGATGAAGCTAAGAAGCAAATCAAGCAAGCAAAGGAGGACAACAAGAAGGATGATAAAGAAGGTGCTAAGGAGGATGCTAAGCCTGCAGAGGGTCCTTCCAAACCTAAGCCAACTGGCTCACCAAAACAAACCCAAGAGGCTCCTAAAGAGAAATCCGATGATGAAAAGCTTCTCGGTGGTGGATTACTCAAGCGTGGTGAAGACAAGAAGGGTAAGAAGGGCAAGGACAACAAGCTTCTCAACGGCGATTTACTCAACAATGGCGACAAGAAGGGCAAACACGATAAACTTCATGACGGTGATTTACTCAAGCGTCAAGGAGGTGGCAGCGGCTCAAATGCCAACCCATTGGGTGGATTGGGAAAGTTACTCGGTCAACGTGGATACGTCGTTAAAAGAGACATCTAGATGAACTATTTCTTAATCATGAAAGCTAGAATATTGTAATTTGAAACGTAATAATTAATGTTTTGCTAATTTAATCCGCAAAAAGTGCTATTTACAAAATCCGTGCGTGTTTAGTACTTTGATGTTCTTCGTTATTTGATAATGCTATTTACATTCGTGTGTATGTTTGATCGTAGAATTGAGTGTAAGATATCTATTGTATGGTTTGTTGATCTAAATGCATCCGACAGAAAAGATCTGACCAGTAGTTGCGCTGCTGATTGGAACATCCCTCTCAAATTTAAGTTTTGAGCTGTTCTTCTTCTTACCGCCATCCTTGTCATTTCCTTCATCGTTTCCATCTCCCTTATGCTTTTTGTCATCGTCTCCACCCTTATTGCCATCTCCCTTGTGCTTTTTATCGCCTTTCTTGCCCTTGCCTTTGCGACCCTTCTTGTGATGATGGTGGTGTGCTGCTTCGATAGTGCTTTCTGGATGGATGACCATTGCGGTGAGTCTGCGACCTTGGCAGCAACCAGTATCGAGACCATAGGTGTATTCGTTCAGGTCTAAACCGCGAGCGGCAGCGTGACCGTATATGATACGATGTGGGATACACTTGTCACCATGACAAGTCTCCATATCCTTGTTCCAATATTCGTACCATTTAACTCCACCCTTTGGCTTCTTGATAGGTTTACCCATTGGGTCAATAGAACGCATTTCGATCATGTTGTCAGGGGTATTTTGAGGAATAGACCAGAGATCAATATCACCATTGACGTGATTTGGGTTGATAGCGCTTTTTGGTTTCGTTGGGTCATGAGAGAGCATACCTGCATGAACAGCATATAAGTCGTGTTGAGGGATATGTAATAAAACTGGAGTGTTAAATAGGTATTCTTTTGTAGTGTCATTTAATTCTTTTGCAATTTGGAAATGTGGACCTTGCCATTCCCAGCTTTTTGGTAAAGAAAGTGCACGTTTTGGTTTAAGGTTCTTTGGTGCCCCGAGTTCCAACCATTCTTTGCCACCCTTGACGGATTCGACTTGGTCAAACCAGGCTTTCCATTCTATAACCTTCTGGTCGTGGTTTCCTCTCACGGCCAATGCATTAATATCCGATAATTTTTGAATAACTGGAGTGGATTCCGGACCTAATAAGGTTTAGTAAGATAAAAATCAAAATCAATGTGGAGGTAAATTTACCTTTGTTAACAATATCACCTAATGAGATTAATGTATCAAATTCCTCATCAAATTCAAGTTCTTGAAGGAGGTGATCGAAAGGTTTGAACATGCCGTGAATATCACCAACTAAGATTATTCTGCCCTCCTTTGAATGATTGTAGGTACTAGATAATTTGTAGTTTGACAAGTTGTAGCTCAAATTTGAACTGTCAATCAAGTGCAAAACTAGGAATGTCCATAGAATTGCAGCCAAAAAGAAAGATAAAATAATTACTTTATAGTTTTTATATTTTTTATTATTCAATAATGAGCTAGATTCTGTAGCTTCCATTTAAAGTTCAGAATGTTGATGATGGTCGGCAGCAAGCAAGGTACCGAAGTGCGTCAAAATATTTGATTTGATTTTAAATTTATCTTTTTGCTCTTGTCTCAAATTTGTGGCTAGGAGATTATTTAAGCGATTAGACTCAGCACTGAGATAGTCTACTCCATCGGATATTATCTTCGACATTACTCTCAAATAAACCTTATCTGAGATCTCATTCAGTGTTTCAATTATCTCGAGTCTTTGTTGGTTATTCGAGCGTAAGAATCTAACAATTATGGCGTTGTATTCGTGATTAACACCTGCCTTATCTCCTAACTCTCCATTGAGATCTCTGTCTGTCTTACAATGCTCGTTGAGGAATTTGAGGAAATGATCCAATGTTCTAGCTTTGTTGTAGATATGTTTCTCTTCATTCTTAACTAAATTAAACGTTGGGTATCCACTAACGTTGAATTGATCTACTATCTCTTTGTTATCTTTATTATCAACGTTCAGTTTTGCGATTTGACAGTTATCTTCATACTTGAATATTTTTGACAGCTCGGTATAGATTGGTTCGACAGCCTTACAATGCTTGCACCAAGGAACATAGAACTCAATCAAAGTGGTCTTGCCATCAGTCAGACTCTGATAATTTCCGCCATCTAATTCAATAACATTTGATTCTTCAACCATTGGCTTAATACCAACTTGTTGATTTATGAAATTGATTATATTGTCGAAATCTCTTCTATCCTTGTAATCTACAATTTCACCATCTTTCTTGAATAGTTTAATTGCTAATTGAAAAATCTCAATTACGTCATAATTCAACAACTCAAAACTCACTTGGGAATCCCTGCACGTTGAATTGTTTAATGAATTTCTTGTTCTCATCACCGTCTATTTTGGCTATCTTGAGCTTGTTTGTATAATCGAACGCTTCATCAATTGAATTGTAAGTACTCTCGAAGTTTTCTAGATAGTTTGAGTAATAAGTAGACTAAATAGAGTTTACTCACTACAATGTCCACACCAAGGTGCGTAACTATACACTCTATGAGCTATATATCTCATTAGATAGTAGCTTACTCACAATTCTACCAAAACGTCAGCATCGCCATTTACAACACTATAGAAGCTATCTTTGTTGAGATCCAAGACGATTGCACTAGCAATACCAATTAATATCGCTAATATAAATTTAAACATTCTAGACGTAAGGGAAGAAAGGTTGTCATCACTCATTCATCATCCTCACTTTATCTGATAAATTTAGCCTTTCTTAGCTACTATCATCATCTAAAATGTCAAACGAACCAAACAGGCTGATAGTCGTATCTAATAGATTACCTGTTACCGTTTCTAGAAGGTTTGACGGTGAATGTAAGCCTGTCCGCTAATATCGCCATTTTAACTGACAATATCCAGATGATTTCAAGTTATCCAGTGGTGGTCTGGTCTCCGCTCTATCCGGTTTGAAAAAGCTTATGGATTTTACTTGGATTGGCTGGCTAGGTATTGAGATACCCGAACAAGACAAACAACACGTCTCGGATAGACTAATGCAGGAGTATTCTTGCAAACCTGTCTTCCTTCCAGATGACATTGGTGACAAATACTACAATGGTTTCAGCAATGAAATGCTTTGGCCACTATTCCATTACCATCCCGGTGAAATGAACTTCGACGAATCGAATTGGCACGCATATCGGGAAGCTAACGCTATGTTTGCACGTGTTGTACAATCGCTCGTCAGGAGTGGTGACATGGTCTGGGTCCAAGACTACCATCTTATGCTCCTCCCAATGATGTTACGTGGCTTGATCGAGAAGAGCAACGTTACAAATGATACGCATAGGGAACTTAACAAGCTTCACAGAGGTTTAGAAACGAATCCTCCAAACGTGGAAGAGAAACATGGCGTTAAAATTGGCTGGTTCCTACACACTCCCTTCCCTTCATCGGAGATTTATAGAATACTTCCAGTCAGACGTGAAATTCTCCTTGGAGTCCTTCACTGTGATCTAGTTGGTTTCCACACTTACGATTACGCACGTCACTTCCTAAGTTCATGTACCCGTATCATGGGTTTACCTGTGCTTCCAAATGGCGTTCAATACGGTGATAGATTTGTGCACTGTGGTACTTTCCCAATCGGCATTGAACCATCACAATTCATTGAGACATTAGCAAAACCCAACGTCGTTCAGAGGATTGAGCAACTCAAAAAGCGTTTTGAAGGCGTAAAGATTATATGTGGTGTTGACAGACTGGATTATATAAAAGGAGTTCCACAGAAGTTGCATGCACTCGAGGTTTTTTTACATCAACACCCAGAGTGGATCGGTAAAGTCGTTCTCGTTCAACTTGCCATACCGAGCCGTGGAGGTGTAGAAGAATACCAAACATTGCGAGCGCGTGTCAATGAACTTGTAGGTCGCGTTAACGGTCGATTTGGTACAGTTGAATTCATGCCTATTCACTTTATGCACAAATCGCTGACATTCGATGAACTCAATGCTTTATATGCAATCTCAGATGCTTGTTTAGTTAGTAGCACACGTGATGGTATGAATTTGGTCAGCTATGAGTACATTTCGACCCAGACTGATAACCACGGTGTTATGATTCTTAGTGAATTTGCAGGTGCTGCTCAGTCGTTCCATGGTGCATTAATAGTTAACCCTTGGAATATCGCTGAAATGGCTAATGCAATTCATGAAGCTGTCACAATGCCAGCTGATGAACGGGAAGACAAGCATAAAAAATTGTTCAAGTATGTCAGCAAATACACATCGTCATTTTGGGGATCATCTTTCGTCAATGAGCTCAAGCGCATAAAGTTTTCGCATGAAGTTCAAGACAAAGACAATAAGGGTGTGTACGATGAGATCGTCCAAGCATCCGAAAGACGCGTTAGCGTAGGAAATCAAAGATATGCGGCTACAGAATATGGCAACAAAGTCTAGTTTTTATTATATTTATAACGATTATTTATTTTAATGTATTATCTTATCTCAATTTGTTACTACGATGACGGCAATACCGAGTCAGCCACCAGACGCTGCTATTAAAGCCAGCCAAAGAGAGTACACTAAAGAGGAAGAGGAGAAGTATACCAATTTGCTCTCACAAGTTAAGGCGATCACCGAACTGCCGAATGACGAAAATTCAAGCGAGAAGACTGCCTTAACAGCAACTGAGAAGTTTTGGTTAACGCGTGAATGTTTGTTACGCTACTTACGTGCTGTTAAGTGGGATGTCAGCGCAGCGGAGACACGCATAAAGAAAACGCTGATTTGGAGACGTACTATTGGATTGGGCGAGGGCGGGAAGCTCACTACGGACGCTTATATTCTCCCAGAGCAGCTCACCGGTAAGCAACTCATATGGGGTTATGACAACCAGTCACGTCCATTGTGGTATGTCAACTTGTAGTACAACAAAAAAGCTTACGCGTAGAAGGTACATGAAACCAGATAGAGTACGCTTACCCTTAATAAGCTTCCTAAATACTGACAAATGCAAAGCAAAACACCGAAGAAAGTCCACGCCAGACAGATCATGCATACTTTATGCTCGAAACAGCCAAGATACTCTGTCCACGCGGTGTAGAAACTGTCAGTTTGCTTATAAACTACGCTAAGAAGTGTGTACTGTTATTATTCTCAAAGATACGTCATCTGACGAACAAATTAGGGCCAAAGGACCAAGTCTTTCAACTTCAAAATCAGTCATGTATAAGTAAGTACCTTAGAGGACTTAGAGCAATTAACCTAACATGGTAGTCTCGCCGACCATTATCCAGAATCACTTGGTACGGCATTTGTCATCAATCTTCCTACAGTTGTGACATGGATGTTTAAGATTATCTCACCACTTTTAGACCCAGTCACTAGAGCGAAATTATCATTCAAGAATGACGTTTCAGATATGGTTGACCCATCACAACTGGAGGATAGCTTTGGTGGTAAATTAGACATGTCAACATACAACCACGATGACTATTGGCCACAACTTATGGGACTTGCACAGGAGCGTAAAAAGAAAATACATCAAAGGTGGACAGAACTTGGTGAGGATATCGGCATATCTGAATGGGATCTTAAGGATTTCGATGAGAAGTAGCTTGTTCTTGAAACTTATTGTATATATCCAAAGGAATGAAACCATATCGTTCATAAAGATCATCAGCAGGGTATATTATTTCCTCTAGGTGTGTAATTTCGATTGTAACAGCGCGTTCTTCTGGGTTGTACCGGACTTTGTAGAGTTTGTCAGTCCTTCCGATTCGCTTTATTGTCGAGGTGATGAATTCGAGGAGCATAGCCGCCATACTGGTACAATTTTTTGGGTTCCATTCGTAGGCAGATCCTTTGACTTGTTGGGGTAGATCTAGAGTGGAGTATTCCTTCAAATCCACTAGAATACCATCTCTGTTTTTGAAACCGACTATTATTTTCTATGGGTGACGTACTTAGTTGGGTTACATGCTGTTTGTCTAACTCACGGGTACGCCTAGTAGGTAAGACTGGAAATAGAATTTGAGGAGCTTCTTGTCGAAGTTATCCTGTTGATTTTGATTTCTGATTTGCATACTTGTTTTTAGCTCTACGTATTTACTTTGAGAGGGTTTGTAGGTGTCCCTATCCCTTGGGATATCATCTACACAGTCAACTTCACCGGCTGTGAGTATTCTCGTTGATCCTATACGTAATTTATTGATAGTTGCCCATTGTACTGCAGTATTAACTTTGACGTCTGGATCGTCGGATGTGCAATAATGCTCAAATGCATAACCGCTGTACATTGACATTCTGTGGTGTTCATTCTTTGGTGCAGCTGGTGGATCGCTGTCGCTTAAGAATACGGTGTTACCTATAAGCATCGCGTTCATAGACCATTTATCTTGATAATTGTATAAAACGGTTGCGAGCTTTGTCAATAAACCCCTGAAAGTGACAACGCCATATCTAAACCAATCTAGATGTAAATTATCTATAACGAACAAGAGTTGATCTAAATGCTCAATTTTATCGTAAAAGAGAGCATTTTGGTAGCCATTCTTAAGGTCAGCGCCTATAGAGGGTCTATTATAGAAATTCAGAGATTCATTATTGTACAAGATACTTCTATTGCTGTTTATTGAGTAAGTGTGTAATTGTAAGGGATAACTTAGTTCTGTACGTTTGAGGTTTTGGGTGTGAGTTGGTAGTCTAAATAGCTTAGCGTGCATCAAATTGTACCTATATTTATTAACTGATGGTGGTTTATCGTTAGATTTTTGACATACCACTAAATGTATCATAAGAGAAGAATTTTCATAGTAAAAAAGACGACTCACTTCTCTTAGTGCGCTGCTTGTACATAATTCTATGGCCACACTCCCTGCATCTGATAGGCTCTCTTGGTCTGATATCGTTTGGGCTTCCACAGTCTGTCTTCTAATTAAAGGGTGCTAGAACTATAGTGTCTACCTCACCTGCACACAGATACTTCATTATAAGATTTTTGTCTTCAAAGTTGTTGTTCATATTTTACGCCCTCTTCGTTGTCGACCTTCAAGAAGAGCGTAATGACTGGAAGAGCGACTCAGAGAAACACCCAGAGACAGTCCTTCACGGCCTTGTACTCAATGTGCGTATTTTTATTTACTATTTACTCACCCCTTATATTTCACTCAGGGCTGCTGAGCAGGACGTAGACGCAGATGACGACCTCGCACGGGCGCAAAAGAGATTACGGGAGTTGAAGTCAAAAATATCCTCACAGTCGAAGAAGAACTTCGTTTTAGAGCGTGACGTACGTTATTTAGATGGTAGAATCGCCCTTTTGATCCAAAATCGTATGGCTGCCGATGAGAAAGAGGAAGTCGCACAAACGTTGGAGGAAACTGACGATAGCGCTGGTTGGCTCGATGATAGGAAGGTACAGCAGTACGCAAACTTATTCTTCTTGTTGCAATCTGAACCAAGGCATATCGCCGTACTTTGTCGACTCGTTAGTCTTGCTGAAATCGACACTTTATTACAAACCGTTATGTTCACTCTTTATGGTAACCAATACGAGTCACGTGAAGAGCACCTTCTACTTACAATGTTCCAATCCGTTCTCTCCGCACAGTTTGAGACCGCAACCGAGTTTGGTAGTCTTCTTAGAGCTAACACCCCTGTATCAAGAATGATGACGACATATACACGCAGAGGACCTGGTCAATCCTACCTCAAGAGCGTCCTCGCTGACCGTATAAACTCACTCATTGAACACAAAGACCTCAACTTAGAAACCAATCCACTGAAGGTGTACGAGCAGATGCTCAACTCTATTGAGGAGGAGAAGGGTGTTCTTCCACCTGGTTTACATAGAGGTGTATCAACTGAAGTAGCAGCTGAAAATCCAGATGTACAAGCTATAATCAAGCCAAGAATAACGATGTTGATAGAAATTGCAAACTCTTTCCTTTACACTATTATTGACTCAATCGATGCTGTTCCATACGGTATAAGGTGGATATGTAAACAAATTAGATCACTCACTAGAAGAAAATACCCACAAGCAACTGATTATGCTATTTGCTCTCTTATTGGTGGTTTCTTCTTCTTAAGATTCATAAACCCTGCTATCGTCACTCCACAAGCATATATGTTGGTTGATGGTATACCTGCAAAGCACCCTCGTAGAACGTTGACATTGATAGCGAAAATGCTTCAAAATTTGGCTAACAAGCCAAGTTATGCTAAGGAAGCTTATATGATGCAGCTTAACCCATTTGTTGAGAACAACAAAGCCAGAATAAACCAATTCCTCAACAACCTTTGTGAGGTTGGTGACTTTTACGATCAACTCGAAATGGATCAATATATGGCACTCAGTAAAAAGGAACTTCAAATAAACATCACACTCAATGAGTTGTATAATACCCACGCACTACTTATACAACATATGGATATCCTTGTGAGTTAACTTATTATAAGACGACATCCATCTAATACAGTCAAAGGCGCCACAGAGCAAGCAACATCTTAGGATACTTCTAGATGAACTAGGTCCATCACCTACTCTCGTACCTAGAAAAGACAATCGAACCATCAATCTTCCAATGTTCAGTAGATGGGAGACGCCTATACAAGATTTGACAACTGCATTAATGGCTGAATCTAATATCACACAGAATGACATTTTATATATGGAAGCTAAATCGATTTTCGTTCAATTAATTAGATCAATGCCAGGTGCAGATAAGATACCAGTTGATTTGCCAGCTATAGCAGAAAGAGCCGCAACCACAAAGGATCCAATACTCGTTAAGAAGGGAATTAAAGTGAAAGAAATGCTCAGAGAATTAGAAGAAATTGGAATTATTGATAGAAGCGATGAATACAATCTTATGCAAGAAGAAGTACAAGCTGAATTGGCACATTTAGGTAACATAAGAGAGAAAGTTTTAGTTGAATCTAAAAGTTTGGATAGTGTCTATAAAACTATATGTGATCACAACAATTACCTTCGCTCACAACTTGAATCCTATAAAGCATACCTTGCCAATGTTAGAATTAACTCATCAAAGGATTCAAAATCCTCAGCTGGTGGTGTAGGTGTTGTAACCGTCGGTGGTAAAGAGAAAAAACCTGCGAAATCTCATATATTAGGTCCATATAGGTTCACGCATTATCAATTAGAGAAAGAAGACATCATTCGTCAATCGAACGTACCAGAGAATAGAAGAAATAATATTTACTTCAACTTCACCTCACCTACACCGGGTACATTTATAATTGCATTACATTATAAAGGTAGAGAGAAAGCGATCCTCGAGATGGACTTGAAGATTGACGATTTACTTGAAAAACAAAAAGATGGTGTCAATTTACTCGATTTGGAGTACGTTCAATTGGATGTTGATAGAGTTCTATCTTTACTCCAAAAATCTTTCTCAAAGAGACGCTAAAAGGAAACTCTTAGAAATAACTCTTGTTGTTTGCACAATTACCTTTCCACTTTATTGAGATCATTTTTGGCAGTTTCGTTAATTTTTGGAACATTTAGAAGACTCTTTATTGCAACTCATCGTTTTTTTTCTCTCAATCTTAGATACTAGTAATATTCACGCACAGGTCTATATATATCTCACTCATTTCTCTCTCACAACTTTTTTTACCCTTAATTCTTTCTCCACTCTTGTAACAATTTCACCCAGATTATACACTTAATGAATTTCCTTTTCTATATTTTAGTCAAAAATGTTTTAGTTACACCTATATCGTAAAAAAGTTGTCAATCGTATATAATGATTATCAGGCTTCAGCTAATATTGAAGCAATCGTGAGTGTAGTAGTGAAAACGACGAGGAGAACGCCAAATATCAACATAGCGATATCAGCAGCCTTAACGTATGTTGATCTTGCGCATGCTTTAAGATGTAATAAAGGTGGATAAATGAAACAAAGCGGTACGCAAGCCACTAGATAATTCTCATTAGTTAAGTCAATAAAAGAAAGTACCACTCACAAGATCCAATTAATGAAACAAACTTATCCAAATCATTTGCACCAAGTATACTAACGACTATGCAAATAAAGACTATAAGTAGTCTAAACAAGTTCTTCTTCCACTTTACTTTGTTACTGAATTTACCTGATCTAACAAACAAACCAGCTTCCATAATTCTAACAGCTGGGAATAATTGCAGGGGTATACTCAGTAATATAGCGATAGAGTAGAGGAATTGAACTATTTGTACGAATTTGTCGTCTTGTGGGAGGTTAGAAATGACGACCGTTTTTATCTGACTACCGAAGGCAGCATAACCTAAAAATCCAGAACCTGCGAATAAACTTGTAAGTACTACCATAACACCTGATAAAACGTATGGAAATTTCTTTGGTTCTTTCATTGATTCCATAACTGGTATTATCAATCCTATACCTTCAAAGGCGAATACAGCTGTACCCATGAATAATGGATAAGATTTAGAATTGAATAAAACGACATCCTTCGCAATACCCTTTTCTAATAAAACTGCTGATTCTTGTCCAAATAAGTAAACTATCCCAATCAAAATGAACGCATCTGCTATAAGAGCAGTCAACGATAATTTTGTTAAGTTTCTATATAATGCTAATGGCGTAAGGATAGGTATTTGCATCACAATGAAGAGCATCGTTGGTAGATTGAGATTACTTTCGCTAACTGCTATAACGAAAGCTCGGAGGTTTTCAGCAACGAATACGGTGTATGCTGATACGAAACCCATTTGTGAAATTGTTATTGAAGCCAATATAGCTAATCTCATTTTGTTACCATATAGTATACCACCGATGTCTATAATTACCTGGGTTAGGTTACTCTTTATGTAGACGATGTTACATACCTCCAAATGAGCCAGGTATTTTGTAACTGGTGTGTATAAGCAATATATATGCCCACATATTCAGGAGTGCGATAATAATAATTACCGCGGTCGAAAAGTAAAGACCACCATTTAAGAAAGCGCGACCAAGGAAGAGTATACCAGTACCTATGAAGGACTTTAAGAGCTATAAGGATATCAGATTAAATGAACTAATATCCTTAAGCGGTTACATACCATCAAAACAGCCTGGGTGATACTAGCTGTACCACGCCTTGCAGTTGAAGTTGACCTCCTCCTTACTGGTATTGGTTTAGGTAAAAGAGAATCACGCTCACTGCGACCTCTGACAGCCTCGTCTCTATCCTCCTCGCTCAACTCTTCAATTTCCTCTAACTCTTCACCAGCGAAATGACCAAAGAGGAGCAGGTAATCAACAAATGTTGTACTAGCAATTTCAGGCTCTTCATCACCTCTCTCTCTTGCTTTGTTCACTATATGGTGTCGTCTAAATCCGCCAGGATGACGTAAATATCCCAAAGAATGGTCGATTTCAGTCTCAGATTGTGACTCTATAGCAGATTGCACGTTCGAAAAAGACATGCTCCTAGGGCGTGTAGAAGTTGAATTTCTATGTTGTCTCTCCCATGCGTATAAATGATGACTAAATTAGATAAGCCGATATTGAGGGATATACAAAGGAGGACTACTCACGTGATATCAGCGCCTGGGACGTCTAAAGGTGCAGAGAACTCCTCCTCTGGCTCTTCTATATCGTCTGTGGACGTGTTGTTATTGTCAGGCTGACTATTCTGATAGGGTGAGTGTGAGTTTGAGTTTGATTTATTCCTCTCCTCCTTTGAAACCAAGTGCTTTCTTAGCAACTCTGCCTTGTACTCGTCGCTGGCGTCCTCGAAATCGTCTTTCCGTAAATGGGATAGACGGTTCTGTTTGCTAGGTGAAGAACTGTAGTTATTAGATAAGCTATCGTTTGGACCTGAGTAGTTGTATTAGTAAATTCTATTATAAAATATTACACCGACTTGACATGATAGTCGATAAGGAACTTGGAATATCTTGAAATAAAACACCGATGGCTGAAAATCCAGAACAACCGGGCGGTAAAAAGCTCGGTACTCTACAGAGTGACACCTCTAATTCTGCAACTCGCACTAATGAGTACTCAAATACTCAACAAACCCGTGCTGGTACGACAAAGATGAAGTTTGCACCAAAGATACAACCACGCAAGAAGCCAGTAGAGGTTAAGCAAGTGAGTCTCTCATTTTTATTAGCTATCCATCCAACTTCTACTTAGGAATCCGCTGAGTCCAGTACACGAGGCAGAGGTAGAGGCAGAGGCAGAGGTGACGCATCTAGGGGTAGAGGTAGAGGTAGAGGTGAAGTCCAGATGACGGCTTCAGGTCCCTTCGCTATGGGTCCTTCAAAGAACGCAGGAATGGGTAGAGCTCGTTCTTCAGCTGCAGCTACCGGTATAACAATTGGTGGTAATAGACAGGCAATGCAGAAGGATGCCTCGCAATTATCTGGTGGAAAACCATCCGTATTAGCAGGCGATAGAGGTGCAACGATCAAAGACGAACCTGAACAATACTCTGAGAATGAGGATGAAGGTATGGAAATCATCGATATACAGCGAGTTGGTGAGTTGGATCAAAACGCTCCAACTACTATACCTAGAGAGCATTACAAATATGAGACAAAGAAGGATAAAAAGAAAAAGAAGGATGTTAAATTCAATGTTAAATCTGAACAGAAAGACAAAGACGGTGATGATAAGAGTAGGTGAATGTTTGATTTTTGAAATAAACACTTAACTCTTTATAGTGCAAGAGGACGAAGATGACGATATGGAACAAGCTGATGTAGAAGATATCGCAGAGGGTGGATTGGACCTCAGTGAATCAGAAGAGGAAGACGAGACTGAAGACGTTGCTCATGACTTTACAGTTGGTTTGGAAGCTGAGGAAGACCAGCTGCTCTTCTTCCAGTTTCCGAAGACATTTCCAAAATTTGCAGGACCACCTAAGCTAGCAAATACAGACAAAAAAGTATCCTTCGCTGATGAGGATGACAAGAAAGAATCATCTGAAAGTGATAAAATGGATGTCAAAGAAGAAAGCAAACCTGATGTCAAACCCGACGTCAAACCGGATCTTTCTGAAGTTGATCAAACTGGACATGATGACGACGCAGAGGGTGAAATTGGTGAACTGCTGGTATACGAAGATGGCCAAGTTAAGATGCATGTTGGAAATGGAATAGTGTTCGACATGAATAGAGCTACACAACCTTCATTCGTCCAACACGTCGTATCGATCGATGATCACCATAGACAAATGTCAGTACTTGGTGAAGTCGGTCTAAGGTATTCTGCAACACTTGATATAAATAGATTAATTGAGCAGATGTTTTTGGACGAACAAAAGCAACGCGAGGAGCAAGAAGCCGCTGATGCGGCAAAAAGGGGAGCTTGAGCTCAATAGGCATATAGATATTTATTATGTATAAATGCATTACTTCTAATCTAAATAGTCACGATGGATGAGATGGGTGTAAACAAGTAAGCACTAAATGAGATTTTAAGGAGATTATGCAGTTGCGTATATGTGTGCATATATAGTAGTTGGTCAGTGAAATGACCAATAGCTAGAGGTTTATGTCCAATGTCAGATCTATTCTATCATACATGTTTTAGTGTATGCCCATTTAGATAACCAGAGAGACTCAAGTACAAAGTATATACATTTGTCACTAAGTGAATGGAATTGCACATAATCAGTTGTTCGAGACCTTCAAACGATATACATGATTAACAGTCAGTAGATGCAAACGGTAATGTAGAACTTGTAATTCAAATAGAAGGTATTATATACATAGGTAAACATGTTTAAAAATCTATAATGTACTCTTCACATCATCCTGAATCCATTCAAGTATGTATTTGCAAATCAGATCCGGTTTTTCAAGCATGTACCAATGTGTTATACCATCTGGTACAACGATAGTCTTGAATAAATCATCTGAAGCCTCTGCATATTCTTTCTTTTTCTCATCAGAGAAAATTGGTTCACCTTGGAAAATTATCTGCATGAAAGGCATTTCAAACCCGAGCGGTACATCTAATTCAAGCTCTGAGTTGATTTCCCAAACCTTGTAGTAGCTACAAGGACCTCTCATGCCGTGTTTTCTGAATTGTTCTACATGCCATTCGTAATGCTCTCCCAGGAGGGATGATTTGTGGGCTGTTTGCGGATGAACTTCCTTCTCCCACCTCTCTGAGCCGGAGTCTTGTAAGTTTGCACAAGCCGGACGTGTATCTTGGTCAGTTGGATAACTAAATAGGTTCGCAAAGAAAGATTTTAATTTGGCTTCAGAGCTATCAAGTCTGTTGATTGTTACATCTTCTCTCCATACAAGCTGATATTTGAGAAGATCATATCCAGCTGCTATCAAAGTTTCTATGGAATGTTTGGCTCTTGCAGGTGGGAAGTATGGCACGCTCAATACAGCCAATTTCTTCACTCTGTTTGGGAATAATGCCGAGAAACGTTGTGATATCAAGCTACCCCAATCGTGTCCGACTACAAATACTTGAGACACGTTGATGTAATCAAGCAATGCGTTCATATCTTTTGCTATTTCCACACGTGTATACCTTCTAAGATCCTCTGGTGATTCCTTATCTATTCTCAGAAACCAAATTACCACCTTAAGGTTACTTACAGTACCACAATAACCGACGGTGCTTGGAACAATACAACGGTAGCCACTTTGGACGAGTCTTTCTATCAGTTTATGCCATGTAAACCCTACACAATAAAGAGAGTGATTGTAGATGACCAGTGTACCTACAAGTATCTGGATATCCATGGACAAGCAACACGGCACCTCTGGTAAGCTCCTCACCCTTCTCATTAGTAGTTATATCAACGTATCTATACTTTAGATCACGTATAAGAGCTTCATTGAGTGTATAGCTACTTGGATCGTCAAATTTCATTCCTTCGTCGTTGTCGGAATCCGAAATGCGATTCCGGTTTTTCTGAATCGGGATAAGCGCATAACCGGATCTTTGTCAGACAATCTAAAACTTCTCCAAAGAACCCTTTAGATTAAAGAAATTACATTATATTTCAAAATTTCCAAAAGCATTTGCATTAATCAAGAAAATTAAAATTGTTTATATATATATCGTTTTAAGCAGCGTAAGCGGATGATGCAACACGACCACCTCTACCAGTCCAGTTCAAGTGGTTTGGTTGACCCTTGACGAACTTGTCTGACTTGGCTGAGTCCTTAACTTGGAAAGTGTGAGCACCGAAGAAGTCACGTTGAGCTTGGATGAGGGAGGCGGATGGAAGGTCAGCTGATCTGTATGAGTCAAGGAAGGAGAGGGATGATGAGAGGGCTGGGACTGGGATACCCCAGAGGGTGGCTTGAGCGACAACACGTCTCCATCCAGCTTGAGCGTTTTCGAGTGCCTTTACGAAGAAGTCATCGAACAAGAGTGATTCGAGTTCTGGGTTACGTTCGTATGCCTTTGTGATATCACCAAGGAAGACAGACTTGATGATACAACCACCACGCCACATCTTTGCGATACCAGCGTTGTTGAGCTTCCAGCCGTATTCCTTAGCAGCTTCACGGAAGAGGAGGAAACCTTGAGCGTATGAGATGATCTTGGCACCGTAGAGTGCTTGTTCGAGGTCGTTGATGAAGGCAGCCTTGTCACCTGAGAATGACTCCTTGGCTGGACCCTTGAGCTTTTGAGCGGCGGTTTGACGTTCGCTCTTCAAAGATGAGACACAACGAGCAAAGACGGCTTCAGCAATGAGGGTGACTGGGGTACCGAGGTCAAGAGCGTTGACACCAGTCCACTTACCGGTACCCTTTTGACCAGCAGAGTCGAGGATAGAGTCGACGGTGGCTTCACCGTCAGTCTTGTGTTCGAGAATTTGAGCGGTGATGTCAGTCAAGAATGAGTCAAGAACACCGGAGTTCCACTTCTTGAAGGCACCAGCAACTTCGTCATGGCTGAGGCCAACACCACGAAGGAGAATGTCGAAGGCTTCACCGAGGACTTGCATGTCACCGTATTCGATACCGTTGTGTACCATCTTGACGTAGTGACCAGCACCTTGGTCACCAACCCAGTCACAACATGGTTCGTTACCGTTGACTTGAGCTGAGGTCTTTTGGAGGATTTCCTTGATGTGTGGCCATGCCTCTGGGTTACCACCTGGCATGATTGATGGACCCCAACGGGCACCTTCTTCACCACCGGAGACACCGGAGCCGACGAAGAGGAGACCGTCCTTTTCGAGTTCTTGGGTACGGCGGATAGAGTCTGGGTAGTGTGAGTTACCTGCGTCAATGACGATATCGCCCTTTTCGAGGTATGGCTTGAGTTGGTCAATGAAGGAGTCGACAGCTGGACCAGCCTTGACGAGAAGAATGATCTTACGTGGTCTCTTGAGTTGCTTGCAGAATTCTTCAATGGAGTGTGCACCAACGATTGGCTTACCTGCTCTATATCAGTGTGTGTGTCTTCTCGATTAGAGCGTACGCACCCTTAGCCTCGTTTGCTAAGAAATCGTCAACCTTTGAGGTGGTACGGTTGTAGGCGGAGACTTGGAAGCCCTTATCAGCCATGTTAAGGATGAGGTTTTGACCCATAACGGCCAAACCGCTGGGGTGCGTTAGATCGAGGATAACGTGCGATGAGGGACATACATCAAACCGATACTGCAGAGTATTAGATAAATTGTTAGTTAATAGTTATTACTCACTCTGCAACAGCTTCTTGTGACATTTTTGTAATTACTTGGTAGTTCAAGTTCAAGAGAGCAATTGCTGGCGCGAGTTTCTGATCACTCCGAAAGCGAGATCATATATTGTAATTGTTTAATAAGTAAAATATTATATTTTTACGCATAACAGCTCATTCGCATCAATCCGAGTCCCTTTTCATTCGTTTCTGTGCTATGAAAATGATCTGATATTACATCATCTCTTTTTAAAACATCCAATTTACAGCTTTATAGCCACAGTTGTACCTTGCATATCATCTTACAGCTTACAAAAGCATCTCAGACGTCTATTCCGCTTTCCCTATTTTACGGAATTTGCGGACCTTGGTTTGTTAATCATCTAAACGGATATTTCATCCGGAGGGGTTATTTTAGTCACGGATATGCAGTATATGCGTCATAGATTGTTGCCTAGACTGTCTATATTATTCAGCACGTGTCTTTATCTCGCAATCTATCAAAGGGTCTTCCAACGGAGCTTTTGCACGCGTAAATTAGAGATACACGCGTCAGCTGATACCCTTGCGTATTATCGCCTATCGTACCTTTCGAGAAAGATCATATTCTGGTCTTTTGCGTATAATTGTTACATAAACAGAATGACACAATTTATCAGTGTTCACTAATAACTATTGGTATGCTTATCCTATTAATACACTCCAACAGGTCTATCTGTACGCCTATGTTGCTGATCTCCAGATATCACATCGTCTGTTCACTTGTGTGGTCAAATTAGCGGATATTAGCGTATGCATACATTAAAGTTAACTGTATATAGCCAATAGGTCATACACTATCTACATTACTCATATTTAGCTAATATCTCTGCGATAAGTAGAGATTGAGGTACTTTTGTAATAAACTGACTACTACGATGATAACTAATAGTAAATAAATAACGTATCCATATATTTCATATCCTCGTTGTTCCTTCAACTCTTATTCCCAACCATCATTATGGCAGGTAATCCAGTAAGCGAGTAAACAGAATAAATAAATAAATATTCACGTATTCCATAGGATGAATCATCTGCTATCTCTTCACTTGGTGGACTAGCCCTTAACGATCTCATTGGAGGCGAATTAGAAGGCTACGACTCTTCATACCTCCAATCGTTCGGTTTGGCTGGCTCAAATAAGCTATCGAAAGAGCAAATAGAGAATGATGATCTATTTGGTGACGACGACGACGATGAGCAGATTGGTGCTAACGTTGGAGACGACTTTGAGGATGATATGGACGAGGATTTACCCGAAGAGGAGGAAACTCTAAAAGGTACTCCCAGCCAGTCGAAAGCAAGAGGCGAGGATGATGACTACGATGAAGATTACGATGCCATCGATGAGCAACCTTACGAGCCGGAAGAAGGTGATATGGAAGAAATAGCTGATAAAGAAGAGGAAGCTAAGAAGATTGACGTCAAAGAGATATTTCCTGCATTCGACGCTGATAAAGTTCTCAATTTCACTCATCTGTTCTCAAATCGTGGCCAAAAGAGGCGGAAAATAAACTCCAATAGGAAGGTTATACAGCCACCGCACATTCATGTCCACTTTCAACAAGCCCCATCTACCAAAGAGCTTTTCAATCGTCCACTTCCACCCACTGTACCAAAACCTACGTATATTGATCATCTTGTTAGTAGAATATGGAACCCAAACGTCCAACGCGACTCCAAATGGAAGAAGGAAGAGCCATCCGGGGAAGTTAAAGACACAAAGGAGATGACCCTAGTTGATTTAGCTGATTGGGAGGATGATATCAAGTGGTCAGCAGGTCCTGAGGTACCTCTTCATATCAAGAATGGTATCCCAATGATAGCCACTTTACCACCAAATAGTTCACTTATGGATGATGACTGGACTAAATCTATTATTTTCAACGAGAAGCAGAAGCCTCAACAGTCATTTGTCAAATTGACACTTGATATGAATGATCCATCGTTGATGTTTGAAGAACTAGACGAGAGCTCTCAACAACCAGCCACTAACGCTTTGACGTCAACATCAGCCGATCCCTTCAATCTTTCTAACGATCATCTTTATGAACAATCAGTAACCGCACCAAAGCATCGTATTAGACAAACATTTAGTCAAATTGATGTACAGCACGCATACCCAGCACTGAAATTACAATTACCATTCTACAAGACACGTCTTAGTAAAAACGAAGCGCGTAGTTTCCATCGTCCAATTTTGATGTTTCCACTCAACGTTGAACAGAGATTTGCTAAAGTGCGTAGTGGTAAGAAGAAGAAAGATAAGGAGAAGAGACGTGCTGCGAAGGTTGATGGTGGTGCTGAATTATTACATACTACCAAGGATCTAACCCTAAAAGATGGTACAAATTACGCTTTATGGGAATACTCAGAGGAATATCCATCAATTATGTCAAATTTCGGTATGGGTAGTGTTCTAGTTAATTATTATAGAAAGAAAGACCAACACGATGATCATGTGCCAAAATCAGATTTTGGTGAACCTTTCGTTTTGGATGTTGCAGATGAATCGCCATTTATGAAATTAGGTTTTGTGGATTCAGGTCAAACTATACCAACACTTTACAATAATTTAATAAGAGCACCACTATTCAGACATCAAGCCAATCCAACTGATTTCCTTGTTATTAGATCAACATCAAGGCATGAAACTAGTTACTTTATAAGGGAAATTAAGAACGTCTTCTTGGTCGGTCAAACTTATCCAGTATCTGCCGTACCTGGTCCACATTCTCGTATGATTACGAACACAACGAAGTATAGATTACAAGCGATAGCTTACAAATTACTCAAAAGGACCAAAGGTGAGAGATTAATTCTTGATCGTCTTTGGAAATACTTCCAAGATCAAAATGAGATGCAAATGCGTCAACGTTTGAAGGAATTTATGGAGTATAATAGAAAAGGTGAACACGCTGGATATTGGAGGTTGAAAGCCACTGCAAAAATACCAGAAAATGAAGAAATTTTGAAGTTAGTATCACCAGAACACGTAGCGTTATGTGAAGCAATGCAAGTCGGTCAGCGTAGGTTGCTTGACGCTGGTTACGGTAATGTTGAAGATGAAAGCCAAGATACAACGGCAGGTGATGAGACTAAATTATCAATTGAGCAGCAATTAGCGCCTTGGATAACAACAAAGAATTTCGTTAACGCTACGCAATCTAAAGCTATGCTTAAACTCTATGGTGAAGGTGATCCGAGTGGACGAGGTGAAGCTTTCTCATTTATTAGAGTTTCCATGAAAGATATTTTCTTGAGAGCTGGTGAAGATCCAGAGAAGATTAGAGCAGAAGTTGACAATAGACCTAAGCATGCTCATAGATATACCGTCGCTGAACAGCAGAAGGTTTATAAAGAAGAAATTGCAAGAATTTGGAAAGCTCAATTCAAGGCGCTGTCTAATCCAATTGCTCCAAAGCTTGACAGAAAGGATGAAGAGGCCTTTGCAAGTCACCAACGTGCCCAAAAGGAAGCTGATGAAGAGAAAGAGAAAGCTAAATCTCAACATGGTACTAAAATATTGAAGATCAGAAGATTGGTGGGTTTGTTATTAGGATTATTATTATGATATACTAACAGTTTCCCAGATAAACGGAAGTTGGCAAACTGAAATGATCGAAGACTCAGCGGTCATAAGTGCATATGTACGCAAGAGACAAATTATTGAAGATCAATCATTGGATGTTGACAAGATTGAACCAACTGGTGATGAAGAATTGGACAGACGTCGTGCAAAGATGATCGAAGAAAAGATCAACCTCATGCGTCGTAACCAAGAGCGTAGATTACAACGTAAGAATCAACAGTTGACTTCAGCTGGTGGAGAACCACTGCAAATGAAGACAACGACGAAATCAGATACAACAAGAAAGTGTGGAAATTGTGGACAAATTGGGCACATGAAAACTAATAGAAAATGTCCACTTTGGGCACAATTCCATGGTCCAAATGCTCAACCTTCGCCTAATGCGGCTGCACAATTGCCAACTCCTACTGTAGCAGCTACGCCTGGTATAGTTAGTGGATTACCATCGACGATTGATGCTAATAACGTCGCTGGATTCGGTACGCCACAAAATCAAGGACCTACACCGGCAGGGGGATCTCAACCTGGTACACCAGCTGGTGCTAACCAATCAAAGATCAAATTAAATGTTGGTGGTAATAAGTCATCGACTCAGTCACCGCAGCCTGCCGGAATGCAACAACTACCTCCACAATTCTTGCAACCACAACAGATATTACAAGCTCAACAAGCTCAGCAATTTGCTCAACAGATGGCACAACAACAGCAACAACAGCAACAATTCGCACAACCATTCCCATTCCCATTCCCGCTGCCTAATCAAGACCAGCAACAATCGCCACCATCCTGATTATTCTAACTTATGCTGTAATTATTTTCTCTTCATAATTTCATATATGCATGAATATTTACAAAAATAAAAATAAAAGACAATAAGTTGGCAAATGATTAAATTCCTTGTTTATTTGTGCAAGAGTGTGAGTGTGTTTGTCCTTATCAAAAGAGTTTCGAAAAAGTAAATTTTACGAAATTGAGTATAAGAAAATGCAAAGTTAATTTTATAGAGATCCATAATTGTTTTGATTATCTGAAGGAGGTGATCCAACCATCGAATTTTGAAGTCTACTTCTGTTAGCAGGATATCTAGGTGCAGGACTAGAAATCAAGGGTGCGCGTTCGTCTGTTGAGTTTTCAACTATATCTTCATTAGTCATATTGGCAGCTGTACTACTTGGATTTGAAACCATTGCGTTTGAAATTGGTGTAGAAGTACCCAATTTTCTCTTTACTTGAATAACTGGTGATTCAGCTCGCGAATTTGAACTTGTTTCTGGCAGACTACCCCTTCTTACAGCTTTTTGACGTTCATATATACCTTTGATATACTGATGTGTGCGTACAACTCTTCTCTTTGTTCTATTATCCATAATCCTTCGGTTGGTTATTAGAAAGATCCTTTAAATTCATAATGAACGTACCTGTCAGACTCATCTATGATCTCTTCACCAAGGATTTCTTCAAGAACGTCTTCAAGAGTGGCTACACCGAGTACACCCCTGCCGAGCATATCACCTGGGTGTTCAGTGATGACTAGAAGGTGTGCACGTCCAGTTTGGAAGTAATCCAATGCCTGGAAGCAACTAATATTTGGAAGTGCTTCTGGTAGAACAGCTGCGAGTTGTTAATTACGCAATGAAAGATAATTCTACTCACAAAGAGCAAAATCACTCACGAACCACTTATCTTCAGGATCATATTTGATGAGTTTCTTTACTAAAAGCATACCAATGAACCTCGTTGGGTTGTTCGGCGTGTGGATTGGAATTCTAGAGTAACCATGGTGTAATATCTTATCAATGACGGTTTCATCGACAACTTGATCACTTGAAAGTGTATACTTGGGCTTCATTAGAGTAAAACAATGGAAGTGTTTTGAAACTTACGACGTCTTCAATTGGTGTCATAATATCCGTAACTTTCTTTTCATTCAATGATAAACATGCTTCCATAATGTTAATTTCATCATCTTGCAATGGTTCAACGCCATATCTGTGCAAATTCAAGAAAGATTTCAATTCTGCTTTCTTATCTGTTAAACGTGGGTCAGTGAGACAACAACTATGGGTAAGTAATCAACTCACATGTAGTATCATGTTGACTTCCTAGAACATGATCTAAGAGTTTACTTAGAGGGTATGTGATTGGAGATGTAGCGTAACACAACATCAGAACTAAAGGTGAGAAGAATGAACCAATAGCGAGACCATGTCGAGCGCAGATAGATTGTGGTATAATTCTATAGCATGTTAGGAGGAAAGGCGTAATTTTGTGATAAACCCACTCTCCGAATATGAAAATGGAAGCTGTTGAGAGAATAATGGCAGTCTGAGTAGCCAGATTAGAGTATAATAAGGTAAAGATGCTAGCCTACATATCCACCACCGAGGATGCTGTCCAAAAAGATTGGTAATGCCTCTACTGGATGTAAGATTGTGAAGTAAGAAGACGAGTATACTGACCATTTACGACAGAATTCGAGAGTAACAAAACACTAAGAATCCAATGTCTACCGAGGCTCAGCAATTTCAATAACTTCCTCGCGTGTTCCTTTTCAACTTCGCTTTCCCCGCTCGTTTCGAGCACTTTAAGGTTTAAGTCGTCAAGGGAAAGGATGCCGAGAGTGAGTCTAAGCGGAGGGCCTTAATGGATGATGTATTGAATATAGAAATACTCACCCAGCAAATAAACCACCGGATAAGACGAGGCAGACTGAAATAAGCAGTTGTACGTAAAACAAAGTTGTACCGGGGGGATGATCAGGTTTAGAGGCCTGCTTATGTAGAATCTTAATAGGTGAAGCTAAAGTCAGGCCGACTTGTAGCAAATTGAGCGATAACGGTCTTCTCATTTGATGATGGTAGCTTATGAAGGAAGTAGAAGTAGAAGCGGAAAATAAATTATTCGTACAAGATATTTTAGCCTTGTCTCTGTCCCCATGTTCGTACTTTTGGTATTGCTTCAAGGCTTTCCATTGATGTGACTGAGTTACCACGTACAACCTGGGTGAGTGAGTATACGACTGTGAATAGCAAACAATAGGCTCACGATCTGTCCAATTCTCGTCTTCTCACCTGCAAAGGTTTCGTCGCTTGCATCATCCAAGACGAGGTTCAAGAACAAGTCGAAACCTCTCAATTGACCGGTTACTTTCCTGTTAGCTTGCAGGTGTACTAAAACGCGTTTATCCATGTACTAGATTGTTATCGTTTAGCTGGGTTCGTAGCCATAGACTAGACTAACCTTCTTCAACTCTGGGTTTGATATTTTTGCAGACATACTAATAAACTAACAACTAAAGTGAGCTATTTTAAATGCCTTATTCAAATAAAACTAACTTTTGTTCTTCGTAGTTCGAGTGAAAGCAACTTGTCGTTCTACAATCATCATGGCTTTACCAAATGCACTTGGAAAATTAATGGGTGAGTCTTTTATTTAAAGCTAGAGTCTTCTAACAAAACTCAGTACCCGCCGCTATCGGTATTTCTGTACTACAATCTTCAATATACGACGTACCCGGTGGCTTTAAAGCTGTCATGTTCGATAGATTCTCTGGTGTTAAAGATATCTCTATAGGCGAAGGTACACACTTCCTTATCCCTTGGCTCCAAAGGGCTATCCTCTACGATTGTAGAATCAAGCCACGCAATATCGCAACAACAACTGGTTCAAAGGATTTGCAAATGGTTTCACTCACTTTGAGAGTTTTGAGTAGACCAGATATTGACAAATTACCTACAATTTACAAAGGTTTGGGTTTGGACTACGAGGAGAGAGTTTTGCCTTCAATTGGTAATGAAGTACTTAAAGCTATCGTCGCTCAATTTGACGCTGCTGAATTGATCACACAAAGAGAAGTCGTCTCCAGTCGTATACGTGAAGACCTCCTCAAAAGAGCGAGTGAGTTTAACATCAAATTGGACGACGTTTCCATCACACATATGACTTTCGGCAAGGAGTTCACAAAGGCCGTAGAACAGAAGCAGATCGCTCAACAGGAGGCTGAGAGAGCGAGATTCATCGTAGAAAGATCCGATCAAGAGAGGAAGGCTAACATTATCAGAAGTGAAGGTGAAGCAGAAGCTGCAGCTACTGTCTCAAAGGCCATGGATAGATACGGTGAGGCTTTACTCACACTTAGAAGGATTGAAGCATCAAAGGATATCGCTACTAGATTGTCCAATGGCAGCAATCAAAACGTCACCTTCCTTCCTTCATCTGGTTCTGGTGGACAAAGTAATGGAATCTTACTCAACATCCCAACCGATAACAATTCACGAGTCTAATATAAATTATTTCATACATCATTTTCTACTTGATTCGTCTGATAAATACTACATTACATATACAATAAATCTTATATAACTCTCTGTCGTTTACTCCTCTCTTTTTCCTTTTCGGCGATGAATGCATCCCTATCAATATCATCCTGCTGTCTATACCTATTATCAACGTCCTCATCATCGCGCTTCTTTTTCGGTTTGTCTTGCAATGTGGTATCCTCGTCTTTTAACGTTTTATACTTTGTTTGTTTCGTCTTACCAAAGTCTCTGACTTGCATAACTTCTGGCAGTTTACCCAGATCAACTTGATTCATCGTAGGTCCAGAAAGATCTCTCTTGAGGACATCGAAATCCTGATGGAAAGCACCTTTATGCCAGAATTTCTGCATGTATGTACCACCTTGTCTATCTTTATATTTATCTTCACGCTTTTGCTTCGCGAGTTCCATGTCCTCTTTAAGACGCAACTCTTCTGGCATAGCACGTCTACGTTCAATCTCTGCTATCTCTTCGTCACGTCTGTGGGTATTATTAGTAATACAATAAGATTACGCAAACTACTCACTTGATTTGCGCTTCTTTATGTCTCTGTATACGCTTTAATTCGCGTAATCTCCAGGCGTCGAATTCAGCATCTGGTTCTAAACCATCAGTGTCGTCTACATCTGGTATCAAATCGGTTGCATCCTCTTGAATAAACTGTCAGATAGTTGTATATCAGTGAAGATAAACCCACTCTCAGCCAATTCTCTACGTATACTATCTGCTACCATATCAATTGACGCTTGTTTACGCTCTTCCTCAGCTTTCTCTCTTTTCTTATGTGCTTCTTCAGAGTCTAGGCTTTCTTTTTCTTTCTGCAAAACAGTCTCTCTTGCACGTCTGGTTGTGGTTAGAATACTATACTATCATCCTGAGAATAGGACGTACTTTGGAACGAAAGTTGGTTTCAATCTTGGTGCTGATACTTCCTCCTCACTGGATTCCTCTTCGCTCGATTCTTCCTCCTCGCTGCTGCTGCTCTCCTCTTTAACTTCTGGTTTGATATCTGGTTGTACATCAACGGCTGTACCGATATCAATATTCTTTATATTACTGCTGATGCCAATTTTAGTAGGTTTCTGGTCCACCTCTTCTGTATCAATCGCTGTAAGCTCCTGATCATCTTCTTCCTTCTGCTGCTCTTCTTCTCCTTCTTCTTCCTCATCTGAGCTTTCTTGTGTAAGACCCTCTGGTATCTGACCTGGTCTATATCTCTGCGCAGGTTTTGCAACTTTCTGTGAAGGTTTTGTTTTCCTAGCTAGCGATGACATGGTTGTTGCTTATCAAGTTTCTTAATTTGATACGACGAGGATGTCTAGATTTAAAAATGACAGCCTATGGATAGAAACTGTATATACTATCTAGCCATACTATCATTCACTAATCCAGCCCAAGGATACAGGTAATAGAATATCAAAGAAGGCTGTTATTTGCGCACCAGTTAATATCATCCTTTCTGGTAATGTAATAATAAAACCTGAGGTTATTATAAGGGGTGATCTCAGGCGTACAGGTCCATCACCGTCTGTCGCGATTAGCATCGGTAAATTCACAATCCTCGACGATGGATGCATTATAAGACCAGCTTATAAGACATACAAGGGTACTTTTAGTTACTATCCAATGAAAATTGGTGATTTCACTACTATCGGTTCTCAAACAATACTAGAAGCTGCACAAGTTGGTTCATACGTTGAAATTGGAAGGAATTGCGTTATTGTAGGTCACACTTCTACGCTTTTACATCCTATTTATAACTCATTCAGGGTCGTTTCGTCGTTATCAAAGATTGTGCCAAGGTCGCGCCAAATTCTGTCATACCGCCCAATACTGTTATACCACCATACGCCTTATTCAGCGGCAATCCAGCCGTTCAAATAGACACATTACCTGAAAGTACACTAGACAATGTTGAACTATCAACAACGACTAGCTATAATGAGTTCAAAATGACATAATTTCTTAGACAATAAGTTGACAAAATTATTAATCCTGTATTTTTGAATAAATTGTAAATCTAGATTTTAGTGCTTGCTAATTCCCTTTCTAACTCTTCAGAAGGATCGTCGAGGACGTAGCTGCCATCGTTGGCGTTAGCTTGAGGTGGGATTGTATAGCTTGACGTGAGTTCATCTTTTGGTGTCTCGTTGCCGCTAAGTTCCTCTCTTGATGGGACAGGAAGGCTGTTTAAACATTTCAGTAACATAATTTTATCAAAATATGCCATACCTCTCTTTAGCTTCTTTAGCCTGTATGTGTGCAGCAGCTTGCTCTTCCATTAGTCTTTGTTGTTCTGCCTGTTGTTGTTGTTGAACATTGACAGGTGTCCTTACTTTCTTTCTGAAGGACTTGACTTCCTCAACGATCGCGCTTTTCATACCCTCCAGACTGTCTTCAACTTCAAATCCAAAGTCGAAACGCTAAATAATGTGAGCTATAATAGCGCGTTTAGCTATTTTTACTAACCTCTGGACAGCTTGGTTCATCAGTTGGGTCGTGCCATACTATGTATACATTAGTGAATCATTATCATATGTCTCACTTTCACTAACCAGCAAGGTATGGATGTTTGAGAGCTTCGTCGCAAGTGATACGCTTTGCTGGATCAAACGTAAGCATTTTAGAGAGTAAATCAAGAGCCAGTGGGTTCGCTTTTGGATAGATTCTTTCGAACGGTATACGTGGTTTGATTGGTAGTGAGCGAATATACTCAACGGCCTGGGGAGCTGTGAGTCGACAAATAATAAATATTGAAAACGTACGCGCGGACTACCAACTCTGCGGAGTGTCTCTTCAGATGGTGTACCAAGTACGTGTAATATTTGATTGAGCTGGTAGATTGTCAATAGAGAGGGAGCAAATTAGATAATATCCCACCTGATCGACGTAGTCTCTACCTTTGAAGATTGGTCTACCACCAAGCAACTCAGCGAGAATACATCCTACTGACCAAATATCAACTTTGCATTATGTCAGACGAATTAGTATATTTTAAGAGATCACGCACTAGAAGTTGAATAGTTTGCAAAGCTAAGCATAATTTCAGGTGCCTGAAATTGTAAGATAAGCAAATTCTCTTGCAATTATAAAACGCACTCTGTACCACCTCGTAGCGACATATTCAGTCATGAATCCAGCACTACCGGCCAAACCAGCTCTTAATGGATCAGATTCAAATCCTCTAGCTAAACCAAAGTCGCATATCTTCAATTCGCAATCCGCGTTGACCAATAAATTGCCCGGTTTCAAATCACGGTGGATAACGTCAGCGCTATGGATGTATTTCAGACCGCAGAGTGTTTGATAAACGAACGATTGGTAGTGCTGATCAGTAAGTGGCTGTCCTGATCTGATAATCGCGTGTAAATCTGCTTCCATGAGTTCCTCATCTTGATAATGATCAGATATACCAACGGAGGTGCAGGCTAACTTACAGAGGTATACCTCGTTGAAGTTTGAGTAGTCTACTATATCCATATCATATAGACATGTTATCTTGGAATCGAAGTTAGACAAACGAACGACGGATGTAGCTTCTCTCCTACATTTTTATGTCCTCTAAAATGGTGTAGGAGTCTAAGACGATTAGATGGGGTAGTTGACGATAAAGCGCACCCACTTTATTTCACGGAGTGCACGTTTTGTCAGAATTGTCTGCTGCTGTGTTAGAATGTATGACAGCAGGAAGAATATTTCACACCTTAGAGCTTGTTCAAATGTGAGATAGTGTTTATAGAGATACGAGCACTCACAAAACGCCTCTGAGCTTCTTGATAGCCACTATTGCGCATTAGTAGACGTTATCATATCTCATTATCAGCCCACATTTTGTACCACTAGCTTCATGTTTGCCAGCGACGACGCAACCTAGTAAAGCATTAGATATATTGCAGGTCATAGCTATTTACTCACCGTATGCACCCTGGCCGAGCTCTTTGTGCAACGAGTAACCCTCCTGAACTGCGTAGGTAGTTCCGAAGGCCTGGAAATGTTTGCGTGGTTGTAATTGTGCTTTATTCTTATGAATACAGTTCTTTAGAGACAAAATTGTACGTACACATCTTGACTGTTACAGTGGAAGTGACGTAGCGAATAATAACAAGGATATGCATTCATTTAAACTCTATAGAAATTTACTCATTCAAGGGATTTTCGATCATCGATTATAATCTCGCTTTGCTTTGTATCAACGCTAGACAATTGCTCGGCCATAAGTCGTCTAAACCTGCCCTGTTTTGAAGTCAAGTCGTCAAAGCTACCAGATTCACTAATTATTCCATCCTCCAATACGACAATCTTGTGAGCTGACTTGAGTGACGATAGACGGTGAGCTATTACGATAACAGTTGTTTGACTTTGGTCGAGGATCCTCCTTATTGCTTCATTAACCTGCGATTCAGATTTAGCATCAAGTGCACTGCTAGCTTCGTCTAGGATCAATAACGTTGGCTTTTTCAATAACGCCCTCGCGATTGCTATGCGTTGGATTTGTCCTCCACTGAGTGCGGTTGAAGATACAACAGTGTGGAATCCCCTAGGGAGGCTCTTTATAAACTCGCAATTTGCTTGCATTGCCGCCTCGTAAACTTCGTGGCTTGTTGCATTTGGCATACCCTTTTAGTAGTCAGACGTGAATCCTTAATATGATAGAAGAACATACATATTTTATGTTTTCTTCAATTGTTCCGGCGAATAAGACAGGGCGTTGCTCTACTACACCTATAACTTCACGCCAGCTTTCAGGTTTAAATGAGCGTATGTCTTGGTTTGTTAGACTACATTGAGATGACGACAAAGAAGCTCACCATGTCCATTGAAAGTAACACGACCAGAACTAGGATCGTAGAATCTCATTACAAGTCCCTACGATGTGTAAGTATGGAAACTTGTTTATACTCTCTGCTCACGATGATTGATGATTTTCCAGCACCTGAAGGTCCTGCAATTGCAACACTTTGACCTTGGGGAACTAAACGCAGATGTTAATTAAACGATAGCAAAACCAAGTTCAACTCACCTTCGAAAGAGACGTTTCTTAAAATTGTAGCATCAGGTCTGGTGGGGTATGAAAAGGCGCAATTCTCAAACCTGATAGTCCCACTAGCCTTGTTTCCTACAACACTAGGCATGTCAAACCCTTGACCGAGTTTGATCTGAGGTTTTTGTTCAATCAATGCAAAGACTCTTTCACCAGCTCCCAAACCGCGCATCATTGAGCTGTAGAATGAAGTCAGGCTGGACAATGAGCTGCCTACATAAGCAGAGTATAAGAGTAATGATGATAGGTTTCCGATTGTAATTTCACCGAGACCGACGAGGTGACCACCGTATGCAAGTAAAGCAAGTACGGACATATTCCCAGAGAAGCCTGTGCTACCAAAGAAAACACCGCTAGCGACGGCTTCTTTCCTGCCTAGCTCTAGGACTCTCGCGATCTTCTTCTCGAATCTCCTACTCTCATCGTCCTGTCTGTTGAAAGCAGTGACCGTTCTGAAAGCATTGAGGCGCTCACTAGCAAGGTTGCTAGCATCCGCGAGGGCATCCTGCGAAGCGGTTGAGAGTCGCTTGAGATAGCGACCGTAAAAGACGGCACCAATGGCTATAGGTGGGACTATCGCGAGCATCACAGTAGTGAGCTTGCTGCTAATGAAGAACATTGCGCCCAAACCAAATACGCTGAAAACACTAGCTCTCAAACCGTCAGAGAGCGATTGAGTGACGCAATCTGTCAGAATAGTAGAATCGGACGTGAGCCTAGAGAGCGTATCTCCGCTACCCTTGTCGGCAAATTCTAAATCCTGCTTGAGAGAGTTTGAGTATGCCCTTACGCGTAGTCTGTTCACGATACGCTGACCGGCGAGACGAAATAACATAGCGCGACCGGCGTTGGCAGCTGCACCGACTGCGAATAGCAAACCGAGACCGGATGTAACAACTGGGAGAGAGAAACCATAGAAAGCATCTGGTTTTGCGCCGGAGAAGAGATCGATTAGGCTGCCAATAGAGGCTGGTATAACGAGCGAGATGGAGGAGCTGATAGCGAGCTGGCGGGGTATGAGATTATGATAAAGCGATGCTAGTATACTCACAAATAGGATACCCCTCCGAAATGTTGTTTCCTCAGTTCTGATAACGTCAAATAGTTTCTTGGTGGGCATAGCAGATAGGCGATTCGATATCGCAGAGGTAAGGGGTTTGAAAGCAGACAAAGATAGTGGTCTGTATGGCTGGCCAGTATTCCCATTGTTCTTCAAGGCAAAAGGTACGTTGCATCTAGGCGCTCTCAGGAGTGGAGACCTAGTGCAAATTGATCGCAGTAGCATATTTCTTTATATTTTATAAATTTATGCCTTTTTATCGACTTGCTCTAGAGAGGAGGTGGGAGTTGAGTGATTACAGCATACTTTGATGGAATTGCAAGTCGATCAACTAAAATCCCAGCAAGTCGCTCTCGGCAGCTGGGCATTTCTTTTCTCCGAAATCATAAACTACAATCTCAAACGTGTCGACGGAATAGCAGAGCTCGAGAGTAAACTCAACTGGCTGGGATACAGAGTAGGCCAGCGCGAGCTCGAGTTGTACAAGTTTAGGCAGGAGGGCACCGCGAAGAATCCAAGGCAGCATACCAGCCTGATAGAGGTCCTCCAGTTCATACATACCCACGTGAGTAGCTCATACATCGAAAGCACGACTAACCGTTCAGATTTGGCGGTCTTTGTTTGGGAAAACGGCTGACAGCCTCGAGAAATCTAAGGAGAATGCAAACGAATGTGAGTTGTCCTTCTTTTACTCTGAAATCTCTAAGCCCGACAGACATGATATCAGACAACACACCAATCCTATCCCGCTCGATAAGCATACCAAAAGATCTGAAGAACCTCTCGACCGAATCCTTTACCTCCGGCATCGTCGAAAGCGTTTTAGATGGACTTAACTTCAAATCGAAGGTGACGGCGCACTCTGTCCCGACCGAGCAATATCCTCAACGCACTACAATCCTAATAAAGCTAATATGATCACTGTATTAGGGTTAGGCTCTATTGGCAGCCTCTTATCATGTAAATTACGCTTAAATTCATGCCGTTTGAATGTTATCAGTCGTCTTAGCAGGAATGCTGAGATAAACTACAAGGAATACAACGGACTCGAACACACTATTAAAGGATTTGAAGGTCTGTCGGTTTATATTTACGTATAGTCTCTAACTTTCTACAATAGTACACACCGCAGAGAGTATACCACCCATTCAACAACTCATTATTGCCACCAAGGCATCAGACGCTCTGCCAGCACTCGAAAGCGTCCGCGATAAGCTCAATGAGGACTCTAGTGTTCTCTTTCTCCAAAACGGCTTGGGATATCTCAACCATAGCAAATTGAAGACATTCAACCAGCAGCTCCTCATATCTAACACGAACATCGCGGCAACGTTAGTAAATGGTAAACTCATCGAGTCATCAAATGGTGGCACATTCAATGTCACCACTTATACACCTTCGCAAGCTCTCACGAAGAACTCTGAGGGATTGTTACACACGCTAGCATCTTTGGACGGTATAGATGTCAAGATGGTCGATAATAAAGACTTCCTAAATACAGCACATCTAAAACTAGTAGCAAATTGCTCTATTAATGCCCTAGGATCGATTCATAATTGCAAAAACGGCGATGTATATCAACTCAATAAAGACCTAGTCGAAGGTGTGATCAATGAAGCGAGCACTGTTCTCTGCCTTGATGAAAAGAGTACCCGCGATTATGTGTTGAATGTCTTACAATCGACAAAGGACAACTACAACAGTACACACAGGGATATATACCAAAGAGGCAAGCGCGCGTCAGAAACTGAAATCGAGTACATAAACGGACATATACTCAGAGAAGCTGATTTGAGAGGTATAAATACACCTTATAATAGGTACATTTATGATGATTTCATGTGTAAATTTAAATAGTTTGTAGAAAAGAAATATATAAACATGAAATATATATATATATTACAATCTTCTAGATGCAGCTAACTCTCTACACCGTCTTTCCATCATCTTGACCGTGAACCTAAGGTTACGCCCTTTTGTGTGACAGTTCGCTTCGAGCCAGTCCTCTAGCTTAGTTTGGAGATTCTCGAGTTTTGAGAGAGCGGGAAGTGTCTCTTTATGCATGACTGGATTGAGGAGGAAATCGAATACGTTTGACCATATCTCATGTTGCCAATATCTCTTGAGGTTGTTCCTCAACTTAATTCTACCACCACTTTCTATAGTTTCGATGTACTTTCCGAAAAGCATACAATGTATGATTGCGGCAACACCGAAATAGTCAGGCTCGAAATTCCAAGGTACCTTCTTCTTTATTTGCCAGCAATCTTTTTCATCGGCTGGCCAATCATTGAGAAACTTACGTCCCACTGGGTTTTTAAATGCATCGACATCAATCGATCTGCCAAAGTCGATAAGTTTGAGACCCTTCATTGCCCATCCTCCTTCGCCTGATCTTTGATAGACATTCGACCAGAGTTCGCCAGCGTCTTCGAGCCTTATGAGGCAGTTGTCGATTTTGAGATCACCATGAATTATACCGCTCTTGTGAATACTATTGACAGTCCTGATGAGCTCGATGGCGAAGAAGACTACCAAAACCTCATCAAGACCGGTGGAAGAGCTTGAGAACCACTCTGGAGCGTGATTGACGACATCGAGAAGGGTACCCTGGTCAGCGTAATCCATACAGAGTACACTCTCGTCGTTGTAAGCGTACAAACCACGTGGGCGTACTATAGAACGTCTTTGTCGCTCTTCAAGGCGCTGATGAAGGGCGTTCAAAATGTAGAACTCCCAAATACGGGCAGGTTTCTCGATTTTGAGCGCTACTGGTACATCCTCATTGGATGCGAACTGACTTGTGAAGCTGTTATCGAAATTCTCCAAATCGAGTTCAACACTCTTCTGGTTGCTCCTCTCTGATGCTACGAAAACACTACCGAATCCACCTTGTCCAATTTTAGCCCTAACATCGTAAACATCATCAAGGCCGTCATATTTAGGCAATTTCAACGCGTAGCTCTCCTCTTCCATCGTTCTATTCCGACTACTGGCAGTACGTTTCTTTACGCCTTTTTCGACTTTCGACAACTCCTGTAGACTGTTCTGCGCAGTGTGGAATGTACTCAGGTTGGAGACATTCAAATTCGATCTTTTGATAATTGAGTCGACGATTGTCCGTGTATTGGCTACGCAAGGATTTGGTGCGTCTATCTTGCCTGAACCAGGTGAGACCGGAGCAGCAGGTGAAGGTGGTGCGGACAACTGAGCTTGCATTTGTAGCTGTGCGACTGGCTGTGGTATATTGTTGCTACTCAAGTTGAACTTCATAGTGTCTACAACCTCAACGTCTTCACCCATCTGCTGGAGTCCACCAGGATGGATTGTAAAACCTTCCGGTAACTCGAATTTACCAGTATGTGATGTGATGTCATGCTGTGTGAACTCGTCGCCTAGTTCAAATGTCGGCATCTGTGGTGGTTCCATTGTAGAAGACAATGGCTGTTGGTTTCCGAGAATGCTGTTATTCATATTTGAATTACTGATCATACTATTCTGGAGGTTATTATTGCTGGTCATGCTATTCTCTTCATTCTCCTCCTTTATTGTAGCCTGGAATTGGGCAGCTGGGAAAACAGCTCGGGATTTCTCGACTGTGTCAACCCTTGTTGTGAATTCACAAGTGCGTTCAGTGATAGGTGTCATTAGGTTGATTGGTGGAAAACGAGGTTGCTTATTCAAATCATCGTAATATTCTTCTTGAATTCCCTCCTCCTGAACAGTTTCCGCTGGAGGTTCTTCAGTTTCCTTCATTTCCTCAGCTTCTTGGGGTGCTTTCAAACCGAATGGCATCCTCATCGCACCTGAAGATGACTTGACAGCGGGTGTGCTCACCGCGGCTGCGTTTTCATCTTTGAAGACGGCAGGAGGTGGCCCTGGTGGACTCTTTGCATCTTCTTCATCTTCAGCTACAGCTGGCGGGACTCTAGCTGTGTGCTCATCCGTGAACATCATCATTGGCGCTGGCTTATTCGGCGTCGGCATAACAAGTGGTTGAGGTGCGTCTACAGAACTGTCACTATCGCTTAAAGACGTATTCGGTCTATCACATGCTAATGGTTGGTTGAAAAGCTCCATTACGTCGTCAAGTGCGGCTTTCGTGTTAACAGTTGGCGATGGTGCTCGTTTACGTGCTAGGAAGATGTTACTTAAGTGTTATAATCTCTAAGAAACACTCACGCTTTTCGTCAATGCTTGGTTCGTCTTTCGGCATCCAATCCCAATCATCCGATGATGGCTCTGGCCACCTTTTTCCAAACAATCCCATTTGCTTGGCTTTTAATTCTAAAAAACAATATTCGGTATCATCACAGTAGACTCTATGCAAGTCTACCGCTACTCTAGGTTCGCCTTTGTTGACGCTATCTGTAGCTTTGCTTTTTTCCTTCTTCTTACTACTACTGCTGCTGGATGTACCATTGCTACTACTCTTTTTCTTCTCGCTAACTACGTCCATGTCTAATTTAGGCGGCTGTTCGAAGTTTTTAAAAGGATTTAGTCGAAGTTGTTCAGCTTCTGAAACTTCTGAGCTTCCCAGATCGGCCTCTTTAGGTCCATCGTTGGTAGCTTCGTCATCGTCGTTGAAGTCAGAAAATATTGGAACTTTCTCTGCTTTTGGTGTTATAGGTTTACCTTGTTGAATAGTTTCACCTTTCATTGAGGTCTTTTCGACTACATTTTCTTTTCTTCTGTCGTCACGGCTACCGAAACGTTCCCATGCGCCACCTGAGGCATTCTCGCTATCATCCTCACTGAAAATGGCCATGCGGGGTGCAGCTGAGGACGAACCTGATGCTGAGGTACTAGCAGTAGGACCTGCAACAGAGCTGCTACCAAGAATGCCCTTTTTAGGCAAGGAACTCTGACCAGTTGATGGTGGTGCATTCGCCAACCTCACTTTGAAATCCTCGTAACGCTTTTTAAGTCTCTCAGTTGGTTGTGCTTTTCTGTTTATTCCCAACTCGTAAATTTCTTTGGCTTTCTGGTGATGCCCTCTAACTTCTTCTGCTGTAGCAGCTTCCTCATAAAGCAAACCCCATATTGTGCCAATATCGTTAGCGAGGAGGAATCTGAATATATCTCTCGATTCGTGTACGTATTTTGAGTAAAGAATCCAGCATCTGAGATAACGGACATCACGTCCATACCTCTCATCGTCTTTGAATGTACGTGTAGTACGCTCTAAAAGGGGTACGATATTTGATTCATGCGATTCTCCAGATGGGTAGGCTTCTATGGCCCATTTGATGTAATCAGAGTAGACCCTAAACGGATCATCATCCTCTTCTGTAGCTTGTTGTATCTGTTCTTCAAATTTCTGATGCTGCTCTTCCAATTCACGCTTTCTAGATTGACGATCTGATCTGAAGATAGAAGAGAGAGTGGATGCGGATCTACCCTTAGCTAATGGTTGTATATTCTCCTTTGATTCGTAGATATCTTGTATATCTACAGCATCTTCTGGCTGCTCTGACTGCTGAGGTTGCTGATGATCTCCATTGAGGTGGTCCTAAGAATAAGTCAATCGATAGTTTAGAAGTGTATTAAATACGCACCTCTGAGGACATTTTTATTTATATTCACTTGATAGCAGCGGTTGAAGTGATACGCTGAACGACGCGCCCAAAGAGAAAACGACAAGCGAAAAAGATGTCTTGGAATAAGAACCTAAGCTCTATGGATGTCGACGAGGAGGAGGATGATATGCCAACAATCCGTACAGCTGATTACAGCAAGATGACAAAATCCTTTGATGTCGGTACCAGAGCGAAATCACTGGATATTGACGAACTAATGGAGGAGCAATCCCCTGAGTCTGCACTCTCTCAGCTTGTTAGATCATGGGTCGCAGAAAGAGGTGCACCGGTCGTCCTCGAATGGCAGGGTGAGATTGTCGATGAGGTTATGTCCCAGATCGAAGAGCAGTCAAAGATTGTAGACAGTTTAAAGTCAGATGATAGGAGTACAGACGAGGAGCACTTCCAGCTTATCCTCGTGCAAACAGAAGTTGAGAGGGCCAAGTACGTGATTACATCCTATGTTCGTGCAAGATTGAGCAAGGTGAGATGCTTTTTGCGTGAGTGTATATATCTAATACAGTCTACAGATCGAGGAACACGCGCAATATATCGTAAAGAACCCCTCCACGCATTCGAATTTATCCGGAATTGAGTTGTCACATGCACGAAAGTGAGTCTAAGAATGGCAAAAGAAAACACGCTGATGTCAAAAGGTTTTGGCGATTAATCGAGACACATTATCAAATGTCTGTGCTCCAGGGCTTACCTACCGCGATGCGTGGATTGGAAGACAGCCACAACGGAAAGAGCATGGTAATAGAGCCAGATTTAGACAGGGCTATATTTATAAGGGCGAGGAGAAACGTCGGTCAGGTGCAGCTCCCTCAACAGTCGATAGAGCTCATGAAAGGCGACAACTATCTGGTGAGCTTTAGAGATGTAAGCTATTTGATAGCCAGTGGGGCTGTCGAGATAGTATAATATTTGATAGTGAGAAATGTTAATGTAATTCTTGTCTACATATAAATGATAGTGCGATTAGTGGTGTTCTTGAGCCTTAGGACCGTAGCCGACAAGTTTACGCTTGCCGATGATTTCACCGAGTTTGAAAATACCCTGTAGGAGTGTAAGGAATGGCATCGAGGATCCTATGTACCCACGTATGCCTCTAAACCGATGACAGCAACTTTTGACCACTGGCCTGATTCGAATAACTGAACGTATGTTTGACGCTGTGCAGCCTTTGCGAAAATGTTAGACCAGGTGCTGGCAACTTGGGAGAAGGAGCTTGGAGGGGATAACTTCTCAGCTTGATAGACTTGCTTGAAGAGTTCCTTTCCGACTTGTGCGTTGTAGAAGACAGGCTCCTTGTAGCTGCCGAGCGCCTTTTCAACGCCACCGCCAACTCTTCTGAGTATATTGAGACCCTGATCAATAAATCTTTGAGCCATTCTGTATAAGCTGGTGGATGTTACAGAGGAAAAGTGAATATAGAAAATAAAATACTACAAGTACAAATTAGATTTTTTGTTATTCAACAATCCAATAGCAGATGGCTTGAAATTACTAGCTGCTGTCCAGCCAGACTCGTTCGGACTGTCGTCGGTGAGGATTGAATTGAGTGCTTCGAGACGTGTCTCCATCGAGTCTACGGTGCTGTTACCCTCCTCTAGCGTAGATAATACAACGTCCCAGTAACGCGTCCTCAACCAATCAAGTGCGTCTATCGTCGACTGTGTGAGCACCTTGAGAGACGGCAGGTTGTCGTGCGTAGACGTGTGCCTTAGCTGTACAAATTTAAGCGGTAGATCTATCTGCTTAGCTAGATCGTGGATAGATCTCGCGAATGAAAATTGTTGAAGGGGATCTACGAGGCCGTTGACGAAGCGTATGATAGCTATACTCATAAGCAACTGTTTTTGGTTCTGACTGATATCGCCCTTTGTCGTCATATCTAAGCTCTCCATCAGAGATAGTGTGGACTCTATAGAGTGTGGACAGTTTCCTCTGTTGAGCCACAACTTGAGTGTATTCACAGACTCATTCCTATCGCCCGTCTGAAATAATCCACTGTAGACTTGTCTGAACTCATTTTTATTACACCACGGAGTTGTCCTCATATAAATCTCACGGTCCTTAATCAAAATCCATCATCATGGCAGAATCCACGAAATCATCAAAATCTAAGTTATTAGCACAGAAGCAATCTTCTCCATCTGAGTTAGTTCCTTCCGATATTCTGCTCGATAGATTCAACGCATGGAAGACGATCACAAAGAACTTGATCGCTTACTTCGAGGGAATCGCTGATATCGAGTCGAACACAGCGAGAGAACTCACAAAGTTGGGTGGCGTTATACAAGTTCCATTCAAAGAGGGCTCACAGTTCATGGGCCATGGCGGTTTACAAGACATCTTCTTTGAAGTCCGTGACAAATCGAGATCAATTGCTGACCACCACGCTAACTTGGCAAAAACTATCGACGGTAGTATAGTTCAACACCTCCACAAACTACGTGCTGAAATTAAGGCTCACATTCGCAACATCGCCAATGATACTTCCAAGTGTGTGATAATTTTATTCGCTCGCCGAAATTTTCTAACAAAGAAACCCTCAGGTTAGCAACCTCAGTAGCAAGAGAGCGTGAATACTCCATGCGTACTGTTTCTGATCTCCAAAAGGCTATCACTACGACCAAGAATACGCCTACATCCATCACAGCGAGAGAAGATCCATACTTAATGAACTCACTCGTCGCAAAGCAACTTCAAAAGCAGGTCCAAGAGGAGAATGCTCTCCAAAAATCTATCATCATCATGCAGCAAAACTCTGCTCAGTTTGAAGAAGGTATCACATCAAGTTTACAATCAGCTTGGTCGACATTCGACGAATGGCAATCTAGAATGTCCTTCGACGTTCAAGAAAGCTGGAAGGGAATGGGTCAGATGTTCTCTGCTCTTGAGCCTGATGCCGAGTGGTTAGCGTTTGCAGACAGAACCGATCATCTCCTTGACCCTGAAACCCCACTCCGTCAACAAGAGTTAATCGACTATCCAGGAAGAGATGATCCATCGGTCTTGGCAGTTCATGTCGGCTGGTTGGAGCGCAAGAAGAGGTTCACAAAGTCATACAAAGAGGGATTCTATGTCCTCACACCTGCTGGTTACTTACATGAGTTTAACACACCAGATCCAACCAGCCAATCTACACCTACGCTCTCGCTCTTCTTGCCAAACTGCACTCTTGGTCCTCCATCTCATTCAAACACTGCGAAATCACACAAGTTCCACCTCGAAGCAAACAAGGCTAATAAATTCTCCAGAGACCACTCTTACACATTCAGAGCTAGATCACATGAGACTATGTCCGAATGGTGGAACGACTTGCGTATGTTAGTATCTAGATACTTGGTTGCATCAGAAACAATGGACAGATCAGGTCCTATCGCGGCAGCCGTTCGTAGCGCAGGTTACATTTCTGAATCTGAAGAAGAAGGTGGATCGAGTCTCGAAGAAGACGAAGAAGAGGAAGAAGAAGAAGAGACTTTTAGTGAGACCTACGAGAATCAACCAACCGAAGCCGAGCAAGCACAACTCCAAAAAGCGAAGGAAGATGAGGAACAAGCTAAAGTTAACCTCGATCATGAACCTGAAAGTGAGGAAGAAGAGGAAGAAGAAGAGGGTGAAGAGGAAGAGGAAGCCGCACCTGCTTATAGTTCACCTAGAGAATCATCTGGTATCCAAATTGGTAAAGATGGATATGCAGTTGATAAGAAACCAAGTATTAAAGTTGGTAGAAAGTCCTCAAAGCGTTCTTCAAAGGGTAACAAACCGGCTAAATTGGTAACAGGCGATCTTGACAAGAAGGAGTCAGCAGAACCAGATACAGGTGGTAGCCCAGGTTTATTAAATAAGTTCAAGGAAGCTTTCGTTAAATCAACCGACCACTCAGCTGAGCCGCAAGCTGAGAAGGTTGATGTTGCAGCTCCAACGCAAACTGCTACTGCTGCTTAATCTTAATATTACAAAGATAATATAAATAAAATGGGGTGAGTGGAATTTCATCCCTGACGATCATCATTCTAACGATCACATAGATACTATTAATGCTTATTAATTACGACTTTTATGACCTTACGATTCTTGGATTGGATCTTTTTTTATTGTTTAAACCATCTTCTAATGAATATCTTTCTCTTCTTTTCTATGTTAACTTGACGGCAAAATAAAAATAACTACAAGAAGAAAGTAGTAATACACTTCCATTAATTCTAAAAAGATTTCGGGAATTCTAAACAAAAACAAAATTATTCGTCAGGAACAGGATTCGAACCTGCGCACCACATGGGTATTTGATACCTGTAAATTCATTGAATTATTCGAGTCAAACGCCTTAACCACTCGGCCATCCTGACGTTATGTTGTGGTTTGAGGAAACTGCTATATATATTGTAGCATAGAAAATTTTCATTTTTCGCAGAATCAACGGGAGCATATACCTTACGACACTAGTCAAAGAATTCTTCCGGCCAACTCAGCGCATCAGAAAATCCATCACACTATAAAAAGTCTTGATTGAAGCAGTTAAACTTTGTTTCATCTTAATAACATATTTTAATACATTTAGATCTCATCATCTCAACCTTGTAAGGAAACGCCAAACCTTTCTAGGACTTGATTATATTATTAAGTTTATACGTCTACTCTGTGCAATCTCCATCCCGAAGCACCTAAAGGTTACATTTGTTAGCTTTGCCTTTCAATAAACCAAAACAGAAGAGTAATGTCAGCAGATTAAGAGTTAACAAACAAAGCAGTTGCGAAATAATTCAGTAAGATAAATCTAAGAGGTGCATATTAGTGAAAGAGTCATAAAGAAGTCTTGCGGACGTCGTTTTCGCCTCGGGACGATCATAATGCCAGTAATTGAATTATATGATAGAGAGATTGTACAAAATTACATTGAAAAAGGAGAAATCCGGTCAAGTGATTTAGATGTATCGAATAGTGCGATCCATAATTTGCCTCGGTATATTGGGCTTGGTTCAGCCATCGGTGGTGGATCTCTGTTTTATCTAGCAAGGCGCTACCAACGGAGGTGGACGCTACCAACATTTTTAGGTGTCGTCAGTGGGTTGGTCTCAGGTCCAATTGCAAGTGCTATATTACTGGAAAACCATTGGAAAACGGAAGGCAGGGATCCACAAACTGTAATTCAGACCTTATCTAAAATTTCGGATGAGAGTACTAGCAAGCTTTTCGAGAGAGTTGCAGCAACAGGCGCTAAGCATTCTGTATCAGAATCACAACATAATAACGGGCGGGATCAATCAGAAGATACAACAATTATGGATAATGCAAAATCTAATACAATCAATGAGAAAATATGATTAACAATATCCCAGACAGTACTTCGTCATTTTATAATACTAGCAATTCCTCAAGGTCTGGTAAGGATTTTCAGCGTCGATAAAGTGTCAGAGAATGATTTGTAACTACAGCAAATGAAGATCATTCTGAAGTTTATTATATCATGTTTTCTAGCAATATCAATATACACACACCTCTTATCAAAAATGTTTTGAATTGTTTGATATAATAGACGTTCACGGCCAGCATTGGCGAGTGAAGTGCCCTATCTGCCCACAACCACAACACTGTATGTTACTAATACCATTGAAGCGTTTGACTTAGCTTTATCTTTTACTCTCCCATATAAATAATCGTCTATTCTTTTTTAAAATTAAATCACAGTATAACGATTTCTAATCAAGTCAAAAACAAGCAGACGTCATTTTCGTCTCGCACCATCAAGATGCCAAAAGTCATACAACTTGATAGAGAGATTGTACAAGATTACATCGAAAGAGGAGATCTCCGGTCGAATGACTTAGATCTTTTGAATAGCTCACTCCAGACTACATTGAGGTATGTTGGGTTCGGTGCAGTCGTCGGTGGTGGATCTCTATTTTATCTAGCAAGGCGCTATCAACGAAGGTGGCCATTACCAACATTTGCAGGTGTCGTCAGTGGCACATTCTTAGGTCAATACGCAGGTGCTATGTCATTTGCTAGCCACTTCAAAGCAGAAGGCAGGGATCCACGACTTGTGTTACAAACTTTAGCTACGATTAGCAGGGAAAGTGATATCAAGCGTGCTGAGAGAGCTGCAGCAGGTGTTAAGAATCGTGTATCAGAACCACAGCATACTAGCAGATGGGATCAATTAAGAGACACGCCAACGGTGGATAATAAGAGATCAAATACAAATAATGAAAAAGATACGATTAAGAATACCCCAGATAGTTCTTCTCAGTCATTTTATGACACTAACAATTTCCCAAGGTCTAGTGAGGATTTTTCAGCCTTCAATAGAGAGGTAAAAAGCTATAGAAGTGCCACAGAGAAAGATTTGTAATTACAGCAAATAAATATCATTCAGATTTTTATTACATCATGTTTCTCATCAACAGCAATATGCATACGTACGTACGTTGATAATTAAGATACAAATTATGGCAATGCATATGTTAACCACTTCTACCTCTCGTCCTAACAGACAGTTTTGGTCTACCATGAGATCCTTTGATTTTACTTGTGGGATCAGTGGAAACACCAGTATCTAGACTATGACGAAAGTTTTATGATTTTATAATCGTAATATATATGTTTTACTATAAGCTGTCTGAAATAAGGTATCTGCCTGATTGTGACCACAATCACGTCTGGTTGACATTAATAAGATTATACATGAAAATGAATAGGATATTCCGACAAGAAGTGTGCTATATTTATTATGTTTATTCTCCATATGATCCTCTTCCTTTGTCTGTGCAGCATTGAACCATAGCGCCGGTATCTAATCCATTATTACCTGGCCATATACTTCTACAATCGTGGTATTTGCGATTGTACTCATAGGTATTCCATATGTGGCCTTTGTTTGGTGGGCAACAGTCCTTGGTTTCTTGATATGCATAGCCACCCGTGCCATCCATGTTAACTGTGCAAGCACCGATCTGTCCAGCTTGGACGAGAGTGAAAGTAGCTAAAGTGGTTGCCAAAAAGATTGATTTGAGCATGTTGTAGTGAATAAAAGAGGAAAGGAAGTACTGCTTTTGTATTCTTCCATTATGACCGAGCTGTGCAAAAAGAATTAGATTAATATCTAATCAAATGTTCGATCAGTTACACGATCTTGGCAAGACTAACATGATAAACATGCAATACCGTACAGAGTAACTGTATATATTTACCGTCATACAAAAGAAGATTGCCAATGCAAAAGAATATTTTCATTAGTATATTTCCTTACACCCGAACTTGTTTTAAGTGGTATTCACAATAACACATTGCTACTGTGTACATGTATTTCTGTATTATGAAACTTCGAGTATGGTCAGATGTTTGATAGGAATGTCCTTATTTTTATATGCTGTGAAGTGTAGACTCAGGGTCAGCTGCTTATTCAACCCATGATGATTAAATTTTTCGCCGCTAGAGCTTGAGCTTAGTTGTTTGATCAAACAGGCAAAGACATGAGTCTGATGGACTACAAGTTAGTATCTGAATGGGTGTGGAATTGGGAGCGAATGTGAACGTCTGTAATGATGACTATTTTATTCATTACTTTAAAATATATAACTAGGAAAACATTGTACTCATTCTGTGATTACTGTCGCTTGGACGACACCGACCATCAATAACACCTTAAGATATCATTCACGGAGATACCAAAAAAGTAAGATAATTGTAATCCTGTTTTGATACCATGGACCCCTGAAGCAACTCCTGAGTACAATATCAGCTGCAGTGAAGGGTTTTGCTTCGCGACACTGCGATACTTCTCCCATGAATCACTAACGAATCAAGTATAAGTCATGCTAAGCGCTCATTAATTATTGTGAAATGTCTGATTATTAAGAAAGGAGGTAATTCAAAGCTAATAGAACTTGATGGTGATTATGTGGCTTATATCACGTTGATTTCCCTATCACTATTTCTGTATATTTCAGACATCATGTAATATTATCCCGACTGAAAGAGTAATAGTGAAATGTTGTAGTAACATGCTGTACCTGTATTTGTCGCACCGTATAGTTTCCTTTATCTAAAATGATATAACCGCCGTTGGTGATGGATGAAGCCACAATAGACGTCATAAATAGATTTACAAGATACACCATAATAAGAAAATATGCGAAGTAGTTATGTCTAGCTGATAATAAAATATCCCTATAAGTCACGAAATAGAGCCAATCACATCTATCAGCTTGACTATGAACAACCACCAACAACCGAGTTCAGGAAGGAGGGTGAAAGTACCACTACCAGGTATAGCAAAGACAGCATACGATTTGAGGAATCCACGTCCACATAAGGATGAATTACGTATACCGCAAATCGCTCAGATAAAGCAATCAGCCGCATTTATGGGTAGAGGTACACCACCACGTGGACCACCAAAGCAATCACTCCCTGTGCGTACGTCAAAAGTTACGCAAAAACATGTTTTATTGCCAGATGAAATCCAAACACGTCCATTACCCTATGAGGAAGCTAGAAGACCGCCTACTAATATAGAACAGCAACAACAGCAAGAGGAAGTTGAAGCGAGGTTTAGGTTAGCTGAGCGTATGAGTAAAGAGGAGAGAGAAAACGAGGGTCACCACAGATTAACCGCTTATGCTGTTGGTGAGAGGTACAAGATGAAATCTTTAGCTGCATTTAGTAAACGTGAACATGGTGCTTGGGCGAGACAATACGATGAAGCTATATACACTGTCTACCACCTACCACTTCTCCCTGGATATAGTGCAACAACGACTTTGAGATCATCGGCTCCAATTATGAGCCCAGGTGGTGGTTCTATAATTGATCAATACGAGGAAGCAGATGAATTGCCGCAGCATGCAGAAATTGAACATCATAATGAACAACATTACGACGATTTGAGTCATAGTCCACCTCGTATCGATCACCAAGGGTTCATCAACGAAACTGTTGGCGATGGTAGATCTGGAAATGGCGTAAGCAATATTGGAGATGTCTCGCCATCACCTGATGATGTCGCTGTGCATGCCGATATGAAATCTGCTTCGCATAAAACCCAAAGGCAAAAGCGAAATTGGAGAAGACGACTAGAGAGCATAAATGACACCGTCGCAGAAATAATTCACTTTGATTATGTGGGTGAAGTGACTAAATAAGAGACTATCTAACCACTATTCTAGGGTGTTTCTGTGTTTTATAACATGACTGAAGCACAAGAAAATGACATCCTTCATGATATGGTCAATGCCGGAGTTGTAGTTCGACCGCTGCAGCCGGAAAACCGGGAGATCGAGCAGTGTCATTATGGCCAAGACAGTAACATACCCTCTTCGCGTATATTCAACGACTTCTTCACATTTAAAACCAATTCTCATTATCTCAAGTTGTCGCTAGCACATGCATTGGCGCAGTCGACGAAGCTGTCTGCGTTTGAGGAGCTCACTTTGGGTGTACTCGATAGCGCGTCAACGATACCAAAAGAATTGGCCGCGACTGGCACACTAGCCTTGGATAGAAGACAAGCCATTCAGCTCACTGGCAAGCTTTTCAAACTCCGTGTGGATGTCAATCTTGTTAGCAATGTGTTGGACGTTCCTGAACTCTTCTGGTCAGAGGCGGGTTTAAAAGCACTCTATGATGCCGGAAGGGAGTACTTTGAGATTGGCGCTCGCGTACAAACTTTGAATGAAAGATTAGCAGTCGCAAGTGATTTATTGGATAGTGAGTGAACGTAAACACATAAAGAATCTCCTAACACCCATCACAGTCATCCATGAACATGTCAATGAGCAGGGTATGAGTAGAATAACTATAATTATTATCTGGTTGATTGTTATCGCATGCTTGGTTGCGGTAGGAGAGGTATGGATTGACAAACGACATGCGGACAAACTGACAGAACATATAGGTTGGCGCAAGATTAACGCTGCATGCGTTGCGGCCTGGCAGTGTGACGATGATGCAGCGTTTAATAGATTAAGCTGGAGTGGGGGTCACCCAACTTCGCATCATAGAAGGACCAAGACAAGGACCAAGCAACAACTGTACAGATAACTAATAAAATAATGTATCATAAATCTTAAACATTACTATCTGTGGATGAATGAGTTTTCGCAGTTTATCTTCTATCATGGAGGCCTAATACAACACCATACTGACTTATAGGGCTATATGACTTGTATTATTAGCTGTATACAGAAACACAGTGCATTTAGTGATAACTGGAATTGGAAATACAGAATCAATGTTCAAAGTTGTAAACTCTGATTGCCTCGAGGTTGCATTGTTTAGTTTGGAATATAAGCTGAACCAGTACTTCAAATGATAGCCTCATGGCATCAGCTTCTCTGAAAAGTTAATAAGTTGTAAGTCAGCACCTGAACTTCGTGTATTGTCTTCTGATACCACACACAATCTCAAAATCATAATGCTGTTCATATTCCCTCAATAGCTAAAATTATCAAAAACGTCCATAGTAATACAATTGTTATAATGTTCTATATAATTATAAAATTATGACTAAAGTTTCTTTATTATGGTAGTGAGCGCGACTGAAATAACAAAAGGTGCGTCGAAGGCGGTACCAAAGAGGTCTACAGCTGGTAAACTATTGAGGAGAGTGAAAGTGGTGTTAGCCGACAACGATGTGTTCAGCTGTACCAACATAGTGAGAAAGAATGATCCCATGAGTTGTGATAACAAGAAGATCAAGAAACTAGTACTAGACCTCGTAGAAGAGTTACCTGCGACGTTTGTTGTACCAGCTATCTTCTTAAATATGCGATTCACAGCTAAGAGAAGTGCCTTAACATTGCTAATAATAATTGCACCAATTGAGACTACTGAAATCTGCTTAGCATAGACAGCTGACGAGTCCGGGTTGTTGAACAAATGTGCAAGTATGCCACCGAGTATCTTCGAAACGTAATCTGGGGAGCTCTCCGTCGAGCTACGTCTGAACATGAGGTTGATGAGCGATACAATGACTCTGGCGATACAATAAACTGCAAAAGCATGGCCGAGGAAGACGTAAAGCTTCCCTTTTATTGTCTTACTGAATTCTTGTCTGTCGTATTTGAATTTCAACTCGTTGAGGTCGATTACCATCTGGCTTTCAAGGGACTGCAAGCCATTAAGTTCCATACGCAGAGGTCCAGGAACTGTTGGAGAGCGCGTCCAGGATGTCATCCACTTTGGTATTACAGATGGCATACCCTCATCTTCAGCCATTTTGGCGTGGGCTGTAATCTCCGCGTTATGGACTTTCTCTTTAACTTCATCCAATTGATTCTGTACGTGATTGAGGGCCTTCTCAGAGGTCTCTATGTCCTCGACAGATACAGGTAACCTGATGGATTTGTAAGTTGTGAGACAGGTTACATACACAAACGCCTACCAATTACGCTTAGATACAGCGTGCAAGAACATGAAGGTCGTAGAGACAACACCAATACCAGACAATACTGCAAGGATGATAACGCCCATTCCAACACTACGAACGAGAGCTTTTCCGAGCAAGGACGACGCGTTTGAGAGCGGAAGTGGAATCGTCGAGAAGAGCAGAAGGTAGCATGCGAAAGGAATAAGCGATATTTTGATAGTACGCAAAAGTGGTGGATCTATAAGGCTGTTAGAACGATTGATGCGTATAGAAAGAGCAACGTACTCGTATCAATAGCGGCTGTAGACGCCTGCCTCAATCTAACGAAGAGAAAACATTGGAGGTAGGGTATTAAGAATATTACGAATCCTAATAATAGACCAAGTGCGATCTTGAAGGCTATCTCGACTGCGGGAGTCTGCAGCATGTTTCCAATATTGAACATAGCGATAACGATTATTTTAGCAGCCTGTGCGAAAACCATCGAAAAAGCCCATCTAGATATGTTTAAAGCGGTGGACGTTGTGAATGTCGTCAAGCTTTTAAGATTCCTGAGTGATAGTTTGGCTTGTATGCTAGCGATAGATGGCCTAGAAGAACCGTTTAAAGTGGGCAATAGAGGCGCATCATCGTCCATATCCTCATTGTACTTTCTATCTTCTGATGCATCCTTCAGGGATGGCTGCAGGGACCGCAGAAGAAACTTCCTAGCTAAGGAGAAAGATATCAATCTAATACACGGTTATTGGAGAAAGTAAGTCGTGCTATTAGACCCACTCCACGGCTGTTATAAAAATACCGTCGCGAACGTCAGTCGCTTGCATCGTTGATGGTCGTACAAAATGAAGGATGAGATAATGATTTTTTGAGTATTTTGTTTCTAAGAGATCTAGCAGTGCTATCAGGGTTATATAGCCAGGCTGAAAGCTGTTCCGTACGAGTTACCTGAGATGTAGAAGATATGGGAGATCTGGAATAAAATGAGGGATATGGAGAGATGCATAATGTATTCACAATAAATTACGGTGCGTGTTCTATATATACCCCGCAGTGTGGAAAAACTGTTCTATGTTTAGCTTAAATAGTTGAGTAAGAAAGATATGAAAACAAGACAATATAATAAATAAAGCGAAGACTTAAATACAGTAGTAAAGAATAAATTTATTTTACTCTCAAAGTCGTGTGTGTGCTCGGACTCGTTTCTACCCTGCAGTCATCTCAGGTTGAACTCTCATGGTGTTCAAAAATGGCCACACTCGTTTCTATTTACTTCTAGCAGTTCTATCCATCAGTATAAAAGCAGACGTCCCATGCATAGGCTCAGCAAGTAGTATTACCTGGTGGCAGACCAAGAACGATAACCCGTGGTACGTGCTACAGAATACCGCAGTCGAACATCCGTTTAACAATCCACAGTGGTCTAATGGAGGAAACCGCTCGTGTGTGCAATAGTCAGGGTGAGTCCGCATTCTTCGATTAAGAGTGTGCTTATACAATTATAGCTGCAGTAGATAGAATTACCTACGGCGGTGATTACAGAGCAGACCCAGACAGCTGTGAATGCTCTGTTCCATATTTCAATCTAGCAAATGCTTGTGCGTATTGTGGAACAGGCGATCACAATAGAGGTACCAGCAAGGATGAATTCTTCGAAAAATGCGACAAGAACAACCTAAATGTCAGGTAAGGCTTTAGTAATACTATACGCTGTTTTTTAACTATTCGTTTCTAGCCCGCAGTTCCCTGAAAACGTCACCCAGACTTACCTCGTACCACCATGGGCGACGATGGCTATACCAGCTAGTGGTAATTGGTGAGTTTGTTGGCATTAAATAATACATCTAACGCTCTCTAGGTCTTTCGACGATGCAGAGGCTTATGCTTCTGAAAATCCCACTCGTGAGCAGTTTCACTTATTAAAGTGTCTTCCTGACAAATCAAATAGCAACTGAATCGGCGAAACCAACAGACCCATCTGATCACCATTATTCTGTCGGTGCTGTTGTAGGTGGCACCCTTGGTGGTGTATTCGCGTTGGCCTTAGTTGTAGCGATTGCTGTCTTAATTTGGTGCAGAAGATCTTCAACTGCAGCGCGTAGGAGACGATTGATGATGCGTGCTCAAGGAATACCAACAAAGGTTAAAGATACCGATAGTATATTCGAAATAGACGACGAACCGCGCCGCGACCACGATGACCTAGATAAAGCCTACATACCTGTGCCTTACACAGGCTCTGCAGGAAGTCAGACATCAGCTAGACAGTCAGGATTATGGGGTACACCTTCCCCTGGATTTGCAGCTAGTGGTAGATTTGGACAACATTCTCATAGACGATCGCAACCAAGCTCGGGTGTGAACCCATTAGATGATGAAAATAGTCTATACTCCAGACCAAGCGTCTATTCAAGACCAGGATCATTTGCTCCGCTTCAATCACCTTTACCGGCTGTGAGGAAGGGCGTCGAAGCTGGATATGACTATTTTGGAAGTAATAAAAACCGAAGTTCATTTGCTGTGAATAATCAACACGTACATCATGAATCGGACGCTGGCGTCTCACTCTACTCTGACTCGCAGGAAGACTCAACGAAGCAAAGTTTACCACCAATGTACACAGATGTGTATAAACGGAATAACATGATATAATCAAACACTCTCATTTAAAGTATTGTATACCCTCATGGACAGTTATCAATAAAATATTTTAGTGCAAATTGTGTATTGTCACCTCACATTCCGAAGCTAGCTAGAGTTGGGGCTAAAGCTTAAGCTAAACATTCTCAAGTGGCTTTGAAGCGGCTTTGAAAAATAATTTTGTTATTAGCTCCTAGCCGACTGTCAGTAATCTGTCAGGAAATTCTTAACTGCAGTCCAGATAATTGGTGCCTTAGCGTCTAATACCCTTCTTCCATCACAATCTAATTAATTAAAGTGAGTAAAAGTAAAAATAAGTAAAATATATTAATACATATATAGATATAATGTCATTCACTCTAGAGAACTTTGATTTGGGAAACTTCCTAGCCTCTGAAGTAGATGCATTCAGCCAGACCGGTGCAAATCTAAAGAATCCCCATGGATATGTAGATTATGACAACTTTCAAGACTTCTTAAGCCCACGCAACGGTCAGGAATCATTGGATAGTGATCTCCCTTACTCTTGGTTCGACTATAATAGAAACCAGCCACAAATAAAGACAGAACCGATCTCAGATATTGTACCAGTCGAGAGTCTACCACCATCGATGTTCTTCCAGCCACCTACTGCTTTCTCCCAGCCAGTTGAACAATCAAAAGCACAGCCCCACGAGGAGGCACAAAATGAGGCACAAGACGAGGCACATGCACAGCCAGAGGAACTTCCACCTTCACCTTCGATGCACCCAAAGGATGAAGATTATAACAGCGATGAGGAGAGTGATGCCACTGCCAAGCCTACGCCAAAGAGAGCACCAAGAAGGTCGGCCGCAGCAGGTAAATCAAAGCAAAAGGCAATTGGTAGTCCAAATGTCATAGGTTCACCTCAGAATAAGCGCAAAAGATCTCTCACTCCTCTTCCAGCTACGAGTTCGAGACGCTCTTCTGTTATGGATACCGAGATGCAAGAATTAACAAATAATTCAACAATTGAGCTTCCAAAAATACAAAAGACAGCTCACTCTTCACAATTCGTACCACCAGATACCTCAAATTTACCTAAACGTGAAGCTAGATTACTCAAGAATAGAGCAGCTGCTTTCTTGTCTAGACAAAGGAAACGCGAGGCGTTTGAACTCCTCGAGGAGAAAGTAATCGACTTGGAAAAAGAGAAGCAACAATTACAACTCGAGAGAGATACGGCTATCGCAGGCGAGCGTCGTATGCTTGAAGAATTGCGTCAATTGCAGGCACAATTTGGACAACCAATGCAGCAATGAATGGACAATTTTAACGATAGCAATTACGCTATGTACATTTAGCCTTTATTTTTAACTTTCTCGCCCTTTTGAAGGAAAGTTTTTTATTGTACTTTTTAAAAATACATATGTGACGCATTTTGGTAGACTACAATAATGAGTGAGGTAATAAAAACAGAAGACAATTCAAACGATCAGCACGTTATTGACGATGTATACGACGGCGTAGAGGAAGATAAAAATAACGAACAAACTAGAGCCCCAGTGGCTGAAGAAGCTACACCGGCAGCACCGCCAAAGGAGGAAAAGAAGGAGGATGAGGATAAGGCTACAATGGAGAAAGTAGCTGCTATGTCTGTTATGTTCCCATCGGTTAGTATCCCCTAATCCATTCTCGTATACCTCGCTAATGAGATATAGATCGACAAAGAGATCATTTTGTCAGTTTTGAAGTCATCGTCCACACAAGAGAGAGCCGTTGAAACACTCCTACAAATGTCAGATCCTTCCACTCAGTCCCAGACGCAAAAGCCATCGAGACAGTTCGACGACGATGAGGCACTCGCACGTCGTCTCCAGGAAATGGACTTTGAGAGGAATGGTAGAGCATCTTCAACGCCTTACGATGATCTAGGCTATGAGCCACGCAAACCAAGACGTCAACAGAAGCCTCCACCAGAGCAATTCGAGAACTTGGAACCTGGCTTCAACTTCTCAGATATTACCAACGCTTTCTCTGAATTGGCTACTACTTCCAAGAAGCATCTTAATGATTTCTGGTCCTCGCTCACTGAAGGCTACAATACTGTCCAGAATACCGCAGAAGAGCACCTCGGTGAACATAGACCAGCAAAGAGATCAACCCAGATCGATGACCCATACGCTCATCATTATGATCCACAAATACATCGCAGAGCACAGAAACATAACAGACAATCAATAATTCAAATGAAAGATAACTCAACTGATAAGAACACTACCCACCAAACACAGCCATCTGACTTATCTGGCTTGGGATTCCTCCCTCGTCGTGAAATTGACTTGAGTCAACATAAGAGAAACACGAATACATCCGAGAATGAGGAGGATGATGATTACACACATAACCCATTTAACGAAAGAAAGTAATGTCATTAATTTCATAAATTTATCCTTACTCTGCGTCCAACTCTGGATAATGTCTGAAAATACCGTCTGTGTAAGGCAAACGGCGATCTGATTTGAGGTAAGACAACATGTGATCTTGTGATTTGATGTTATCGTAGAAAGCATTGATGTTCTTGTAATCAGGCAAGAGAGTTTGCATTCTCTTTGGGAAACTATATGATAATATTACTATGTAAAACAGTAACGAGATTGGACGCACGCGAATTTCAAACCATCGATAACTTGCCAGAGTGCGTAATCAGCATAAGTTATATGATCGCCGACGAGATATTTCTTTTGCGCTTTCAAATTCTTAGACAAAATTGTCTCAAAATGTCTGATAATGAGGGTTAATTATGTGTCTGTAGAAACTTATGAGACTTACGTGAGAAACTTTGGAATACGTTCGTTACGGAAAGATTCAGAGAATCTTTCTGATTCGACTTTCTGGTCTTCGTAGTATAAGTTCGCACTGATTGGGTGGCTGTTGTGTGATTAGTGGGAGTGATCTTTGAAAAGTGTTACACACTGGGTGTTGTGCGCCTCAGAACATAAATCCAATGCTGTTAAAGCATGTTGATGAATCTGAATCTTTTGGATTTCGTCATCGGATGATAACCCCAATCGTGTGGAAAGGTAAAGTAATATAGCAGGAGTCTATGTAATCAGTCAGATAGACCTGAATAATCAAATACCACCCACTTGGGCAATTGCAACACCATTCGTGTTATCTTTCAAGATTGGCGTTGCGAATGCTATGTTGTTGTTGCCAATATCAACTATGGTGGCTTAGAAATGCCCATAATAAGGAGAGTATCCCCACCATCTCCTGAAACGTACTCCATAACTTGATCTATCCCGCCTGGTGTGTCGACATAGGAAACACCAGCGTGTTCAAAACAGAGACGGATGAATTCACCTCTACCAGGGATAGGCCAATAAATAAGTTCGTCTATCTTCAGTTAGATAGCTACTAAGTTACAGAGTTATCCTCACAATCTGTCTTTGCTGCCATCGTAGTCGTTGATAAAGAGAAATAAATTACAAATAATTTACAGAGCCAGTTCCGGGTATACCTTGTTGATGAATGATGCTACTACTGCTATCATTGTCATCCTCCTTTGTGTCTTTGCCGACTATATTCCCAAATACACCCCAGAGTGCAGCTATCGTGTTGAACTCCTTGCCAACGCCTAGTACTTCTTCTAAACGTCTGCCAAGCATATTGGAGTTATTCAACGCTTGTTCGAATTCCTATTACGCGTTCAGAATACGCACCCCACGCGTCTTCTACTCACATGTCCTATTTCTTTCACAAGCCTCTCTTTTTCTTTCTCAAAATGTGTACTTTCTATAGGTGCATTTAAGTTTGAATTACTCAGTGGCTCCCGCTTTATTTCTATCGTCTCTTCACTATCCATCATCGCGGTTTATAATCAATGAGTCTTTCTACAAAATAAATTACTTTTTCTTTTTTAAATCGTTCAATGCAGTCGATTTACTAACACCAAGGATGTTCTTGTGATCTGCTGGGTTGTTAAATTCGTCTTACTTTCTTCTATTCACTTACTATCATTATTGACCATTTCGTTCGCAAGTGTCGACTGATTCGTCGTTAAGTACTTGCTGCTAACACCTCTAATCATCAATGGTTGTGAAAGTAGGTTTTTCAATTCCGCTTTCTGCTTCTCGAGTGCATTCTCTTCCTTATCAGTGAGGTTCGCAACACCCACTCTCTTCTTCTTCTGGCCACGTAAATTGTATTGGGTTTCTTCGTGGTCAGAATCCAAATCTACACCAAGTGCATCCGCAGCTTCCTTCTCCCAATTCGAATCAAACTTCGCTTTAGTCGTTTTATGTCTAGTTGCCTCTATCTTTGTTGCAAGATTTATTCTCGCTTTGAGTTGATCGAGTATATTGAACTGTATTTGAAGGTGTGAAAGACCATTGTCTGTGGTATATGAGAAACTGTCTATGTTAATACTTAAACTCACCCCTATTAAGCTGTTTAAGGAGATCGTTTGACATTCTTCTCTCTTCTGGACACACAAACATTACTGCGAGACCACTCCTTTGAGCTCTCGCGGTTCTACCACTACGGTGGATATAGGCATCCGCTGTGCGTGGTACTTGGTAGTGAATGACGTGATCGACAGAAGGTACATCCAGACCTCTAGCAGCTACATCCGTAGCAATCATAACTGCATTTGGTAGACTTTTGAATCTATCAAAGTTTCTCAGACGCTGTCTCTGTTGAAGACCCGAATGAAGAGGGAAGACATGTTGCTTTAACGTTTCGAGTAATGGGATCATCCTTCTGATAGCGTCTATTGACGAAACGAATACCAATGTCTTGCCCGGATACCTCAGGAGGAAATAGTAAAGGTAGAGATCCTTATCAGTTGAGAGACAATCCACACGTGCTTCTTCCAATGTCGATACAACCTTGTTTACCGGTGAAAGATCTATGATCGATGGTTCAAGATCACGGAAATCGAGACGCATTAGTAAATCATCTGGAGGTGCGTTAATGCGGCTCTTATGAATGGTACACAACCCTCACCTAAGCTTGATTTTACTTCCTGTTTCTTCTTACCACTACCAGCTTTTCTCTTCCTTTTGAGGTTTTGCTGGAGATCCTTCGAAAGCGTGGCCGAGAAGACCATGGTTTGCATATCATCAGTTGCTGGTACCTCCTCAGGTAAACCAATCTCTGTCGACTCAAACTCATCTTGGAAGGCAGCAGTTGATGACCTTTGAGAGTGGTTAATTCAGTTCTCAATAGCCAGTACAGCTTACTTCGAAGTACGCTGTGTCATGCGTAAAATCTTGTCCATTTCCTCGAAATGACCAGCTTCAATCATACGATCAGCCTCATCGATAACCAAAAATTGAGATCTGATAGCGCGCTTGGCGAGAGTGCCATCCTAAAGGGATATTGAGTTGCGTACATAAGGTGAAATTCTAACTCACATCCAGAAGGACCTCCCAAAGACGACCTGGAGTAGCAACGACAATGTTGGCATACTGTAGTTGTCTTTTTTGTTTCTGTATACTCATACCACCAACTACTGTAGCTACATTGACTCGCCTGGTGATATCCTGTACTCTTGGGGCAAATTTCTTGAGTTCACCCGCTACTTGGAGGGCTAATTCACGTGTAGGACACAAAACAAGAGCCGCCAAGGATTCCTCGGGGATCTCACCCTCTACTATACGTGATAATATAGGTAAGCCATATGCGAGCGTTTTACCTGAACCTGTTTCAGCTATACCAATGACGTCCTTCCTTATCATCGATGCTTTGAGTGATTCTTTTTGTATAGGGGTTGGTGTAACTATGCTGTTCTCATGTAGACTTCTCAAGAGTGCTGATGGGAGATCCTTAGCGATGCTCAAATTATCTGCACTCCATTCAGGCAATTTGGTTACTATGGAGGAGTAAGAAAGTAGCTCTAATCCTGCAGCCGCAACATACCATCAAATTCAGGTTCAGGTGCTGGTTCTTTTGGCTTCTTCGCCTCGTCTACTTCTCTCTTCGCTTGTTTGGCAGATGCACGCTTCTTTTTTGCTGCGTCCCGCTTCTCAGCCTTCTTCAACTCCTTTCTAGATTTCTTCTTCTCCGGCTGTGTATCCTGTGCATCGTCTGGCTCCTCATCTTCCTCGAAAGGTACATCGACAACGTTTTGTACACTCTGAGAAGAGATTAGAAGAGATAGGCAAAACTGTACTATATACTCACTCTAAGTTTCACTATACGCTCTCCAGAATGTCCCTCTTCGAAGTCTACGTCGACGCCGTCAATTTCTTCTAAGCCCATCCAACCATCACCTTCAGCGTCTGCGAATTTGTGATCAACTTTCTTCCATGAGAGATCTTGACCCCTTTTACGCTTATTTAATGCGTAGGGTGGCATTTTATAATTTTTCTTATCAACGAACTCAATCAAGGAGAGATCTGGCGCTTTGATTGCAAAAACGATGAGGAGAGAAATAACTGTTACCGCACCTGTCAATATCGCTGTTATAAAGTGAGTATTTAGCATTCTATTGTTTCATCTCTCAATATCTCTAGATACTGGGGAAAGCGTGATGTTAAACTCAACCTCCCAACTAACAGCTCACTCTCTGTAACACTCTCACAAGATGAAATGTGCAGCAAAACAACTGTCTCTGTTGATAAGAGCTACACCAAAGACACTCTCGTCCTCAACGGCGAAGAAAACGAAATCAACGGTCGTCTCGTTAACGTCCTCAATGTTATGCGTGAATCTACCACAGAAAGCGAAATAAAGGATTTGCATGTTCGAATTGAATCCACAAACAACTTCCCAACTGCAGCTGGTTTGGCTTCCTCTGCCTCTGGTTTCGCTGCCTTGGTTTATGGTTTGGGCAAGATATTTGTACCTTCATACACCAACAGTCAACTCTCAACTATCGCAAGACAGGGCTCTGGTTCTGCCTGTAGATCCCTCTTCGGTGGTTTCGTAGCCTGGAACAAAGGTGAAAAACTAGACGGCAGTGACTCGAGCGCAGTTGAAATAGCCCCACAATCACACTGGGATGATCTTGATGCACTCATTTGTGTCGTCAGCGCCAATAAGAAAGCAGTCGCCTCCACAGCCGGTATGCAAAGAACTGTAGAAACAAGTCCATATTTGCAACACAGAGCTGATAACGTCGTTCCAAAGCGTATGGATGATATTATAGATGCTATCAAGAGCAAGGATTTCGATAAGTTTGCTGATATCACAATGATGGATAGCAATAGCTTCCACGCAAGCTGCTTAGATACCCATCCACCAATCTTTTATCTCACTGACGTCTCCAGAGCTATCATAAATGTCGTTCACGCTCTTAACAATGCCATGGGTAGACATGTTGCTGCTTACACATTCGACGCTGGTCCAAATGCTGTTTTATACGTTCAAAGAAAGGATAAAGAATTGGTGTTGTCGATCATTAACAGCCTCTTTGGTCCTTGCGAAGGTGTAGAGTGCAACTCCCTCGACAACATACTCAGAAGATATAACATCGATGCTGATTTGTCTGCCTTCCAATCACCGAACGGATTGTCAAGAATAATCCAAACCTCAATTGGAGATGGCCCACGTATTGTTTAAATTGCCGATTAGATTTCTATCTTTTTTATTTTTTGTTTTTATATTTTCTGTCTGCCTTTTTGATAAGAGCACTTGCTTCGCGTACTACGTCGAACGCGTGACGCTTGACGCTAGATGGATGATCAATTCAAACGACCGACAGCCGGCAAGAAGAGGTCATTAGATGTGCAGCAGAGCACTTCAAAACGGCCAAAAGTAGACAAACCAGAGAAGCATATTGAGGATTACATGAAGAAGTGGATAAAAGCATTCAAGAACATCGTATTGCATTTTGATAAACCAGAGGACATAGCATTGAAGAATGAAATTATATTCATGTCTCGTATCCTCGGCGCCGTTAGTTTTTTGCTTTCAAAACCGCGTATTTCTGACATCTTGATAGCGCGTTGAAAACTTCTTCTCTAGAAAGGTGACTCATGTTATAACTAGCAGGCAGATATCCAAGGATTCCTCCGTTGTGAAGTCCCCGCCCACAGAGAAGGAAAACCAGCCGAAGTTGAATAGACAAGCAACACCAACTTATGGCGAGCAAACTGTAGTTAAATCAAACTATGTAATGTTTGATTCTAATAACCAACGTACACAGAGGTGAGTAGACCGCGTAATTAGTACATGCATTCACAAAAGTCTAGTATCGTAGACACACAACCAAAGAATCCGTTCCTAGATGGTTCACAACAGAACGATCTCCTTCTTAAAGCCCAGGAGTTCAAGATGAAAGTATGGAGTTTTGGTAAGATCTACAACATGCTCGATTTCATCTTTGGGAACTCCCCAGAGCTTAAAAGTGTATATAAGAATCTTAAAAGTGATAGAAGAGCACGAAAGGAACAAGAAGTCACCCTTAAGGCACTTCTTACAAAGGAGAAGCTCCAGGGTACAACTGAGCGCGATAGGAGCGTACGTACTCAAGATTTCTATTATTTCCATCGCAATATAAAGTATATACTCGTAGAAGACACGGAATCAATCTACAGACCAATCCTTATTCAGGAGTATGCACAACCAAGGTCGCATGAGGAACCATCATGGCCGATCCTTTTCGCATGTCGTGACGAACGCAATCCATTTCAGAAGTATTACCAAAATGAGACACCATTTGATGGCAAATGCTTTGCTAGCAGGAACTGGGGGATGAGAGAACACGTGAACTACATCCTCGAAGCTCAGTTGTCGCGTTTGGTGAAACAGGGTGTTATCACTATGGAATCACCCGTTCAAAAGGACGAAGAAGAGCAAGCGGAGGATCCACCGGAAGCAGGGAAGGCTGAAGAAGATGACGCATATGTTGCTGCTTCTGGAAATAGCGTTACTATCACTTCGAATACCGCCACTTCGCAAGCTGCCAGTCGACACATGCAACATAGAGATAAGAGAGTCTCACAGTTTGATAGGCGAATTACCGAGCATAGGCCGAAGACTGCTCATCCTAGAGCTTCTTTAGAAATACCGCCTAGCTCTAGCAAATATATAGTTCAGCAATCGCTAGGTAAGGCAAGTGACGCATCTCCCGCGGCATCCACATCAAGGAGGGTCTCAGAACAGAGTGCGAATACATCCTTAGAGCAACGGCGGGGTTCAAAGAGTAAGCCTATCGTAGAGAATGGTGCGACACCTACGAATGCAGCCCAGGCATTACTCAGAGCACGTGAACATTCTATTCATCTCCCTCAAGAGAGTGTTGTAAGGAGAAAGTCGAATGATAAATTTGAAGAGCATGTCAATGCACTCAAAAACCGTTCTGGAGAGGTGTCCAAAGAAAGGCGCGTCTCGGGCAGCAAAGATGTCCAAGAATCACCACCTCCGAAGGAGATCCTTGCTACAAAAGAGGCACGCGCCGCATTCAAGGAGGTTGTACCAAAGAGAGACATACCTAAGAAAGAAAATACCATAATCGAAAAACCAAAACCAGAGGAGACAGCAAAGCTAACGAATGAATTCAAGGAACCTGTCAAACCATCTCAGCCAGCGAAAGCATCCAAGGAAGAACCAGAAACATCAATATCAAAAGAAACAGCAACTCTCTATCAGGAAATGGAAAAGCTGCAAGCTAAAGAGAAGCACAAAGAGAGGCTTAGTAGGCGACACGAGAATCTCAAACCTGGTTATTGCGAAATATGTAGAATTAAGTTCGATGACTTTAACAAAGTGAGTATGGTCAAAGGAATTAAGGTGATATTAACATACGATAGCATGTCAACTCGAATAAACATAAGAAGCAAAGCACAGATCCAAAGATATGGAGTTCTATCGATTTGCTTTTGCGATATACTGCCAGACCGCTGGCAAAAGCTACCGAAAAGCCTCCTCCTTCACCGGCTACCAAGCTATCTCCACCGCCATCGCCAAAGAAGCTCCGCCGGTACGAGAATGATGAGAAAGAGGAAGTAATTGTGCATAACGATATCCAAAATACTGTCTCAAACACACAAGAACCTCTGCTCGCGGAGTCTACATTTATCCAGAATTCACAAGCTACCACTGCGGGTGGTGCTCCTCAGACTACACAATCACAAGAGTCTTCTAAGCGCTCTCAAGAGGTAGTCAAGAAAGCAGACTGCTTTGAAATCGCACAGGAGGGGGTACAACCGCCTAATGAAGATGATATGCAAGAGTTCGACCAGATTGAGGACTACTATCGTGATGGATTTTACAGCAATTACGACCAACAGCAACTACAACAACAGGAGGACATTGAATTGCTAAACTCTCAATGGGACGAGCTCCAGAGTGTAATAAATATGGAACATGACCTGCCTAAAGCTATCTCACATGATAGTATTACGAGGGAAGATGTCTTAAACTTTATAGAAGGCGATAACACCGCTACTCGAGAATACAACAACACAGTGCAAGCGTATGAGGATGGTGATGGATACGTAGAGGAAGACCAGCTAGAGGAAATGGCACCTAATATGCCTGCAAAGGAAACAAGTCCTGAAACGGCAGAAGTACAACGATCCTTTGACGTATTTGAGGGCCAACCGATATATGAGACGCAAAATAAGTCTCCTTTGAACCACAACGGTGGATCCATTGATTGGATTAATACCCTCACTGAAGTTTTTAAACAACACCTCTCAGAGCCAAACGACCAGCCGCACTCGCATCACCAATCATCTTCACATAGTCTCATCGAACACCTAGCATGACCCGCTTTTGTATGACATAAGTTCAATTGTTTATAGCATTTTAATGATCTTATGATTAGTCGTGAGTTATTACAAAATATGTTACTTCTTCAAGCCACTGATAAGTTTGATTTCGTCATGTTCGATAGTAATAAGTTCACCAGGGGCGGCTGTATCGCCGGTTACTGCGCCTTTGACGACTTCATATGCGAAGCCAATCTTAGATGAGGTGTTATGCCAGAAATGCAATGATTCGGGTTTGACGACGATGACCATAATTCTTGGATCATCCTTATCTCCCGTGTGTTTTCCATCTTTGAGATCACCAAACCAGGCTTTCAAAGAAGGGTTCCAGACTTTGTCGATAACAGACTGGTCCTGTGTGACAGAAGCTCTTCCAGCGAGCGAGGCCCAGCTCGTTGATGAAGGATCGTAGTAGGAGATATTAACGTGCGAGTCATTTTGGAATTCCTTCGTCTTCCCACTCTTGATGTTTGCGATGTAGTAGTATGTCAAATGGTCAACGGCAACGGGGCTCATCGCGCGTGAGTGGAGGAAACCATCTGCATTGCGTGAGGTAAGCATTGAGGTCTTCACTGGTTGGATTATGCTCTGAGGGATACCATTAGCGTTATGTGAAAGGTAGCCATTTCTCTCACATTGAAAATGTCGAGCTTCTCTTGTGGAGTAGCTTCTGTGCTTGACTTTGCGGCGTATGGATCCATTGTTATTGTACTTGGGTGTTACTTTGAGAGAGATCTGCAATTAAGGCTGAGCTTGGAGTACATGTATGCTCCAGTGAATCGATGTTGTCATAAAACACCGAATCCGAAGAGCAAGAATGGATAATATGCGTTTGCATTGGCGCCGTAAAAATGCTAGTAATATGCGCCCAGGTTGTTATCGCTTGTCGTCTAACGGTTGTTATCTATCCAGAATGTATGACTTCATCTGAATAGGTGATGCAAACACTGATCTGTTCAAATACTCAGCTTGATAGCTAAATCAATCGATACGTTACAAATATATCATCTCTTAAATTGCATTTCATAGTATGACGCCATAACAACGAATATACATCATTATCAAAGTGGTTTTTCAGCAGTCTCCTAAGTGGAAAAAGAATACTGAGCATCACTACGACATTTAATATGTCGCCGCATTAGGCACTCCTCGATGTAAAGCTCCATCCCTCTTGAAGCTGCCTTGTATAGCACCACTTGTTCCAATTGCCGCTATGCAGGGCCCTACAGCGAAGATACATCCTTCAAGGCGTTCTCTGAAACTGAACTTATGCCCACCACACTTGTTTTACATTTGCATAGCCTCTGAAAAGGAGTCAAGACCATTAAAAAATGATTCATTACTGCAATTGTGCCTGCTGGCGAACTACTTTCAGAAGAGAGACGGCCATAGAGTATGCGTTTTTGACTATCTACTTAAAAACTGTGATAACTTATTTCAAGAATTAGCTATAGGTGTCGCTACGAACTATAAAGCGCCGTTCCGAAAGCAGTCGCCAACCACAAAAAACGAATTGATAGCCTGCAAAAAGGAAGCTTTCGATGAGAATCGAACTCATGACCTCCGCGGATCCGGTGAACACTCCTTGAGTGTGCCATGTTAACACGGCGCTATAACCCCTAAGCCACGAAAGCTGTTGACGACACTTTTCTGTACAAAGTGTGGATCCATTATCGTGAAAATTTGCTCGAAACCCCTCACACACCAATGTTTCTAAGGATGGACGATCATCATCGAAAATCGGCCGATTTGCCGGAGGGGCATAAAAACCCTCCCAGTGAATCCGCAAGCGCCGAATTCACAGGTGAGCACTTTTTAAACGATATATCGTTCGATTTCGGTGCTGCTGACGCGCGAGGAAATCTCGACGCGTCGCAACACGGGAGGAGACAGAGTCAAAGACTCAATACTAATTTAAATAAGAGACGCAGAACCGCTAATGAAAATTACGGAGCGCGTAGTTTTGATATACTTTCGTTAGCTGAGCATCTCACCGATGTGATGACGCAAACCGTCGGGAAGTTAAAAGGTGAGTTAGAAAGCACATTCAAAAAGTGCATACGTGAAGAGCAGGACAAACACGACAAATCTCTCAAGGAGATGTCCCACAGATTCGAGCAGCAGTTACACG